TGTGACTTCAATTGAAATCCCCAATAAAGGCAGGCACAGTATACAATTTCTAATGAAAAAGTTGATTGCATTCTCAAGACATAGGGTGGAATCAATGACAAAAATTCTTATAAATTCACCAGAACATCCTTTCTTCCAAATTATTCTCCCTGGGTCAGGAAAGTTGGAAGGGGGGACATGAAAAAAAAAAATGAACCCAGCAAAACTCATGCTAAAATCCTACAAATGCTTGAAAATTGTAAGCTTTCTTTTAGAACATCCAGGCTCACAAATATATGCAAGAATTGCTGAAAAAACTTACAAGTCAACAAAAAGTGCTCGTGTTTACCTGTTAATCAGGGTAAATTTTTCTCATCAACATTTGAATTTACTTTTGAAGATGAAAGTTTTTAAAACACTGAAAATCATCTAAAAAGGGAAATGTTGAATAAATGCAGGTTTGATTTTTTTTAAATCCTCCAATCAATCAGTCAATAATTTTGAAAATCTCTCATTATAACAAATTATTTGTCACAATAAACTTTTTCTGAATTCCCCACAAGTTTGTTGTAACGGAATATAACTGTACAGTACAGTACTTTATTACCAACACTGAAGGGCATTTTCCTCATGAATCAACACTTGCCTGCATCAACTTCATCCTCTTGAGCTTCAACAACCGCGTCTTCTTCATCTTCTTCATGGTCAGCAGGTTTCTTGTTCTTACCAACCGCGACTTTGTTGCTCTTTTTGCCAGCAGATTTACCCTTGACAACAGGAACCACTGGCTTCTCCTCATCCTCCTCAGCATCAGACGCCTTCACTTCATCCTCTTCAATGTTTTCTTCGTCTTCTTCTTCCTCCTCCTCTTCTTCCAATGGGATCTTTTTGGCCCGCGACTTCTTCTCTCCAGGCGCCTGCTTGGTTCTTCCTTCTCCCGAATCACCCTTCTTCTTTCGTTTGGATTCAAACTGCTTCTCTGCTAAAGCATCTTCAGCCATTGCCACAGCTGCGGCTGCAATGAAAGGGACGGATTTCTATGAGGTGTATGTTCACGAAATGAGTGAGAAATGGTCTTACCCGCAGCTGCGTTTCTCTTTGGACGTCGTCCTTCAGATGGCTCTGCGACTTCCTCGGTTGACGACGATGCATCTTCCACAACTGGAGAGGAAAAAAAAAAGAAGACGCACTTCAGAAATGAACTCGCCGAATTTTTAGTAATGCTACCAACTACTGAAATCACAGCAAATGAATTTGCTGAAACCTGTACAGTGGACTCTTAGTTAACAAACTTTTGGTTTTGAGGAGAAATTCTTTGAATAACAAACCAAAATTTCGGTCAACACATTTTTTTATGGGGAAAAATCCAAAATTTTATTTTATGGCACAATCTAAACACCAATAATTCACCTAAGCACTGATATTGAAATTCTCTTGTTTCAAAATTGGTTTCAGGTACACTTTTCATGCATGTTTTTATGTGACAGATTCAGTTGCTGCTCTGGGCTTGATTTTTTTAAGATGTTCAATTGTTAGATAGGTCAAATCAACTTTTAATTGCAGCATTGAAAAAGGGAATTTCAATGTTTCAAGGTGTTTCTCTGGATGTGAAGTTTTTATATTGTTGTTTTCATCAGTCCGGCTTCCATATGAACATGTGGGCTTGCATAAGATGCCACAACAATGTATTCAAAATAATAGTTTATGGCCTTAAAACTTTTATATTGAATGTTCAATTTGTCTTCTGGGCTCATGGAACAGATTAAATTCTTCCTCATCAAACTTAGTTTACTAACTTTTGCCTCAAACCAATCAAGTTCATTAACAAAGGGTCCACTGAAGAGTATAACAAAGTTTTCAGAGGAATGTTCAATAGATTCTCCAGTTAGGAATTTTTCAAAACCCAATAAATCTGAGAATGCCAAAAAAACAGATCTAATTGATCTTAAGCAGGTCTGATGCGAAAATTTGTTCCTGCCAGCAAATTTTGAGGATCTCATCACTGGAAAAAAATTTTCAGTGCAAAATAACACCTTTCAAGAATCCCCTAAAAATCGTATGTCAGAGCAAAAAGATTATCATGATTTCCATCATATTTTCAGGCTTCTACTTTTTCTTGGACGGCTGCCCTTGCCAGCTGGCTTCTTCACAGGAGACAGATCAGTTAGAGACGCATCATCTGCTTTTTGTGCTGCACCTGCAATAGAGAAAAACCATGACTGACATCTCTTTCAAAGCAGAAACTGGAAAAAAAAGAGATCCTCACGTTTGTTCGGCTTTTCCTTCCCAGGCTTCTCCTCAACAACCGCTGCGCCTAATAATTAAAAAGTTCTTTTTTAATAGCGCCAAAAGCCAAAAGAAAAAGTCCTTCACCATTCTTCCGGCGGCCTTTCTTCGGACGAGTGGCGGCTTCCTCCGGGTCGACGGCGGCAACTGCTCAAGATAATATATAATTTGAGTAGATCGTGACACAAGAATTAGGATACAACAATTCCTTTGAAGGGGAAACCACGATCATTCAGAATCAGGCCAAGCAGGATAGTTAAAATTATACTGTATGAGGGTTGTCCCATTTCTGCCGGGCCTTGGATGTTTCTAGAGTACATAGCACTGTAACAAAAAATTATATGATGTAGCGCATGCAATTGTAAGGTTCTGGGATTTGTCTTAGATTTTTATAAAAATTCTTAGATTTACTGTATGATCATGAGTGAACAACTTTTCAGTTCCGATCAAAGTTCTTCATTCATGTGACACACTGTGGAAACTTTTTCAAGCTTGACAAAATATTGAAAATTGTATGTTCTTTAGCACAATCTTTCCAACATCTCACGAAATTTTCAAATATTGTCAATGTTAATTGTTTAGCTAAAAGTGAAAACCCTAATGCATTTTTTTCCAAGAGCAATGGTTCATTTACAATATTTGTAGTTTATTTCCTCTTCAAAAACATCATCCAAGGAATAATCTCTGTCTGTGCTGCCATATATTTTTTGCATTACTTCAAGTTTCATGAAACCTATATTTATAGTTCTCATTCAATTTCATTTTTATTTTCAATTTGAAGAAAATCTAGTGATGGGTGCAGGAGGAGGGCAAGATCTATGAGAATCTAGGCAGATGTATCATTGCCCTGCTTTCTGACCTTGAGGTAGAAGATTAAAATTAATAAAAATAAAAAACACAGGAATTCCATAACATTTTGAGTTATTAAGAAAAATATCCCAGGCAGAAACTATGCTTGGGATGATGTTTTAGAGCAGGGAAATGGAAAAATATTGGAAATGAACCCTTGCTTTTGGAAAAATGTAAAATTCACTTGGGTTTCCACTTTTAGCACCAAAAAAATAAGCATTGAAAATTTAGTTCATGCCAAAAACAACACACAATTTTCAGATTTTTTTGTGTAGTCTGAAAGCTTGTGACATGAATTAAGAACTCTGATCAGAACAGGAAAGGTTTCACTCATCATGCAATAAATCTGAATTTGTTTGATAAAAATCTGAAAAAAAAATCCCAGAACCTTAAAATTACATGGCCTACATCATATAATTGTTTTTAAAGTCCTACCTCCTCAATAAATACCCAAGGCCAAGCGGAAGTGGGACAACCCTCCTACATCCAATCCAAGTACAGTAGCTTGCTACCAAGTTTCTACAACTTTTTCAGCGAAAATCCCATCGTTACCTGAATCTGGAGCAACATCAGCCACGTCCTGCTCCTCCAAATCTTCCTCTATACATAAAAAGACAATAGGTATTAATTTATTCCGCGACGATTTCAGAAACCGCATCTCAAAGCCACTCACGATCCTTTTGAGCATCAGCGAGCACCGCTGTGAAAAAAAGGAGAAAAAGATTATAACAATACAGAATATCCTAGCTTTCCACAGTAAAAAAAATTTCATAAAAAACACTCACGCTTAGCTTTCTTGCCTTTGGAGCCCAACTTGTTTGCCTCATTGCCCACAGTTGAGTCTGGTTCTGCTACTAGAGCTCCTTCAAGAATAAAAGCACAGTAAAATCTCATTACAACGAACTCACGGGGATTCCAGAAAAAATTTTGTTGAACAAATGTTTTTTTATACCAAGATTTTCACAATTGGGACTGACAAGAGGAGTTTTAATAGAAAACATGGATTCATTCAACATTTCCCTTTTGTGGCTTTTTCAGTGTTTAAAATACTGTGATCTTCACATAAGAAACATCTACTCTGAACAACAGGTAAACATAAGCATCTTCTGTGGACTTCAAGTTTTTTGAAGCAATTCCTGCACAAATTTGGATATGTTTTGCAATTTTTAAGCATTTGCAGGATTTCTCCAGCATGCAAACCCCTTTTAACATGAGTTTTGCTGGGTTCATTTTATTCATCTCCCCCTCCCCTTCCAACTTTCCTAACCCAGAAAAAATAATTTGTAAGAAAGGATGTTCTGGTGAATTTAGAAGAATTTTTGTCCTTGATTCCACCCTATGTCTCAGGAATGCAGTCAAATTTTCAATGAGAAATTTGAGACTGTCCCTGCCTTTATCAGGGATTTAGTACTTTCCTGTTATCTCTGTACCTCATTCCTAGACTGCACTACCATCCAGACAAATCCTTAGGACAAGTTAATAATCACAACAACCTACCAGAAACTGTGAATTTCATTTTTCTGCATTCTGCTGGAACTGATTTTGGGAGGTGGTTCGGTAAAGTTAGGTTAGGTNTCAGGTTATGTTAGTTACAAATATCTTTTAATTAACATAACCTGACCTAAACTAACTTTATCTAACTGCCTCCCAAAATCAGTTTCAGCAGAAACCCAAAGAAAGCAGAAACTGATTTTGGGAGGCAGGTAGGTGAAGTTAGGTTAGGTCAGGTTAAATTGGTCAGAGGGAAGGTACAGCAGAGATAACAGGAAAGTAAGTACAGAGATAACAGGAAAGTACCATGGATTTTTCATCAAGAAAGTGACAACATGTTGCTTGAAAAAGTTTTTCACATTAGAAGTGGCAAGTTTGTTGTACCAAGATTTTAATAACATTTACCCTATAGGATTCCTGCCAGGACATGGAAAAACTTTTGTTACACAGGAAAGTTTGCTGTAACGGTGTTTCTTGTAACGATTTTTTATTCAGCGAACAGTCCACAACTGCGACACGGCGAAAAGTACCTTTCTTCCCGCCAGCCGCCTTGCCCTTCTTGGTAGGGACGTCTCCTCCACCATTACCCTCTGCTTCTTCGCTGGCCACAGCCTTTGCTTGGTCCTTACGTTTGCCCATCACCGAGTCGTTAAAAAAAGCTAATCGCTCTTACAGAATCACACGTCCACACGAACACTGCGTTCAGGTCACGAGAATAATCACACTGGTTTTGAACCTGGGTGAACCAGACACAACAAAATCCGTTGGAGGAAATGTTCATGAGAAGTCAGTGACCGCGCACTAACACCAAAAGTGGAGTTCGCATGACACAAGAATCCTTCGCCCGGCATCACTGTCATTGGACATGTACACTTCACGATGATTTCGCGCGGAAATTCACCGGTCTTACCGTTTCACAATTTCACAATAAACCGTTGGAACACCACAGGGCAGACATGTTTAATTGGACGAATACTGATACTGGTTGATAGTGTCAGGAAAGATAACCATTTGTAACTCATTCCCGGTTGGCAGAGAACACAAAATCCCTTTCTTCAATTGTGGCGAAGGACATTTCGATGAATTCATCCTTTTACTTGAACACGACATCTCCGAAAGTTCACCATCACGAATAACAGTGGAAGACTGGGAGGAAGAAATTGAACTCATGGTGAGTCCAGATTCGTTTCGGGGACGGGATTTGTCCGTATGTTCCTGAACTTGCGTGAGCATTATATCTCTGATGGTCAAGATGCGAAATACACAAAAGGTCTGCGTCTTCTAATTTCTAACCGTTTTATCATCTCAGAAATCCATGAAAAGAAAACTTCAAGGGAAGCAGGTCTAGCTTTACAGTGGAAAACCACAAATATATACCCTTACAGTATTTCCATCACAGCAAACACGTTCTCGTACCAGTCAGTAAGCGTACCTCCTTGTCCTCGTTGATGATACGAAGAACGTTCAGGCCTTAGAGACAGGTTGGTTCGAAAAATTACGGCCCTTGAATTTTAGACCGATCAACCGCTTCGCATCTGTGTGCAATAAATCTCACATCAGCCACGAAATCGAAGACACTCAACCGTAAGAATGACATGCATAAGATTCTCGGACATCCAAGGAAGGAAAATCTTCAAGGAAAGCAGGTTTCACTTATCAGTGGAAAACCACAAATGTATCAACGAAATTTCCATGACAGTACGAAGATATCAGAAAACCAAAGATGCCGGACTTACCGAAGTCTGTTTTTCGGGTTCATGGCAACTTGATTTTTTTATGCATCTCGTTTTGACCCGGAAAAAATCGTAGAACTTTCAAGAACTCCTCCTCAATTGTTGCTGAACGGCTTCCGAGGCAGCCAGTTAGATATCTGTTCTGACATGTTCTAACATAACAATGCTCATGAATGCAACGCGATTTTTCGCAGCGAACCTTGGTTTATAGCGACATAACGGAGCAAAAAGCATAGAATACCTGGTTGAAGAGATCAACGCTTCCGTGTTCTTCGCGCTCCACGCATCTGATCAGCTGAATCCATGTCTTCGCAAACGCCAAAGAAGCCTTCCTCTCGTGTACAAGCGCCGAACCGCGAAACGAAAAGGAATGACTTCGACTTCCAACACGATTCTCTATACGGCCTTGATTCACAGACTCAACGGCAGATTCAAGAACATAAATACTTCCACCTTGCCATTTTTGTTTTTCAAAATCCTCCAGAGAACAAGACATGGTTGAGAGAAAAACCGGTGACCGGACGTTACGGTACACTTTCAAACTCAACGAAACTCACTTCCACGCTGCCCCCCTATAGGGCTGTTCCTTCCACTCCCTCTCTCAGAGCCACAAATGAGTGACTTCATGAACTGCATATGCTTGCAGATAGGAATTACATGTTGAAGAATGGTGTAAGAAGATAGCATACTATTCAATACATGAACTTGCAGCATTCTTAATGTTTTATTCTTGTTATTTTATGAGAAGTGTTTAGTGGTTTCCAAAAGTGGTAAACACATTCAAAGGTATTCCATCACTACTGCTGATTAGTGCAAATGACTTCCAAACTAACTTGCAGCATTCTTAATGTTTTATTCTTGTTATTTTATGAGAAGTGTTTAGTGGTTTCCAAAAGTGGTAAACACATTCAAAGGTATTCCATCACTACTGCTGATTTGTGCAAATGACTTCCAAACATGACCAGAAAATACTGTAATTATTTTTATCTGATTTTGGGAGGCAGTTGGGTAAAGTTAGGTTAGGTTATGTTATGTTAGTTGCAAATATCTTTTAATTAACATAACCTGACCTAACCTAACTTTACCTAACTGCCTCCCAAATATCAAATATCTTTTAATTAACATAACCTGACCTAATCTAACTTTACCTAACTGCCTCCCAAATATCAAATATCTTTTAATTAACATAACCTGACCTGTTAGTTGCAAATATCTTTTAATTAACATAACCTGACCTAACCTAACTTTACCTAACTGCCTTCCAAATATCAAATATCTTTTAATTAACATAACCTGACCTAACCTAACTTTACCTAACCACCTCCCAAATATCAAATATCTTTTAATTAACATAACCTGACCTAACCTAACTTTACCTAACCACCTCCCAACATCAGTTTCAGCAGATTGCAGAAAAATAAAATTCAGTTTCTGGTAGGTCATTGTGATTATGAATTTGTCCTAAGATTTGTCTGGATGGTAGTGTGGTCTAGGAATGAGGTACAGAGATAACAGGAAAGTACCATATATTTTTAGCTATTTAAAAAAGGTGTTTCATATGTGCTCTATGTTATTTGTCCCTTGGAGTCTCTGTTTACATTTTACACCACTAAAGCATTATAGTTGAAGTCACTCAATGAGAGGCTGGCGCTCCTAGGGGTGGCGTGGAAGAGGTAGCGTTGAATGGAGCTGCGTTGAGTCGAAGTTGTACCATAACGTCGCGTCATGGTGTTTGGATGCCGTATTATGCATTTTTGGAAATTATGTTCGTGTCCTTTGGAGAGACAAAACATAAATCCGAATGATTTAAGTGGAAGTTGATTACACGATTTGTTCAAAGAATCTGGTGCATCAATTGGTACAGCATATGTTCAAGGCTATGTATCAGTCGACCTACCTCTTGAGGATATTGTACCTGTTTTCCTGGAAATGCATTGTACTGAAAGATTCTGGAAGTTTCACCTGACAGTGCATCAGCTTTGGTCTCTTCATTTTCGGGATGAATTGATACGGAGCTTTTGCCGGTACGAGCGGCGGAGGGGTGCCCAATGCCGAGGTCATTCAGTTCGCGTAGAGGGGGCATTCTATTGTTGATGGATTTTTTGACACTTGAGCAACTGATTGAAACCTTCGCGAAGGTCACCAACTCCACCCGCTGCATTCTATTCGAAACTGATACCTTCCCAAAGCCGTGGCCTTAACCTTCGTTCCTTTCACTTGTTTGTGTGTTATCTCATACCGCACACATCCGCTCCTGCTTCCCGGTGTCTCGTGCGATCCACTTTATTCATGTTCCGACGCGTCAAGGAAAGTCATTGCACCGTGTCGCGATTGACTTGGGAGTGTTCTAGCATAGTGGTCTATCGTAGATTGAAGGGCGAATGTGTAGAATCATTCAGTTGGTGAGAACCACGAACATAACGAAACTCAAACTTCCTTTCAATCTTTGGAAATTTTTCTTCATTGTTGCATCCTGTACAACGGAGCACTCCTTGAATTGTTTTTCGTCTCTATGATAGTTGACGTGTTTATCTTGTGGCTGTGTACGTGAAAGGTATCTCGAATCCCCTTCGTACTGGAGTGGAGTAGGAAGTGCTTCTCTTCGTGTTCCTCTGCTGATTCATTAAAGAAAAAAAATCATTACACTTTGTTGCAGTAACTGAGCCTACACCGCTCGCGTGCTTGTTTTCATCCGCATGAAAACCTGAAGTGAAAGAACGATGGAGCCCCATTGTGCTTCTGGGCTCAAGTTTTCGGTTGTGTTACTTGTGCTAGTGTGTCTGTTCTCGACGGGTTCTGGGGATGTTGTCATCATATCCCTTACCAACAACAAAACAAGTGACATTTTCCCCGATCTTCCCGCGACTTTCGGACACGTTATTCCCGATGACGGTATTTTGGTAAGCTAAGGAGAAGTTTCATTAAATGCTTCTGTCACTGAACTAGCTCAACTGATAGGGTCGACATGCAATAGTCAGTCCCCCGGATGGGTGTGATGAGCTGGAACCTGCCCCAATCGAAGATGTCGGTTTCAATCCCGGCAAAAATTGGATCGCAGTTATTAGGAAAGGTGGCTGCGACTTCAAAACCAAAGTTCTTAATGCTAAGAATGCCAACTATTCCGCTGCAATTATCTACAACGTGGGATCAAATCGTTTAGGTTCGTAGTTCGTTCCGTTCGCCAAAAATGGTGTGGCTAATCGTCCGTAAACTCTTTTAAAAGATGTTGAAGGACACCGGGTTGCATAATTTCTATCGATTGAGATACAGTACTTATTTTGTACTACCTCCAGAATTGATGCGTTGCCAGGGAGTAGGGTGCAGTGACCTTATTCCGTCCATGTTCATCGGTGCGGATGATGGCATGCTACTCCAGCGGTATGAATCCACTGAGTGAGTAGGAAATTTATTTCTGATTTGAAATCTGTTCAAGTTTGTACCACAAGTTTCCGTGAAGCGTGGTGGGATACCAAGTGTTCTTCATTTTGCAATCTCGTGCATGGAACGAAAGAGAGCCAGAATATTTCCTGGCTTTACGATTGAAACTGTTAAGAGTAGAACGATTCTACCAGTGTTGCTCAAACTTGCGCCGATAATTTTAAATTTTTGTAATGATCTAGTTTCGACGAATTTGATAGGTCGGTACAGAACATTTGATTTGGAATAACAGTACTGTACCTGTAGTGGGAAAAAAAATCATGAAGAACGGAATGTCTAATCATGGCATGGACAGCGTTTGTACCTTATACAGTACTTTTATGGTGCTGCACAAGCCGTGCGATGTTTCGAAGTTATACAGTCCAGAATAAGGTTAAATAAACGAACCCCGTAAGGTCAACTGGATTTTGGAGTTAGATAAATTGACGAGGTAATAGACGATAAATTGACGAGAATACACAGTATATTGGTATTTATTTCTTTACTAAGTTCAGAAAATCTGTACCTATTATTTTTTATACATTTGGTAGTTCTTGTAATGGCGTAATGTGTCTCAGGTTGTTTCGTATAAAAGCTCCAAATTTTTTATATAGTCCTCTCTGCAATGATGTAGTGTAATTTCAAAGCTGTTCGCATTTCTTTGTTGGATGAGAAATCCATGCGAATACCTTGATAAACGTAACTATTTTTAAAAGATAATCTTCATCCTGTAAAAGCCCCAAAATTTCCCCGTGACGAAGCATGCATCTTCCAGGTTCTGTCTATTATAACTGGTATTCAAAATCATATTTAACGTTGTCGTGAAATGGGATTGTTTGTCTTCCTAGAAAACTGTTTTCTGATCATTTCAATTTCTTGTGCCTAGATTTCTGGTGTACCTGACGGACGAGTTGCCGTTCGACTTGAACAAATACCTACTCCCTTTCGCCATCGTTGTCGGCGTATGTTTTTTCATACTACTCGTTTTCATGGTAAGACACACACATTTCGCGGATGAATTTTTTGGTAAACTATTTCCTATTTTTGTTGCCTAAAAAAGGTCTACAAGTGTGTGAGGGATAGCAGGCGAGCCCGTCGGCATCGCATGCCATCACGCTCACTAAAAAAGATACCACTGGTGAAGTTCAAGAAGGGTGATCCCTACGACATTTGTGCCATATGCTTAGATGAGTACATCGACGGCGAGAAGCTGCGTGTTTTGAATTGTTCTCATGGTGAGCTGATGCACTTTTGAAACTTTCTTCAAAGAAGGACTGTAAAGGAATTCTTCTTGATCAAAGAGCTGATTTGAAATTGTTTGATTTCGTTGTATTCACTGGTGTCTCTCCTGTGTCTTCATTCATTTTAATCGAAGGGATTAAATATTTCATAAGTGGTGCCATGAGGAAATGTGGAGTGGTAGATGCTGCCATCGGCGGAAACAAAATATTGTTTTGTACAGTTGCACCTCAAGAACTGAAACCTCCCTGTTTCGATTTTTTCAAGCTCATGTCGGAATTTCCTTAAAAAGATTCTACGGTACAATATTGAAAAGCAACCTTAACTCGAAGGCTTTCACACTCAAACCTTTAAGACTAGAATTTTCTGGAGTTCTTTCAGCGATCATTTCCGTTACCGAAGAGAGAAAAAAATTAATTTCATGCTTTTTGAAAGGAAGTGAAGGGCTAATTGGGCAAATTGCCCGAGTATTCTCCAAGTTTATCATCCATTTAAATTCTTCACTAGGAAGTATTGGGCAGAAAATATAAGTATTTCAACTCCCTTAATTTTTTCCTGAGTCAAAAAGTGATAGATCCCTGGACTCAAAACCTTCCGAAGTTGAATTTTTACTGGTCCCACGGGATTCAACATAAACCGGTTCAACTGTAAATTGCTTCCTTTGATAAATCAAAGCCCTCCACGGCTCCATGAGAAAATCCCATCGAAGAGAAATTACCGTGGTACCAATATTCCTTCGGTACGAGAATCTCGCGGGGTATTAAAATACTGTGGGGACGGAAATCCCGCAAATTAAGTACTGTATCTATTCCAAGCGTAATTATACCTGTCATCACTTCTGAAGGCAATTTTTATGTACTGTACAAAAATTAGTGGTAAGGTACACAGTACAGTATTTACAGTATGTCCAAAGCAAATGCTGGGATTAAAGCTCCAGATGAAGGCCATTTGTTTCTTAGCCTTCTTTTCTTCCTTTTTCTTGTGAATTGCGATCATAAACTTTCAAAACTTTTGAATAAAAACCCAAAGACATCCTTCCACAATTTTGTAATCCACGGGATTTTTTTTACCCCGCGAGATTTTTAGGCCTACGGGAGTACAGTATCAGATCTAAAGGATTTTTTAGCCGCGGGATTTTCTCCTGTACCCGTTAGGCACGAGTATGGAAATTGCGTACAGTACTGTAATTGAATATATCCACGACTAAAGTATGAATAAAGTACCGTACGCACTGTATTTGTTCGTCTTTTTTTGTCCGAATAGTTCGCTGGTGATTTTCTTATGTGGATGTAAATTAAATTCATTCTGGCATCTGCATTCCCCCTTTTTATTTTTCAGTTACAGAATCTTCACCTTGGAATTTTTTTTCACTGAACATTTTCTTCCAATGCCAGGAAAATGTTTTCCGTGAAATGGGTCTTCGCGTTAAGAAAGACCTGCACGGCTGAACAACAAAAATTTTGCTTCGTGAAATTTTTCGTGTGAAAGATTTCGCTTAGTGACATTTTTAGGGATAAAACCAAAGTCGTTTTACATTGCGGAATTTTTGGCCCGAGAGCACTGAAGTTTTATCAGATTTTGAATGTAAGCTTGAAATCTTCTGAAAATTTCAAGAAAATGAGTGAAGAATGATTAGGCCTAGATTATTCTTGCTTTTTGATGTTTATGACGGAAAGTTAATCGTGAGAAGTTATCTGGATTACTTCTATTTCATGCCAACAAATTTCAAATTGCTGAAAAACGCTTAAATTTTATGGTTTATTAATGTATTTTGATGAGTGTCAGGAGCAAATTAAATGATTCACAGTGTAATCTTGAGGGAAAACACGTCAAATTCCACATAACGAAAAGCATCGAGGAAGAGATTACCTAGCTATGTGAAGATGCGAATAAATATTTCTTCGGTTGGATCTTTTTTTTTCGTTAATTTTTTTTTTGCTAGGTGTCCATTATCATGCGTACCGCTTCTTTTTTTTTTTCTTATAGCATTTCACTCGAAATGCGTGGACCCGTGGTTGACGAAAAACCGTCGGGTGTGTCCCATTTGCAAACGGAAAGTATTTGCCAGTGACGAACGTCATCGTCCCGCGGATTCTTCGTCCGACGAAGACGACGACGGCAGTTCTCGTCGGTCGACGTCGCAGCCGTTGCTTGTTCCGCCGAGGTCGAGTGAGGAGGAGAGTGCGCCCTTGTTGGCCCAAGGTCCTGTGTCGAATGAACAGCCGGCCAGGGTCAACCGGTTTTTGTCCTTCTTTCGACGGGCTCCGATGACCTCTCAAGGCTCTTCCTATGGGACAGTGGGAGCTCAGGGCGGTAAGCATTTTTTTTCCGGGTTCTTCGATATGACCTTTGATATGAACGATTGGAATCCAGTAAACCTACAAACTTTTTTTTTAATGCGAGTTTCTTTTCGTGGGTACGAGGCCCCCGAAAAATCCCACAGGTACAGGACTGTACTTGCGAGGGAATTTTTTTTACATTTCGAATATAAGCTTGAGAAACATTCATTACAGCGTAAGAAAGAACGAGGTAAACCTGAACATGGTGGACTGTTCCTAAAAAGAAAAGAAAAAAATCGTTCCAAAAACTGTGATACTGTTGAACCTCTCAAGTTCATTGACCCACGGAGAGGCTTCGAGTTGAGGAAACGAATATTTTTGTTGAGACAGAGGAAGATAAATTGCAGGAAATTGTGTTCGGTGATATTCTGCCCTTAAATTGCTTCTGAAATGAATTAACAGGATGTAAAACTTGGGGGCAAGGGTTCATTTGACCAATTAGTCTTTCCCTGTCTTTCTCTTCAAGTTACATTTTAATCGCAAGTTTCTTTAAAATAATATGTGTCCATAAAATAATAGCCAAAAGGTTTACAGAAAATGTTGGTTGTTAAGGCGTGAGGGGAAAAGCCTTTTGGGTCAGAGAAGTTTTCAATGCACTATTTCTAAGGGAATTCGGACAGGGACTTGAAAAAAAAATTTGACTGGGAGGTTCGAGTAATCGAGGTTAAACTCTAGCTGAAAATGCGGATCTAGACTCAACTTGCAGTTCGAGGTGAGTGTTGAATGTGCACGCGAAATAAATACAATACATCACCGTCTTTCTGCTGTTAGGCGTGTCTTATTTTCTGTCTAACGAGGACCTAGTCGCCTTTTTAAATTCCCCTTTTATGCTCGGAACGACATGGCTAAATGTTTCATTTATCGTCCCCAGCGCCGCAAGTTGCGACGAGCGAGCACTCAATCAACGCTGGAGACGATCGATCAATTGTCGTATAGCTCCGTGGACGTATGTATGATTTGCTTGTTTATGAGGGCATTCCGAATTCAATGATGAAATGCCCGAATTTTTGTTATAAAACGCTCCCCAACATCATATTCGGAAACTATGAGATTTTTTTTCAACTCATTTGAATGCTAGCTTGGTTTTACCCTAAATTTTTATGAATTCGTTGAGACTGTGATGAAATTGTTTTGGAAAAAAAATGCTTGTTTCGGCTAATTCTCGGCGACCGTGAAATTGGAGTGATGTGCGGCTGTTTTCATGACTGGTGCGGGACTCGAGATCTGGACTGGAAATCTCCCTTCATTGTTGTCCATTGCGTAATACGGTGTTCCGAGCTGTGCATTGTCTTGATCCTGAAGCAAATGCATCACAATGTCATTCGTTTCCTGGATGAACCATGTCTTCAAATTATTTTTCTTCGAAAACGTTTAAAATAGATGTTTACCCTTGTTCACAGTTGATCAAAATGAAAAAAGATCCAAATCTCCATACTGAAAGTACAGTAGTTCAGTGCCAAGCATCCCATTTTGAAAAAGTATACAGTACTCCACTGTACTCCTTAATTCTTCAATCTGGTGGACTAAGCAGCAAAATTCAGGGGACCAGAAAAAATGTGTTTGAGACAACCTCCATAGTAAGCATTGACCTCTATGGGACCAAAATAATTTCTTAAAGAAAATATGTTCTTGAATGAAAAAAGCAATAAGAACAGAAATGCGTGTGTTTTAAAGGCAGTGAAAGACTTAATTGGGCAAACAAACCCATGCCTCCAAGTTCTGCAGCCTTTCAACTCATTTAAGAGCCAGTATATCACTGTTAACACTTCTTGTAAGTTTTGCTGAGAAAAGGGCTTTGTATTTTAGTGCAAACCTATATGATTTGAACCTCCCTAAGTCAAATATTTTTGCAGGCCCTCTGATATTTGAATTGGAGAGGTTTGACTGCATAGAATGATATGCTACAGATTGAGGAATTACTGTTATTTTATATGGTGAATTGAATGTGCATTCCAAGTCTTGAACCTTGATTATGTGAAATTGGCAACCTGAATTTTGCTCTGCAATTTTATGTAAATCTCTCTCCTAGCTCACTTGAGATTCTTACACTTGTGTATATGCATCTGTTGAATCATTTTGAAGGATACTTATTGCGTCATTACCCATACAAAAGCCATGCAATGTAGCTGGGTTAATTTCAGTAGTTGGAATTAATTTATCTGGCAAAGTGTTGACTCCATTGAATGATTGAGAAAATCAGCTTGTTTGTGTGCCTCAACCTGGTACGAATGTACTGTAATGCGTTGTTACCACAAGGCAAAAAATGTCATAACCTCAGTGCTCAGACCCATGGTACTGGAAGTCCAACTTTACCTTGATTAACGTACCTCACCCGGTGTCCGGTACGTGAGATTCTTTGTCAGCTGGGCATCAGAACTGCATGGCAACTAGTGCGTAGTAAACAAACAAGAACGGCGTGGGAAAACCAGCTAGAACTGGGTGTACGCATGATTCAGTTGCTGCGAAGCGTTCCGACAGAACTGGTGTAGTTGATTGGTGTAACTGGAATGTTTGGGTTCACGTTATTTTTTAATTTTCCAGGGTTTTTAAACTGCGGTGCTGAAAAATATTAGTGACGCGATGAACAGCTACTCATACACCATGAGGAGTTTCAAGGAGAGGAGGAATTTTGGTGAGACAGTGTTAATGTTGAAAATGTTCGTGTTCGACACATTGTATGTATTGTTTTGTAGCACAACGTTCGAGGGACATGCAAGTCGTTCACGAGAAGTATCCGGACCGCATTCCTCTCATAATTGAGCGCTATCACGGGGAAAAGCAACTACCCATCCTGGACAAATCGAAATACTTGGTTCCGGATCATCTTACCATGGGGGAGCTCATCCAGATTATGAGGTACTTCTTATTTTTATTCCGTTTAATGTTGAAATTGGCGGTTAGATGTACAGTGCTAAAACGTGGCCGTTACTATATCTTTGGAACTAAACTGAGCTTTTATATAGGTTGTAGCATCTTCCGAACGGCGTTCGTCTGTATGCTGTAATTTGTCGAACCCATTATACCTACGTGAATGACCCTTGTTAATGGTATACTCGGACGATTGTAGCTAATTTGCATGTCAAAATTACTTCGTCCGATCGTATCGCTGTTTTTTGGAGCGATGAGTAGGACGCATAATGCCGAACCAAAGCTTTTGGGATATGCACGACGAAGATGCCTCAGATGTGCTGGATAGGTTTTCAGAAGTCGCGCCTTGCTTCAAATTCTGTGATATGGTTTAGTGCTTCTTATCGCTTGAAATACCAGTTGCAGTACTGTATTTTCTTGCGACAAATTCAATTTTTTACTCGACTGCAGCTTTACCTGCCTGTACTCTAACGATCTGGAATTACTTTCTACATTTTCCTATGAAAACCAAACCTTGGGCTGGGGGATTTGATCTTGGGTTCGAGTATTCGTGGACACTTTTTGTTTCGTCTGAAGTTGCAAGGTATAAGTCGAAAGTGTTGCGAGTGCGTCGAATTGAATTTCTTTATTGTTCTAGCACCTTAGTCACCGAAGTCCTCCGGGATCGATATTAAGATTTACAGCAATTCTCTGATTCAGTGACAATTTTTTTCAAATTTTGCGTCGGCGTCGACAGCTTTTTTCGAAAACTGACCGTTCATGTAACGTTCCTTGAGTATCATTAGCGTGAGATTTTCGAAAATGAAAAATTTTTTGATTGAATTTCATTGAAAAATCGTCATAAAATTAAAGACCTCGCCACTACTTTTTGTACTGTATGCTGAGCATCTTGATTGTCTTCATTCTTCTGGAATGCGAAGGTATCTGGTGAACCGTAATTTAATAGGTACCGTATTATGTTCGGCTTCAACTCTCCGGTCTTCTCTCAATTTCAACCTTAGTGTTCATAAACTCGTGTTGTGGTCGGGAAATGGTAGGACTTGACTCAATAAAATTACGTCCATCTGCTTGCGTCCAACATAAAAAATTATGAACCAATCCCTGTTCTCGGAATAATTTGAAAAATGTTTCGCGTGATGAGGTGTTACTGGCACCAAATTATTCTTGCTTTGAACTCATTTGTGTTATTTTCCGTGCTGCAGACGCAGAATGCAGTTGACACCGAATCAGACGTTCTTCCTGTTGGTGAACGGCTCAAGCCTGGCGAATGTCACATCCACCGTTGGCGAAGTGTATCGCCGTGAAAGAGACGACGATGGACTGCTCTATATGGTTTACACCTCTCAGGAAGTGTTCGGGTTCTGAGGAGCCTACATCAGATTTACCGTAATCCGATATCTTTTGTCCTCGCTTTGGCGCATTAAGTATGCTAGCACAGACTAGGTACGTGTAACTTGATCCCGGCGGCCTCGCGCGTGAATGCGGCTTGTAAGGATGTTCTTTTGACATTTTGTACGGCTGTTGTGACATTGGGCAAAAAGCGAAGTGCGCAGGCGTTTTTTTTTTTCGAAAACTTCAGATTGGGAGAATGTTGGTGTTTTATGTTCAGAAGGTTTCCTTCGCGTCGTGGTACGGAAATTTTTGTTTTGAGTTGCTCGGGAGTCGCGTGACGACATGAGTGCGGAAATCTTGTATTGTGTACCTACGGAGATGAAAATTTTTTGTTTTGTATTTGAAATCTAAATTTCACTATTTGGAAAATTTGTAAATCTGGTGCCTCTGTTTTTCTGCGTTGGGTGCGGATATGAAATTTATATCGCACGGTATTCAGTTGACGATTTCTTTGGTCACTATACAGAAATCTCGTGAAACTAAATTGAGTGGCTTTCGGTAAGCTTCTTTGATAATGGGTGATTTCGGGACAGAAGAGATGGAGAATCATATTGATGCACAGCCGCAGGAGAACGTGGAACAAGTGCCAGTAGCTGCGAAACGTCCTCCGCAACATCGGTAATTGAATAGATTACAGAAGTGTCGTGCCCACTTGGTGTCGCCCAACACATTTGCTTACACATGAAAATGTCGACAAGAACTGCATCACTCTGCCTTATCTTTTGATCTAAACCGTTGACGTACTGTATTTTGGAAACATTTTCTGTTGTTGGTATTTTTAGTATTTTTATAGATTTCAATCCTTCCGTCCAATTTGATTCCGAACGCTTGGTATGATTTGTCCTCGATAATTTCACTAAAGACTTTCTTGAAGCAAATATGCGACGTTATGAAGACAATTCATAGCTTAATTTCCTGTTACTGTTTGAGAAGGGGACAGAGTTTCTCAGTTTATTTATGCGTAGCGTTTGCATGCTTTTTAAGCGTGAATGTTTTTGTGACCTCTTGGGAGGAAAACTAGGACACTGAATTCGTCATGAATCATGAGGAAAACTTCATTATTTTCAGAGTTTTTGTTAATCGAAGCCTACACCTGGAGAAAATACGTTTTGTCGGATTCGACATGGATTACACGTTAGCAGGTAAGGATCCCGCATCCCTCAACTGATGTCGATACTGAATTCCATCATGATTTAGTTTATAAATCGCCTGAATACGAGACCCTCGTATTTGAGATGGTGAAGAAGCGACTGGTTGACATGGGCTATCCGAAAGGTATTCACGACTTCGAGTATGATCCGTCATTTCCCATAAGGTCGGTAACATGAGCAAAATTTACTGCAGCATTTTTCAATATACTGTACGTCGTAAATTTTTCAGAGGGTTATGGTACGATTTCCGGTATGGGAATCTTCTGAAAGTGGACGCTTACGGGAACATTCTCACCTGTGTGCACGGATTCCGTTTTCTGAAAATGTGAGTATGAGCATGCATTGCGAAATATTATTTTCGGGGATTCGAATCCAATGTGTTTTATTCAGGTTAGGGTAATACTTAGATGTGATTTCAAATTGGAATTGTTGAGTGGTTCTTCTCCACTTCGTTTATTTTTCACATCAGGCAGGGCATTTATTAAAATAAAGACGACGCACGAATTAGCTAGGGCCTGACAAATCATATTGTTTTCTTTTTTATAATCACGGATAAAATCGGAATAGGTGTTGTTGCTCTTCAGGTTCAATGAAGGCTGCATTTCATGCGAAAGATACTTAATCAAAGCACTGGAACTTTTTATGGAATATCATGCGTGGCCTCCTAGGAATGAGACATTTCATAATTGACGCAGTATTTTTCAATATTAAACGAAGAATGCAATTGCAAAAAAGTCCAAGCCTTCAATATTTTGGATTGTGACCCAGGATTCAACAGCACTCACGTCAGACGAAAAGTGTTCATCCTCCTCAGAACTCATGTCGTATTAACCGGCTCCATGATAAAATTACGCGGCTTGTAAATCCCGTAGGTATGTAAATTTCGCGGGCTGCGAAAATCCCGCAACATGATTTATGTATCAGAAGTAATCCCCTTTTGTTACTTGAACAGGCAACGGTGTGTACACAAATTCTAAATCATTGACAATTCTAAATGCAGTTTAGTGGTAATATTTCCGGCTGTCAAATTTAAATAACATTAATCAATGTACAGTACATAATAGATACAGTAGCATGAACAGAAAACACTCCAAGAGGTCAACGATTCTCTTCGCCAGTATTTCAGTTAACTGTTACTATTTGAAATAATTGCAGCGATTAAAGCTCCAAAAAGAAGTTTATATCTTTCTGAGGCTTTCTCTTTACCTTTCTCAAGAGAAAAGTAATCCTGGTAACCTTCAGAAAGGTGGGAGAGAAACCCCATAGCATATTTTCAAAATGTTTCAATTCGAGGGATTTTTGTTTCCGCGGAATTTTCGTATCCTTCGAGATTTTCAGAGTTGCGGAACTGCGGGATTTTCGAGCCGCGGGTTCTCTCTTGCATGGGATTTCCCCCTGCATCCTTGTTAACCACGGTATTTTTAAATATTTCAAATGAAGATCACGTCATTCCATCCGAGTCTATCATACGCACCTTCGTTCATTTTTCAGAACGAAAATGGTCGGGAACGCGAGTCCATTTAGCGATAAACCCTATACATGTTGACTATCTGAGGCACCGCTGTGTTCTATTGGTCTTCGTATAAATTAAATCATGCCCATTCTGAATTCAAGTGTGAACTCTTTTGAACAGCAATGAAATCCGGGCGCTGTATCCCAACAAGTTCCTCCAACTGGACGAATCCCGCGTCCATGTGCTCAACACACTTTTCGACGTACCTGTCACATACATCATCGCGTGTGTCGTGGAATATTTCTCGTCGCCCGTTCGTTGTCCCGAGGCAGTTGCGACGCCAACAGGAATCAAACTCGCGGGCTGCTACATGTCCTTTCAGTCTATTTTCGGCGATGTCCGCGCAGCTGTTGATTACGTCCATGTGTATCAACTGAAACCTGCGACTGTTGCACAATTGGACGCCTTTGTAGAACGTGATCCGAATCTCCCGATTCTGTTGTCTCGATTGAGAGCTTCGGGAAAGCGATTGTTTCTCTTGACGAACTCTGATTTTGCCTACACAAACACTATCATGGAATACATTTTGGGCGATGGGGAGGACCACAGGAAAGAGGGTAGAGAAGGTTGTTGGTGGGCTACGAAATACTTCGATTATGTGGTATGTGATGCCAACAAGCCAAAGTTCTTTCGAGAGGGCACTTTGCTGAGGGCTGTTGATCCCGTGACTCACGAGCTGAGTTTGGGTGTTCCTTTGAATCTGCAGAAATCTACCACTGACATGGTGAGTCATTTTTTTGGGACGAGCTTCACGAATTCCGGGAGACGCGGAATTGACAGTTTATGCTGAAACCTTGCACCACTATACTTCTCCAGTATGTGAAGCACAAAGAAAGCTCTGGTTCAAGGAAGTGTAATGGGGAGGACGGTACGACGAGTGACACTCCGGTGATGCAGACAGCTATTTATGCTGGGGGTTCTTGTGACGTGTTGACTGAGTTGATGGGTGCGAAGGGCAAAGACGTTTTGTACGTGGGTGACCACATTTACGGAGATATTCTAAAATCCAAGAAATTGCGAGGCTGGCGCACTTTTCTCGTGGTTCCTGAATTGACTCAGGAGTTGCTGGTTTGGACACAAAAGGAAACGCTCTTCACACAACTTCAAGTAAGTCTGCGTTTATTATTGTTCATTCTTTTGATATTTTGAATGCAAGATGCTGACTTTTGTTTTGTTGTGCAGGGCTTGGACGCACGAATGAGCGACATGTACAAAAATCTTGACTCCAGTGCAGAAACGAGGTCACGCGAGCAACGAGATATGGAAGAATTGCGTGACTCGCGTCGCAAAGTCACGCATGACATGGAGATGAGTTACGGTCTGCTCGGTTCTCTTTTTAGGTTTGTTTCCCATCTTCTAATTTTTGGTTTCATGGATGATCGCTTCTAAGGTGGAGATCCTTGGTGAATGTTCTAATGTTCCTTGTTAGAAATACAGTACAATGTTTTAAAAATTACTGTAAATCAAGTCGATTCAAATCGTGTGGCTTGAATTGTCAAAGAAAATAGAAAAGACTGACAGCATGTTGAAAAAAAATTTGTTTCGCATTTATATCGAATGATAGTGTAAAGCGTGAAAAAAGTGGGTAGCATTTGGAGCGGGCATTTCGTTGAAATTTGGCTTTTCAACATTCGATTCTTGTTTATTGCATTGTTTGACAATTTTTTTGATCCCCTGTTAAGGCGCCGCCTAGATGAATTTTGTAAGTCTCAAGTTCAGTTCAGTTAGAGCAGTTCAACGAAATATGCTTTAGGTTGAGTCAGTCTGTAGTTTTTATTCGGTATAGCGCCATTTCAGTAAATCTAGTGATTTAATCTACGCTTGTCTGGCATTCCAGGTAGCAAGGTCGGGTCGTTGAAATGAGAAGAACCAAGTACAGTACTGTTCTGTATATTACTGATTCAACTGACGCTTCATTGTTACCTACATTCAAAGTTTTTTTTCCCCTCGTAGGTCAGGAAGTCGGCCAACGTTTTTCGCATCCCAGGTGATGCGGTATGCGGACCTGTATGCAGCTGCCTTCTTCAATTTGGTGAACTATCCACTCTTCTACATGTTCAATGCCCCGCCGGTTCTCATGGCGCACGAGTCTACAGTGACGCATTCTCAAATCATGCCCGAAGTGGCGCCAGCTCTGTCGAGAACGAGACATAACGCTGTGGCGCCCACTGGCAATGGGGACAATTACGTGCTCCAAGAAGGTTGTGATGGAAACGGAGTCGCCCCGGAGCCGGCGGTGCCATCTGTGACAGACTCTTTGAATCCCGTGAGTTTCAAGTCGAGAAAATGTATATTGGAAGCTTTCAAAGTGCGGTTTTGCTTTTGACCCTTCCGCTGAAAACGTTTGTGTTCCGTTTTAGAAATTGGGTTAATTTTAAAATCCTCATTAATTTACAGTATTATCGAGTCGTTTATTTTATGATCAAGTAATTCTTAGTTCAAGTTATCTTTATTATTCTTTTCATTATTTAATGCATAGAATTAAATGTGCTGAAAATTGAATAGAGAAAGCAGGCCTTTAACTTTTGTGTCGACTATTTGTTTTGTGTTTAAATCACAATTCGTAACAAGGAATTCCCTGAACCTGGATTTTGAACTCGCTAATTAGGAAGCGGAGAAACAGAGGCCGCCTTGTGTTCGAGCCAGCAGTATGGCCGTGCCTGAAATGCCAGATCCGCAAGCGTTTCTTCATGACGACGACGAAGACGACGATTCTGATGATGTTCCGAATATCTCCGATTCTTCACATCACGAAGACTCTCCAGCTCGAATAATTTGAAGACCTCGAAATTCTTGCAAATTATTCTGAAGTCAAAATTTTGTTGACAAATCTCTTCGCCGTCGAGTCTCATAAAACTTGGCAATGTTTTCTTCTTTGTGTTACCCGTAGTTTTGGTTTTGTGATGTGTGAACTTTTGTTCTCGTATTTTAATCGTACTCAATCCGTACTGTAACTTTACTGTGTTTCTGGTAATGTTATCGTAAGTGACTGACCTTGGAGTTAATAATGGACTGTATTAGTACTTGGCCGGATTCAGACATTGTGAATAATCGTATATTACAGTATTCTAATTTTAAGTGGTAGTACAGTGTACTTCTGGCTTTACATCCTCCTTACGTCTATTCTTCCCGGTTGCTATCACAAATGTCATTCAAATGTTTTCATCCTTATTCAACTTCATTTACTCTGATGTTCGCTTATCGCTTACACTAGGTGAGCTAGGCGTCGAATTGCGTTTTAAAGGTGTACAGTTACCTCATGAGTCGGTGTTCGAGTTACTTATGCGTGGTTTTGCTGTTTAGGTTTGATCTGGTCTAGTGTTGGATTTATAATTTTTTTTCTTCAATTGTGGTCAGGTGCGACATTGATGGTTTGCTGTGAAGGGTCATTCGTGTACTCTAACACTCAGTTGAGCATTCAGGTCAGTCGAATACTTTAACAGTACCATAGGATTCTTGAATATATGTTGCTCACGTGTCTGTGCAACACAGCATCTTCTTCGAATCGAATTGTGAATCTAGAATGCAATAGGAATCAAGAAGATGACGATCTTTCGTTATCGTCTGTTGAACGGAGAGTACAAATCGTTGATCTTTCTCTTCGTAAGGATGTCAATTAGCGGAAGTGGAGCGTAGGTTCGGGTTATCTTCCTACTTGATCCAAAATTAGCTTCCTTGATCAAAATCTTCCTGCAAGAAAAGCTGAAGATTCTCATGGAACGAAGTTCGGCATTGAGAAACCCGTCCGCTTGGATTATTTTATTCATCGATTTGAAATTTTTTTGGAATATCGCTGAGACTATCAGAGAAAATTATCGTATGTAAACGATGCTCCGTATTCTGCCTTCATTCTATAGCTTGACATTGTTGAGAAGACGAGTTTCTGCTTGTGTAGGTGACCAAAGATTTAGTTTTTTGCTGGTCACGTTTCATAGATCTCCTGTATTGTGTCAAATGGTTTTGAAGCCTGCATTGAACCGGCGGGAAGGTGCATGGGATTAAAAATTGTTCATCCTGGTTTTCAAGAAGCTTATATATACTAAGCTTTGCATTCCCTAACATTGTTGCGTTAATGAGTGCAGATGTATTGCTGGATGGTACATGGGTTGAAATGGGTCGATTCCAATCGTCGCTGCCTTATTTGGGAATTCCGTTACGTTGTGGTGTAGCCTGTTATTCTCATTTGTGCCATGCCTGGTGCACTAGTCTGGTGTAGTCAAATGCTGCTTTCATTAAGGAGTTCATGTGATCGTTGCTGTTGGCCGTTCATCATGAACGCATTGATTGTGCTTGGTTTCGAAATTGAAATGCTGTAATGTCGGATTGTAATCATTAAAAAAACTTTTATTCGCAAGTCTTCGTCTTAAGTCATTTCCTCCTCTTCATGAAACTACCCGTAATTACTTGTGGAAATTATCCGTTACCTTCGATAATGACAAAGAATATGTTTAATTTACATATACAGTATATTTATACGCATATTCGACATATTCAACTGTGATTTTCCAACTACTGTACATACTTCCGCGATAGTGTCTTTCTGATCAGCTGTACATGAACACAAACGTCGTTAAAGTCTCCTACTTCTCCAATATAATAAGATGCATCAAGTAATTTCTAAATGAAACACTACTTCATTGTCTCATGCTTCCAGCATGCGTGCTTAAAATATATGGGTCACATCCATGAATATTTGATGCCTTACCACCAGGCCATGCAATTACTATTGTTCTATAGTAATGGCCTTGCCGTTTAGACACAATCCCCTTTTCCATTGATGAGGAATAAAGTAAATCTTTTTTTCTGAGATTAAAAAATAGCTTTGGAAATAGGAGACATAAAAAATGTGATATGAAATTTTGAAATGACAATGCAGTGTTATCTATTTCTAAATCTGCCTGTTGGTGGCTCAATGTGGGCACCCTCTTTTTCTTAGGCAGGACAATTCGGATTTGCTAAGGTTTTTCTGATGTAGGTTGTCTGGTTGGTATGGCAAGGTACATGTTGGCTGTGTCTTATTAATGTTCATGCCAGAGATAATGTAGACGGTATTGCAAATATTCCCATCGAACGATTTGACAGATTTTAAGAAGTGTTAACTAATTGTCAGGGTAATTTACAATCAAAACCTGGCAAAATTTGAGGAATTCTTCAATTTAAGGCCATTTTATCCATCGAAAATTTGAATCCAATTAATCGAATAAGCGCCTCCCAACATGGCTGCTGTCCTCCCCCTCCTCGCACAGGCCGACAATTGTACTGTATTTTTCGCGCCCTGATTGCCAGGTGAGAATTATGCATTTGCCGAGCAATTTTGTTATCAAAAGTAATGGACTGCGTTATCCCTGCTGCGGGTGACGACAAAATATTCGATTATGCTTGACTTGCGTTTGAGTTTGTTGTTTCTGCTCCCACTTGCCGCCATGGAACCGACTGGTGCGTTCTGCATTTCCTTGAATGAGGTATATATTTTAATTCTCTACACCGCTTAATGTACAGGACATACTTGCAACTTCATGGCGTACGTCATGTTGTGCTCATTTGACTATAAAGGACTTGATCTAAGGCTTACGGCGATTGCTCATCCATGCAACGATCCTGTTGACGTGACATTCGTGATAGCGGTAAGTTGTTTACGTACGTCAATATAGGTCGAATTCAATGATTTTTGTTGGAGGAAGGACATATTCCTTCCGTTGAATTTTTTAGTTTAGTGCACGAGCTGAAAGCTGATCAGGCCCGGTAACTTGTTAAATATAAAAGCGGTTGTTCCATTTGAATATTTTAAGGAGTTTCTTTGAGATTAATTTACACAATCTTGCTGACAGAATTCATTTCCGTCATTCCGGTGGGTACACACATTTGCCGTCACGAATGTTGAGGAGTCAATCGTAGTTCCTCCGTTGTCCGGAGAAGGAAACGAAACCGCAGTTTCCGAAGTTGTGAGATTGCTTGTTCAGTTCGCTGGAGATTTGAAGCCCATGGCGAAGAATGTTTCATCTCCTGGAGAGAAACCGGTTATCTTCGTGAATGCAAGCTTTGAAGCCAAAAGTGGACGTGAGCAATTCCTGGATTCCCTTTTTGTTGTAAGAAACGAACCCAACTGTCTTCTAAGTGCCCCTGGGAAAATGGAGGATTCTTCCGGGCAGGTGACAACGGGTATGGTTTGAATTGGAGCCATTAGGGGCTCAGCTTTTCATGCGTTGTAAACATTTCCAGTTGCTTTGCTTTCCGTTATCCTTGTCGCTGTTGTCGGGGCGTTGGTGGGATACATCTTTTACCAGAGGCGACTTAGTGCCCAGCAACTTGCGGCAGCATTGAGCAGCCAGGCCACGGCCAAATCCTTCCCTTATCAGGTACCCAAAATATTAATTTCTAACGTGTTGCGAGCAACATTTCACAAATTTTGAATCGGAACTTCTCAGTAAAATTCAAGTTTTTCCTATCTGTAGCAAGCTGAGGGAGGATCTCGAATCGTAGCCAACGGAGTTATGGAAACCAGTTTGATCATAGAAAATCCCGTTGCCCCGCCACCCGAAAGTGTTCTCCTGAGCAATGCTGAAACAGGAGCTATCCCAAAGTCGACAAGGTTTGTGCATGCCGTATTATGATACACCGTTGAATGTCCGTTGAAATTTTTTTTACCCTGATTTTACATTCCTTTATTTTGTCAACTTGCGTTTTCAATTTGATCATATATTCACATGCTTGACATGAGTTTGATTTATCAATTGTAGAATTGATCATGTATTGATTTTGAGTTTCAGAATTTAGTTTTCTTCGATTTAAAATTCAGCCTTTCCGTATTCCATAGAATTTTGAGGTGGTTTTGTTGTTGATTAAACTCAAATGCAGCATTCTCAATCACACTGCACGAATTATATCGGAATGAGTAAGTTACAGTAAACAATACTTCTTTGTGGCTCAGAATGCCCAAAACGGCGATGCATAATTGATGAGTTTATTTCTAGTTCACTCTCGCTAGATTATTGTGCGTGCAATCGTATCTTCTTATTGTCAAGAAATCGATTTTGAGCACCGCAACGAATCTTTTGCGAATGCTGTCTTGTGGATAACAGTTGTGTTGGGAATGATTTTCTCGAAAATTGATAATATGTAGAAGCATTGCTGGAAGTTTTCGGGAATTTCTAGTAGTAAGTTCGTTTTTCTCAATTCAGGAAAAATAGGGCCAAACCGGTTGATGAGAGTGGCAAATCTAAATTTGAGGGGAAACAGACGAACGGAAAACCATTGGCGGAAGACAAAGTTCCAGTGGTGAATGCGGAAGAAAATCAGCAACCTGCATGAGGGAAATTCAGACTCGGCGTGAGTCAACTTTTATCGAATCACAATGGTGGGTTTTCCCTGAAACGTGTGCCACGCTATGACAGATGAGTGTTGGTTCTTTTGATCTCTGACGAGAACCACCTTTTTCGAGAAACTGCTTTGTGAAAAATTTGTCCCGTTTTTCATTGGAGGTAGTCGATGAAAAACATAGAGCCATGTTTGTGATATTGGGGAAAGGTGAAATTGCTCAAAGCTTGCGTAATCCATCCGTCCGGCTATTGTTTTTGTACTTCCCCAGAATTCCCGAAGTCGTGAGACGTTGAACCGATCTTTTTTTCATGTTTTCAAGGCTTTTGATTTTTGCTTGTTTAAGCGGCTCAAGTGTTGAAAACGAAAGTGATGAATAGGCTTCTGAAGTGGATTATCGTTTTTGGAAGGTTGGCTGTACAGTTCCGAAGATGAAAATGTTCATGCTTGTGATTCCCTACGTGTCACTTCGAAAGGAAGGTTGGCTCTTGAAGGATGATAAACTGAAATTATTTTCAGAATCTGAGATTTATCTCTTGTTAGCGACGCTAGCTTTCTGATCCGAAAGATGAGTTGCCGTGTGTACATCGGTGGTATTCACCAAAAAACGCGCGAACGCGACGTGGAAAAATTCTTTTATCGTTATGGGCGCCTTCGTGAAGTTTTATTGAAGAACGGTTACGGATTTGTGGTGAGTACCTTTCGGATGTGACGTTCGTACTGAATAAGGAAATCATCCGGTCACATTTTTATTTGATTTTATTTGAACAGGAATTTGAAGATGAACGCGATGCCGAGGACGCCTGTCATGATATGGACGGGAAAGAATTGCTTGGAGAAAGGTAATATTGTTTTTGATTGATACCTTCGATCAATTGTTTTTTGTGCGCAATTTATTATTTCTTGGAATCTAGTTCGGAAACTCGAAGGATCAATTTGGGATTCAAATTTTACAAAGCTTGGTGAACCGTGCGTGAAATCTGACGGTTTCAAATTCAACGTGGTGAACAGTACAGTAAATAAGTCATTATTTTATCATTGCGTTTTCAATGCCGAATAATTTTTTTAATAAAAAAGATGCTATTTGAACGTCCTGTGCGATGTAATGTTTTGGAATATTTCTTCGATATTATTGCTAATCTGGTCTTAATTCGTATGCCGAAAAATCGTTGAATTAGATGGCGATGATGACAAAGATGACGAATCGGACACGGCAGGTAGACACGAAGTTTACCCGTTCTGGGTTGAATTTTGTGGACACCTGGCGTTGGTGTCGACGATTGAGGCATTTGTCTGAGCAGCATCTTTTAAATGCGTTATTTGAACTGATATGAGGCTTAATTTAGGCTACACCGATCTAAGGCCAAAAGAAGTCCGTTAGTATATGTGTACAGGAAAAGAGTTCAGCCTTCAATTGCCGAGTTCATGAATGATTTGAATCTGACTGTTGATTTGGTGTACATCTCAAATTTGTCTTTTCAGATTGCGCGTTGAGATGGCAAGAGGCGGTAAATCACGTCGCGATCGAGATTTCAGAAGTTCTCGTCGTGCGGAACCGCGCCGAGGCCGTGAAAGTCGACGTCGGAGCGAAAAGTAAGCGCAGCTCCTCCTTCACTTCTTGACAAAAAGTGGAATAACCTAACGGTTGTGGAAAAAAAAAGAACGCTGAGTGTGACATTGCTTGACCACAATGTGACGACAATTTGTGCTGTGATGATTTCCAGCGGATTGTCCGTGGATTCGAGCCCTTTTCTTATGGCGATCCGATTAGTACTTGGGGGCCCGTGCCGCGTTTGAATGTGATGATGATGGGTTGGCGCTTCGAGGCCCTGGCCGGCAGTCCCGGCTCGCTAAATGATGTAGAAGTAAATCCCCGACGAAACGAATCCGGCCATCCGAGGTTTGCGAGCGACTCGACTCCGCTCGCCTTTTTCTTTCCGATTGCTGACCTGCTTTTTCACTCTCTCCTGGGGCTTGTAGTAAGTTCGAACAAGGCCATGGTTTGACGTGTCACGACCGGCTCACGGTCCAGTGTAACGACTTTCAGGGTTCGTTTTGATTCTTTCTGTGACATTAATTGGTTTCCGGGTTCATGCAACGGATGGCTCCGTATGTGACGGGACACGTCTTAAAATATTTCCGGCGTGTAATGAAATATGCCATGAATGATATGTCCCGTGCGAAGTGCAATACGGGACGTGTGTCCTGTTGCCGAGTCGGTAACTCTCGAGGAGATTGGAGTTAGGGTCTATTTGTCTTCCGTGTTACACCAAGAAACGTACGCCCCTGGAGGATGGATATTTTTTTCTGGCATCGTTCTGAATGTTATGTTGTATTTTTGTTGGATGAAGGTACGGACCACCCACACGCACCGAATGGCGTTTGTATGTGGATAATTTGAGCAGTTCTACTAGCTGGCAGGTGAGGAATTTTCTTCATCTTCGCAATAAGCACCTGATCATATCATTTCTTGTTTTTATAGGACTTGAAAGATATCATGCGTCGTGGTGGAGAAGTCACGTTTGCCGACAAGCACGGAGCTCGCGAAGGGTAAGTTGAAAATTTTTGTTGAGAGAATTTAATTTTTGCACAGATGGGAACAGCTAGTCTCGAATCAGCCTTTTTTCAAAGATAGCTTTGGTCGATGATGTAATTCCAACGTAACTTAAGACAAGTTTCAGAAGGGCGACTGTTGCTAACCTCTGAAGCGATCATCTTTTAGAGTCGTTGAATTTGCGACCCGGGGTGAAATGAAGAACGCACTTAGGAAATGCGATGGTATGGAGGTTGCTGGGCGTAAAATTCGTGTCAAGGAGGACAGAAGATCCAGATCCCGGTCCCGAACAAGGTCCAGGTCGCGATCGGTCACGCGTTCTCGGTAAGTTTGCGCTCTATCCTCTTTTCAGCGCCTCTCCTCTCCATGTAATAATGTGGAAAAGTGTCTTCTGAATTACTGTACCTATCCTATAGAAAATATGACTTGTCCCGTAACTTTTTGAAATCCCTGGAATATTCAATTCTCGAACTTTTCATACATTTCTAAAATCTGCCCATATTCTGTAATTTATATCTCGAATTATTGGAATTAATGGTGAATTTTTTTTTCGGCGTACTGTACCAGGAGATTTATGTCGTACGTCGACTTTAGTGAGAAAAAAGAAAGTGTTCACGGATTTTTCATGTCGTCAGATATGGAAAAATTAAAGCTTATCGCTGTTTAAGTGGCTTAACGTGATGTATGCGTATTAATTGCAGTATTGTGAATGAATGTCGTGAATGGTCAAACAGGCGATACCTACGTACGAGACAGTTTTAAAAAGTGAAATCAAGGTCCCCTGTAACAAATGTCAGCCAAAACCAATCTTATGCTGCTGTGAATTGGAGTTGACTACTGAAATGAATATGATTTCAAAAATGTGCTGTCACAAGAAAACTGAATTTTTCTGGTTTCCAGCTCTCGAGATTCCCGTTCTCGGTCCAGGTCTCGCTCGAGGTCTGTATCTCGATCCAAGTCGCGATCGAAGTCGAAGTCCCGATCGCCATCTGGGTCTCGTTCAAGGTCCCCGCCTCCAAAGGAGAAGAGAGTCAAGCGCGAACCCAGTAACGAGAAGATGGATGTGAAGGAAGAGCCGCGCAAGTCTGCGTCCAAGTCGAAATCCAGGTCCAAGTCGAGATCCAAGACTCGTTCGCCATCTCGCAGTCGTTCGCGTTCAGCGTCCCGCTCCGTGTCTGGTTCGCGTTCTCGCTCCAGGTCGCGTTCTTGAGCCTCTCAAAACGTTATTAAAAAAATATGAGAAAAGAAACCCACTCACACCCGGGATGGCATCGGTTTTTATGTTGTTTTTTTTTTTTTTTTTTGTTTTGCAGAGCTTGCCTCCGTTTGTATAGTCCGTATGAGGTACTGTATGCGAGGGATTAGACAAAAGTTCGCGGTCGCCATGAAAGTACAGTACTTGATGGAGCGTATTTTTTTCGAGAACCTGTAGTGTTGAAGAATGAAATCGCTTCGCCGCGGTCGAAAAGGTATCTCTGTAACTTTAGTGTCAATTTCCTAAAAAAATTGAAAGAAGAACCTTGCAAGAAACAAAAATACTGTACAAACCTAAGCGTGGATGTCGTTCTGTTTCTATGACGAATGCGACCGTGAACTATTCTCTAAACTCTTCTTTTGAAATTGAATTTTCTCGATTACACTCACGTTCAGTAAAGCCGCACTTTTCTCATTACGCAATGCATTATTCAACGTTATTTTCATTAAAAACGCGTCGCTAGTTTTGAGTGTTTGGTGTCGAAATCGGTTAGGAATGCGAGAATAAACGAGATTCGGTACTTTTCGCGATAGTTTCATTGGATTTTTTGATGTCAGATCGTTTCCGAGTGTACGGGTTGAAGAAAGATTGTTACGTGCTCTCATGCGGAATTTACTGTCGTTTTCCCGCCGTGAATGAGTTTTCATTTGAGCTGTTGGATTCCTAATCTTGTTTTCTGACAAAATTTACTGTTCGGTTTTTACGGACCTCCTGTTCTCGCTTTCTGGGTTTTATAAACGTGTTAGTACCGCGAATGCGTCATCAGCTGCTGCACGAGAAGAATGAACTTCTTTGTTGAGACGAATGTGAACTAATTTTCAAGCAACTTATTTTTCATGTTTTCATCGTAATTCCGGAAGTTTTCCAGGTGATCTTTTTACGGGTATAAAAATCTAAGTGATAATGCCGCGCGTGGCGAGGAAGCGGGTGGTTGAGAGCGAATCGAAGGAGAACGGTGCGGAAGGTGAGCCTACCTTAGTTAAATCTGAGGTGGTTAATTCCGAGAAATTTATTTTATGGTTTTAATATAGTTGTACCCAAGAAAAAAGGTCGCGTTCAGAAGACTCAAAAAAAGACTAACATTGGTAATGGAAATTCGGAAAATGACAAGTCAACTGCGGCAGCTCAGATGCAGAATTTCAAGTTGAAAATCGAGCACTGGTGAGTTGTTGTCGCAATCCAATTACTGTACCTAAACCGAGTAAGACTGCTCTAGCATTTATCTTGGTTTTCATGTTCACCTGGATACTTTTGCTACCAAGTTAAGAAAACTACTTTTAATGCACCACGGAAATTAGAATGCGAGATTTATCCTCGAGCAAATGTTTAATGCAACTGATTTCAAAATGATGAACATTATTTTATTACCCGTCGATTATGTTATACAACCTTTCATCAGATAAATTCCTATCTCATAATACATTATTCAGGCGATTGTATCATTCGAACCGCTCTTAGAAGGTAGAACACTAGAGCTTTTGATTAGGGAGGAATTCCAGATTCAAGTACGTAATATCAGGCACTAACAAATACAGCAAAATTGCGGATGATCGTGTATTTTTCTCCTGTAGCATGGAATTTAATCGACCTTGTCCATTGGCTAGAATTTCGAATTTTCTATATTCACCGTAGCCTAGTATTTCAAGTCTTCATGGTAGGGAATAAATCAAGTACTGTTCCCTTGTAGGTGAGACTCATAACAAAGTAAGCCTTTGTTAATGTAAAATCGATCTTTCATTTGTTGTATGAAGTCTGCTGGAAGCAGAGTTATGATTGAAGGCATACTCCAATTCTTCCAATGCAGTATTTGAAAACAAAAGAACAGTACTACTAGCCAGTATTCTGCTAGTTGAGAAAAATTCGCCGTTTTTATTCTGTAGCAAATCCTGATCCGTGTTCAAACGACGCGCGGTCGAATCGGCCTCAGCGATTGAGGCCGAATTCCCGGGTGTCGAGATAGAATACAACTCGGGAAAACCACGCAAAGGTGCCTTCGAATTTGTTATGGTCGACAAGGATGGCGCTGGTGAGTTGAAAATGTTCTTAACTTGTCAAATAAAAAATATGTAATAGTAATCGACTACGTTTCGCAGATATTGAGCTGTGGAGCGGGGTTTCTTTGGGTCCACCGAGAAAGCTCAAGTTCCCAGATGATGCCGTTGAGATGGTGAAGAAGATCAAAGAACATGTTGATTGAAGGGGGTTTGAAATGCAACGGTAATAATACCGGGGACTGGTTGGTTTTTGGCACCCTTCATTATGATGGATTCTGACCGCAAGCTTTCTGATGAAGCTGGTCACGATTCTGATGTTCTTGGGTGAATTTTCTGATCAGTTCTGGTATGATTCCCGTTCATTAGAACCCGTGTTGAATTTCAAACGGCTGTTCCCTCACGTGATCTTCCTGCGCTCTTCGTTGAGACGTGTCGTTTTTCTACTAATTTTTTGTACTTGTTTCGCTTGAAGAACGAACGCCGTTTGTCGGAGAACATAATCGTTTTCTTATTTTATTCACAGTTTTGTCGGAGATTTATTGCGGACATTTTCAAACAGCTACTAAGTGCTTGTCATTGTGCTGTGAAGTGTACACACATGGCGAATGGTTGACAGGATGTTGCAAATGGGAAGTTGCACACCACACTGTGTCTTCACAAGATACTATATGTACTCGAGCAAAATTTTAAATCTTCTAATAAATGCATCAGAAACGTTTTCTGGTTTGTAGAACCCGCTTTTTGTACACCTTCAGTGTGCAGTTGCGACGAACTCAAGTATTTACGAGGGACATTTGCTGTGTAGTGCAGTAATTCATAACTTATAAAATTTTGTTTGGGGAAAAACAATTGAAAATTAGATCAAATGCAATTTTATTTGTCAATTTTCATTAAAACTTGGGTTAAGCTTTTAGTGTTCCGTTTACTCGGAAGCAAAAAATTCCTTTTTTCTCCAAGATCAATCGTCTCTTTTTCATTCTGAAGGTAGGGTATTTCAAAATCTGTTCACTTCATGATTATTCTGGGGGTTATCAAATCGAGAATATAAATCTATGGATTCTTACTAAGGGGGATAAGAATTTCGATCGATGTTCAGGAATACGATTCATCATTAAACTAACGTGAGCTTGTAACGCGTTATTGGAAATTGTTCATACCGTGGAGCGTGATTGAGGTGCAGCTCTTTGCATTGTGAAATGCTCTGTGAACGTGCTCTTGCTATTTCTGCGGGTGGTGTAGGAGGCAGGGCATACTCCGAAGCACAGCAAACTCCCCCGGACGGAGGAGCGGTCTGCATCTGTGGAGTGAATTTCTGCTGCGACTTCTCCGTAGTGAGCACTTACGCGGGGTTTCATTCCTTAGAATTCAGAGGAAAGTTGCTTCTGCGGTGATTCTTGAAGCGGCGTTTACTTTGGGAGAGAAATGTTGAATTCTGCCGAAATCTATTTTCTGCGGTTTTGCGGAAATCATCAACCAATGTGTGCAGTTTATTATCAGGAGTTGAAGCATGGTACAAAATCTACAGAACAATGAATGCAACTAGAAATGACAGTATAGGAAGAGACATCTTTTACCCTGCTATAACTCCTCATATTAAACTTTGCACCCTTTTTGTGCCATCATGGTCTGTAGAAGGCCTCCTGTGAAAATAGATTTTGGCGGAATCAAATCCTTTCTCTGCCAAAGCAAGCACCGCTTCAAGAATAACTGCAGAATCGACTTTTCTCTGAATTTTGCTGAATGAACCACCGCGTAAGCTTTCACCACAAAAGCTGCCGCGGAAAAGCCCATAGTCGAATTTCACTCGCGAATTGGAATTGACCCCTTGGACAGCATAGGAAACTCGGGGGTACGACCTGCCCAGGCAAGGTCCTGTATACTCCTGGAGTGCGGTTCCGGGGAGTCTGCTCTGCCGTCTACACCGCTCTTCCCGGAAGTTGATGGGTGTCAGCTTAGACAATGGTTGTGATCGGGCGTTGAGGATGCAGTTCCGGGAATCGGATCGTGACATCGCCGATCATTCTGTGAAGCAATACACTGCTGTTGAATTTATGAGCTATAGCGGTTTCCAAAAGTTTCGCAGTTGGACATTCCCGTGAAATTTGAGCGAATAAGTCGTTGACTGTTCGGCAAATCTGATCAAATCTATTGTCTCTCGCATATGGACTGTGATCGTTTATTTTCTCCCTGGTTGTTTTCGTTTCGAGATATCTGATCGCTGCAATTTCGATGCGTTGCTGAATTTCGCTGCTTCACCGTACGTACAATCAGTGTTCTGAATAGCGAATCGCCATGTTGTTCTCCGGGTGATCAATTCTGTGTTCGTATGAAAAATGCTAGCTAAGTGCCGATGGTAATCTCGCGCTTTAACCTGCAGGAGTACGTAAGACGATATTGTGTTTCCGCATTTTGGATAATCGTCCGAGGTTTTTCGACGGAGCCTATACTGGTTTGACATCGGTGAGAGCCCGAACCGCTTCTTTTTAATGCAATGTGAAGTCCTCCTTCACGTGATATTTATTTTCATTATATTCTAGAATCGTTTGAACGTCCATTTATAATTTCACGTTCTCTGTATTTGAATCTCATCTCGATAGGCAACAAGAACGGCCGGAGGCGTGTATCGAGTGTCACTGGAGCGTTTCAGAAGTTGGAGGTTGCAAAACTTTGTGAGTACATGCCATTTTTAAAGCGCAACTTCATCTTTCTTCGTGTGGTTGATCGATTGCGAATGAATTGACAGTGCAGAGATTGGCGGTAAGATCCGGCAAACGATGTCGAGACGTTCACGTTCATACAGCAACTCCGGCAGTGAATCACCACCCCGTCGAAATCGGAAGCGTTCGAGAGGGAGTATGAGTCGGGATCGTGACCGTGATCGAGATCGTTCGCCCTATTCGCCTCCTCCTCGCGGTTATCGTTCACCGAGGAATGATTATTACTCGTCAGCCTCTACGTCGAAATCAACCGCCTACCGTTCATTGCTCGTCAGCAACATCGACTCGAAAGTGTCGGACCCGGAAGTGAAGGATACCTTGTACAAAGAATTTCGACGATTCGGCGATTTGTCCGTGCGAGTGGTGAACGAACCCGACGAACGTGTGGCATACTTGACGTACAAGCATTCCGACGATGCTCATTATGCCAAGCGAAACAAGCCGAAAATCCACTTCTACGACAAGCAAATCCACGTTCAAGCGTTGTACAAATCGGATTATCATCATCGTTCACCAAGTCCTCGTATGGGGTACGATCGCTTCTCTCGCTATTCTCCGCCGCTTCCTCTGCCGTATGACCGGGACCTGAATCCGTACATGTACCCGCCTGTCGGATACCCATTAGATCTACCTCCGTATGACCCACTTCTACCGCCTCTTCCCCCCGGGGCTCTTCCGCCGCCACGGCTAGACGGCAGGTACGGACGCGGACGCTTCGGCGATTTCGGAGGCGGTCGACGTGGTGCCAGGAGAGACCGATTTCCGAACTACTTGCATCACGTTTCGCCGGAAGACGATCCGTTGGCTTGTCGGACGCTGTTTGCCGGTAATTTGGAGGTCTCTATTTCCGACGATGAACTTCGAAGGATTTTCGGACGCTACGGGAAACTGGAAGACATCGACATCAAACGCCCGCCTCCTGACACTGGAAATGCTTATGCCTTTGTTCGCTACGAAAATCTCGATATGGCGCATCAAGCCAAGATCAGTTTATCTGGTCAGTACATTGGAAAGTTCATGTGCAAAGTCGGCTACGGTAAGCCGGTGCCTACGGTGAAGGTGTGGGTCGGTGGACTTGGAACGTGGTGCAACTTGCCGCTTTTGGAACGCGAGTTTGACCGTTTTGGAGCCATCAAGAAAATAGATTACGAACAAGACGCGCCTAGCGCCTTAATCACGTATGATTCAATCGACGCCGCGAAGGCAGCTGTGTCTGAAATGCGCGGATTTCCTCTCGGAGGGCCCGGGAATAGAATTCGGATCGATTTTGCACATGTGGACGGGCAAAGCGATCCTGGACGCCATCCGATCCCGAGATCGCCCCGCGAGGATTTCTACGAAACGAGAGGCGGTGGAGGAGGTGGTGGTGGTGGTGGTGGCGGTGGTCCACGTTATGCCTTTGATCCGTACGATTCGCTTCGGAGGGACGACTACGAGGCGCCGCCGTTCCGCCCACGAAGTCCGATGGACGCTGCTTTGCCGCGAGACTTCGACCCTGTTTCGCGACTGGAAGATATTCGCGTCGTGGCGGAGATTGAGCACGTGACGCCGATGTCTTGGGAAGGAGGGATAATCCTCAAGAACTCCATCTTTCCGACGAAGCTGCATTTCGTCCGCGGAGATAAGTCAACTTCAATGATGCTGAGTGGAATCATGAAGATTGCGCAGCGACTGCGACTGGATCCGTCGAAACTGGACGACGTACAACGAAGGCTGTCGATGAGTCCGGCGCATGCGATATTCATTGGATTGCCGACGTCGAATCCGGCGCCTCCGCCGCCACCCGAAGACGCGAGTGTGCAAGACCGTCCCCTGAAACACCTGGTGGCGTATCTGAAGCAGAAAGAGGCGGCTGGTGTAATTTCGTTACAGTCGAGCAAAGGCGTGACTACGGGAGTGGTGTACGCGTTCCCGCCGTGCAAATTTTCTTTTGAGCTGCTGAGGTCGTCGTTGCCGAGTGTGATCGAGGATGAGACGAAGGAAGATCACATCGTTATCGTCATGGTCACTGGCCCCATGTAAATTTTGATTTTGGCCGGAAGTTAATTTTTTTTAATTTGTAGCCTGCCACTCGTTGGGTTTCATCTTGCGCGAATTCTGAAAAGTGGGTTCCTGACGTGGCTTTCCTTTGCCCTAGATTCATCGTGAAAGGAACTCCCTGGGATTCTAAAGTTTTTTTTTTTTTAATTCTGGGACCCTAAGCAAAGATTTCACACATTTTGGCCTTGAACAGTGGTCCTCAACTTGTGCGCTTGTGTGTAGACCAGGTTTTCTGTGGCCACTCACGAAGAAAACAAATTTCTGCTTGAAACACATCGTTAATCTATTGAATGCATTCAATATAAAAAAATGTGGCTAGAGCTGCTGGGGTTTTTAAGTAAAGCAAAGGCAATGAAGCGAAAATGTTCGGATTCCAGGGCACAGAAAATGGCGAAACATTAGTGCCGACGCGAGACAGCGGTTTCTGTCATGTACAGTAGTTAGCATGCTACTAACTGGCAAATGTAATATGCTCAACATTTATGACTTTCAAGGATTAGGCTAGAACTGAAAGGTCTTCAACTTGCCGTAAAAACCATGAAGAGCGACAGTGCATTTCCCTCCAAAAATATCGAGTAAGATTTATGAATATGTAGGCGGAAGGCATGGGACGGTTATCAAACTACACTCCGTGTCCTCTTCCATATTAATCTACGGCTGCTTCAGGAGTATGAACAAAACATTGACCATCAGTAAATGAAAGCTTTATGATGTAAATATTTTTGCGGGGGGGGATTAACAAATTTAATTGGATGGATTGTGGAATGGGCTCCTTGTTTCAGAAAGATTTGAGAAACCCTGGTCTTAGCATGGACTTCGAGGAATCGCCCTGTCTAAATATGTACAATAGAGGGCTTCCGCAAGAAAAAAAAAAAAACAAGTTGGAGATCACTGACTTGGAATAAAATTGCTCTTTAAGTGGGATCGTGTACGAAGTGTGAAGCTGCAGTAAGTCGATCTTTGTCGTTTCCCCGGTTTGTGTAAGTTTTACAGAATTCATTAATTTTGAAGTTGGAAAGAAGTACTGTACTAAATTAGGCAGGTGGGATCCAGCTCGAGTCAAGGTCTGCTTGTAAGAGTAAGAATGTTCTAGTCTCATGGATGGAACTTCGCGATGAAACTAGCAGAAAGGGATGTGGCCTTTCAGGGGTGGGAATGTTGGTGAGCTGCGGGTGGGTGGGGAATACTTACTAAGCCAGGTGGCCTATATTAAGCTTGTTTTTCTTTCCTTCAGATGATGCTTCTGTGGGGAGTTTGTAAAGTTTGTGTCGCGGGTGTAAAACTGGTTCGCATTAATCGTGAGTGGGTGGCGCGAGAATGTGGCAGTGGCTTGGTGGAAACGCGGCAGTGTATTTTCACGATGGGGGACCGATTTATGTGTAAAAAAAGAAAGATAAAAGAATAGCCTTTCCGAATGCCTCTTGTTTTGCTCCCGGGGAGTTGCCGTGACGGATGTGAATAAACTGAGAGTGGGAACCGAGCAAACCGTGTGTGTGAGTGAGTGAATTGTGTGGTGGAAGTGATCTTGTGATGTGATGAGTGGTTCGGTACTGCGTCTGTGTAGAACCTTCAGCAGGAAGTGTCGACGGTGTGGGTGAAGGCATGAACTTGATGTTCAGAAGGGGAATATGCCTCAGGTAAAGAGCAGAAGTGCGAGAGGATTACTGACGAGATTCGAGGTCAAGATAACACCATCCCAGGGGCGGAGTGTTGGCGTACGTCATCTTTGTTGCGAAAAGCAGTTCATCATTCTAAGATGGCGAATACCTATAATCCAGTTCTTCCTTTACTCAGGTCACCTGCAATACCAGGTTATTCTACTTCCTTGTGTGAGAACTAAGAACTACCTTCCATTGTTCATGGTAGCAAAGGTGGACTCTCTCTACAACAATCTTCTTTGTATCAAATTGTTTTTTGATTCTATGGGCATAGGGTTCTCTTTCCATCTTACAAGGGTGCCCTACAACCCAATTCTCTGGGGAACATAATTTCTTCTTGTTTCTTGAATTTCTTGGTAGAGAGAGTCCACTAGTGTTTTGATTATAGATTTCAACATTTCGAAGTTCCTCCCAAGAAACTCATCAATGTTACCTGAATCATAGTTTTCTTCTATGCCGTGATTCCCTGCTATGGTTAGCTTCTCCCTAGTACAGTAGCCAGAAACTGATCGCAGCACATCGAACGTTCTCACTTCAACGCCTAAAATGTCGGACACCACGATTATCTGTCACATCATAGGTGTCGCCTGAATCTTGTTCGACACTGGCCCGAGTGAAGTTAGGTTACGGTACTTCAGGTGAACCACGCATGCATGAATCTGAATGCGCAATGTTCTTTAATGGATCTAACTTGAATTTTGTACATTCTTATGATGGGTGATCTCTGGTCATTTAAAATCTTCAGGCAACACCTTCGTGATGTACGAGTTAGTAAGGTTGAGCGTTGAAATGCAGATTACTGATCTGTCATTCGATTTCAGTATTTCCCAAATTTTGTATTGCGTGTCTTCTGGCGCTGTCAGCATTGCAGTGTTGGGAGGAATAATAAACCACTACACAAAAATCTGACTCCATGTAAGAACTGTACGGAAAAACAATTCTACTGGAATAAACTTTTTAACGGGCGGACTGTGTATTTGAAGAATGAATTGAAGTTGTTTAAATCGATAACGGGGGTTTCCCTCGTATTTAAAATTGAGTATTTCATTTGGCCGGGGTTCTCTTCCTCATGAGTTGAGCGACTTATGAATACAACATGCCTTTGTTTTGTTTTCTATGCCGAGTCACCTTCCCCCTGAAACTTTTCGACAGCATACACTAATCACAATTTTGAAAACAAATTCAATGCCATTTTTACCGATCGTTTTCATTGGAGATACTGTACTGTAAACTCAACTGTCTTCGTACTGTACTCAAAGACTCGTGTTGACCTGCTGTATACGGTATGAATTCTTCATTTTTCAAGCTACACATTTAACTTTTCCCCAGATCTTTCAAACCTTTTCCTCCTGGAATTAAAGCGTTTGACTTTGTTGACGTGAAAATAACATTCAGCCCCTGTACTATTCGGGTTAGGTTAGTTTCGTCTAATCGTGTCTCGAAGAAGCGTGGACAAGTTGATTCGTGTTTCAAATGTCCGCTGGAGGAGCATGGGGAAGAATGAAATGAAAATGGAGGACGGAAGGGCTTTTGGAAGAAATTACTCATTCTGGAGGAATCATTGATCAGAAGACGCCGATTGTCCATGTTTTGATCATAAATTTCGAGGTGAAGTAAGAATATAATCTCGCATAGGTGCGTATTGACGAAACATTCCTTATCCTTCGAAACTAATTAAACACTGTATAAGCATATATTTAAACTACAGTAGTTTATAGTAAAACACTTCAAATTGATTCTTGGTTGGTTGAAAAGTAAATTACAGTACATTAGAGAGTGGAGCAGTTCGTACAGTATTACGGATGTTTCTATTGGTTGCACCTTCGTATCCTTTAATTTTGTCCTTCAAAAGGATGAAATTACCGTTCAGCTGTGTGAGGATGTACAGTACAATAATGACAGGAATGGTCTTCCGTGTAATCGAGACTTTTCCTTCATGGACAGAGTTCCTCGGAGAATTTTAATAAGACGGCGAAGAAATCAATCATGATTGTGAGTATTCCCTGCCAATTTCTTTGAAATATTCCATTTTGAGAAGGTTTCGTTTAATATTTTTTGAAGCAGCTTGGCGTTACCTCTTGCAAGACTCGCGAGACGGACACGTGTGAAGCATGGATTCTCCGCGCGAATAAATTTTTTTGTCGAGTTCATGTGTTCAGGAAGTTTGGATGTGCAGAAAATGACTGTGATCCTTCTTGGAATCTTGCATTGGCTTATTCATTATTTTATAGTGAATATCTCGAGCGGTGGAAATCTTGATACCAGTCTAATGTGTCGTCTATCCGCTTCATGTCATTTTCTCTTTATATCGTAAGCTTAGTTTCCCGTCGAAGGGTCAGGCACACCATTTCTTCGTGTCATATTGGATTTCATTTTTCAACCGAGAATAAAATGTTTCTTTCTTCCTGGAATAAGAAACATTTCTTTTATGCATTGAAGCATATTTTGGGACGTAAACTTATTTTGTATGATTAAAAATTATCTTTCAAGATTCGCGCCAAATTCTGCCTGAATCGGGAGTGAAGAACGAATTGCTGTTATATTTGAAATTTCCAGAATGGTATTACAAATCCTAAAACTCTAACTTTTGACAATGTGCGTAATTTGACTTTCACCATATTTATTTGAGTAACATGCGCACCTGAAATTTTCAGTATACAATTTGGAAAAATAAGTGTTCTCAAGTAAGACATGCGCCCCGTTTTTAGAGGCTAAAAATTGCAATGCAGTATTATATTTATAAAAAAACACATAGGAATTGAAAGTTTGACTTGATTTGCAGTCAGATTGAATGCTTATTTTCCGTGTTTGATTTTTAGAGATTTTTTGTTGAAATGGGTGAATATTCGCTGTGTTGAGTAGCAACGCTTTTAAAATTAAAACGAATTTTATGCTTACGTAGGATGCGCACTCTTTTTTTTAAACTCTCAATAGACAAGTGTTGCTTCATAGAAGAATGGAAATTTCTTGGCATCAAAAGCTATTTCCCCCAGATTTACTATGGAAGAGAATGACGCATTGTTTTGTAATCATCAACTATTTTAGGCGTGCGCCAGAGTTTCTGCAGGTGGAGTTTTGTCATTGTATGGATGACGTATTGCTATTTGAATTGTTGAAGCATGGAATTGAGTGCCCTTCCTGCCGTATATGACACACTAGACTGGTAACGAGATTTTTACCACTGTACTAATCTTAACTAATTTGAGAGATTAGTTCAAACGTTTCTTGTTTGTTTCGAATTACAGGGTGTTCTTGCATGCGGTGGTGTTTGACTTCCTTTGCTGTTTCCTGAGCAAGTTCAGTATTACATTATCGTTTTTTCCAAACATTTCGTCGGTGATGCTGAGGTGAGCACTTCGGATTTTTTTCGAGATGGAATTCGAAATGATTGTCCAAGATGATCTCGCAAGATCCACTTTTATTTCGCCCGGATCCGCATTCTGCGCTCGTCAACGTACCAAAATGTTGCTGCGCAGGCGAAGTTATCGAAGAAATTCGAAAGGAAAACAAAATACATTTACAGATGTTCTTGATTATCTTCATGCATTACTCAAGTTGGTCATTCGGAGAACCCAGCCGTAGGGTGGACTTGTTGCTGCTTGCATTGGTGGTACGCTGATCTTTATGCCACCATCTGGCAGAGTTTCGTGCTGTGGAAGGAATTGTTTGATCTGGTTAGTTACGATTTGAATGAGTGATTCCCGGAAAATAATTTGAATCAGCATGTGACTGACCACATCACCTTATTTACTCTTATACCATATGTCCTCAAAACATGCGCTAAAAATTTTAAGTCTAAAATTGGTGCAAGTCTTAATTTTGGATAGAAAGGTATCCATGATTAAGATGCGCACCCAATTTTTAAGGAGACTGAAAATTGAAATATTTTGAAAATATAATTTATCAGAATTTACATTTTGAATTGAATTGTCAAGATGAACATCGATATTAATAATTTCCATTTTTAAATAGAAACCGGTTAAAAATCCCCTGTAGAAAGCAATTACGGTGAAGGTGCATTCTCTCTAACAAAATTTTAGGGACCAGACAAAAATTTATCCGTGGAAAGAATTTCATTTTAGAGAACCCCGATAATTATCATGAGGAAATTGTCAAAAGCAAAATCTTTGTGAAGGGAAAGTCAGGTTCTCCGAACCTGAAAAAAAGTTGTACCTGCCTATGATGCACACCCCCTTTTTTTCCTTAGTAATTTTGTAAAAAAAAAATTTGCGCATGGTACTCCAATGAGTATGTTTACTCTGCAATTTGATTTTAGCACAGTTGAATCTGTTGGTGTCAAAATTCATGGGACCTGCAAAAATTGACCGAGATAAATTTTTAGTTGGAGAAACCATCATTTTTGCTGGAGATGAAAGGAAAGAAGTGAAGGAAATTGAAATGGTCGATAGTTTCGGTATCATCTGCTGAATAGCTTGGTTCACAGGATGCTGAATGTGGAAGCAAGTGTACTTTGCCGCGTTATTCACTAATTTACTTCTGAAAAGCATTCAGTTTGAGCTTTTCTCTTGACTGAGTACCTAGAATAATGCCCCAAATGCCTCCAGAAATCTGAGGAGGAAAGTTTTGCAGTTAGTGTAGTCTAAAAAAAATTCTAAATTGGAAGCTTGGTGTTATCATCAGGTCCTACTGTAGAAGAGGTTTGTTCCAGTGCTTCGAGGAACTCTCGACAGATGGCATTGTGACCATGACAACTTTAAAGGCTTGAGAATGTTTTTTTCATCAAAGATGATGACTCACTGTGACTTCTCCATAGCCCAGCATGAAAATCTGAGTGGTTTCCGATGCTTCCGGTGCTCCGAGGATTAAATCTGATACAGGATATCGCAAAAATATGGCATACACGCTTCCTTGCACGTCCTCTGGGCCGCTTCCTTCTTTTCTTTTTGTGTACCTGTTCTCGAAGGTACGGGTTTTGAAAGATATATCATTGGATGAATGATGCAGTTCGACACAGATTTGCATATCTGAAAATCCATCTTTTATGGGAGAATAACGAATGGATTGTGCGTGATCAAATGGAGTCCCGGAATTATTTGATAGATTGTTCCCCGACCTTTCAAGCTTCAAGAAAAAACTGGTGTCATACTTTTTATTTTTATTATAGACATTTTTGAAGTTATCATCTGTACATATTCCTTTTTTCTAATGCAGTAATGTGTTGGTTCTCGGTTTCAGCAACCATGGCAAACAAACGACTCCAAGTCATCTTACGTAACGTCACCGGAAAAAAACATGTAGGATTACAGTGATCATCGAATTTTGCTGTCTTAAAGTTCAAAATTTAACGAAAGAAACTATAAATCCGACCGTTTTGAAGAAAATTGTGAGGAGCCTGGGGAATTCACTTTTTTTTGTTCTGTGAGCTGAAGACTAAACAAAAGAAATGACTGTCCTGTGATTAGATTTAATTGAAGTGAATCAAATTTTTGTATTGATTTAAAATTTTGCGTGCATGATGATAATTTTCTGTGGATTCAAAATGGAAGCTACACCTGCGTGATGTTCCACAAAACATTTTTCAACAGAAAAGTTTTGAGGAAATTAGCCCTCAATTATTCAGTGAGAGTTTTTCTGGTCGGACAATTAGAATGTAGCAATTTTTTATTATTGAATAGAAAATATGTAGTTAATTAAAGGAAAAAATTCATCCCAAATTTTTTTTGATCAACCAATTCGACGCTTCTGTGAAAAGTGATTTTTTCTTCAGAATTACGTCCTTCAAAGAAAGGAAAAATCGGGATGAAAATTAATAAACTTTTATAAACGTGAAGAAAATAATGGATGAACTGCCAAAAGCATCAATATCTTGTTCTGTAAATCGAGATTCGTTGAAATGGGATTTTTGTTGCACTCTTGACTGGGATTTGAAGCGGTAATTTTTAGATTTTCCATTATAAGGCAGGATTCTTTATAAAGTAGTTTCACCTGTATTCGAAAGATAATGATCGCTTACCAAGTATCAGCATTGACTGTGTCATTCTGGAATGACCAGGGCACAGTTCCGTGAATACCTTCTGCGTTGATCTTCATCCAGTCTCCCAGTTTGACGAGCCTGTCTTCGTAGATCGGATTCAACATGCCGTCCGCAGTGACCCCGATGTTGATGAGCATGTTTCCTGCGTTAATATTCAGAAAATGAGTATATTTATTATCATCGTTTTCATGTAGCTAATTTTTATTTTTATTTTTTTTTTCTGTTGAAAAAGTGACCTCCGCAGCTGACGGTTTCAGCCAACGTTCGGACGAGTTGTGGAAGCTCAACGTAGTCCCATGCATGAGAATTCCGTCTGTGTCCCCAAGAGAACTTGTCCAAAGTCATTGCGTTTTCCCATTTTCTCGGTTGAAGGGTACCTGTGTGGAAAGAAACGTCCGCCATATTTTTAAATCTCAAAGGCTTATTTTTATGTGAGGCATTATTCAATAGTCCCTCCCTCAAGAGGTGACTTTTCATCAGGAACAAAATGTGTTCTTTTTTACCCCAAGGGCTTTATTTTATTCCTTGAAGCATTAATTAAGTCCCTCCCTTAAAAGGTGGCCCCGACTTGGGTCATAGACAAAACATTTTTTTCTTCATGGATAATTTTAAGCAACCATCACTGGGCAAGTGCCCCAAAGAACCTTAAGAAATGGGTGACCAGTGGCACTTGTGTGTCACTGTGTTAAGTGCCACCCATCCTCATGTAATGCTTACCTAGAATTTTTGCATTGAAACATTTGGGTTGGAAATTTTTTAAATGTATAAACTAGTGAGCACACCAGTTTTTGGTGATCAATACAACAAAAATCCAAAATAGATTCGAATTTAAATGAAGGATTAAATACTGGTGGGAAATGTGAAACAGAGCCAAATATAGAAGGAAAATCGAATTGTCTGGTCAACTGAAAAATGTTTTTACTTTTAGCTTTTTGACGATTGAAAAAGAAACTTCTTTGCGGGTTAGTGTTAGTAAATGGAAATGCATGGTTCCTTAATGCAAGGGTGGACTGAGGTTACATAATTAGCTATTCCATTTGTTCCAGGGACTCACTGAAAGACCATGATGAACTTGAAAATCTGTTCTTTTCCCTAGTCTTAAAAACAAACTTGTGAATTTTAAATGGAGTAATGCTGTACAGTATTAAATGTCTAGAATCCTGCCAAATCTGTGCTCTCAACTTTTTGAATTTCAAAAAATTTTGTCGGCAAAAAGAAACAAAAAAGTTTTCTTTTCTTAATTTTTCTCAATTTTTAACGTGTTCAAACTGGGAGACAGAAAAAGTGCCCGACTTTCGAATATTATCCGTTTTTGAACCTTCTGGAAAATGACTTAATAAAAGTACAGTGGTACCTCTTAAAACAAACGTAAGTCATCAAATTTTAGATTGCAAATTTAAAACATTTCTTTCAAGTGGGTTATCCTCAAAAATTGACATAAAAACAAAATCTTTGGGACTTTTTGATATTTTTTGAAAATTAAAAATTTGCATTTTGCTCTTGGTAACATGGTGAAAAATCGCATTACAAACGTTCGTTGTTCAGAATTTTCGTACAAAGAGGTACGACTGTAAAAGCCTTTTGAAGAATCAAAAAAAGAAAACATTGACATTTTGCGAAAACATGCCTCATTGTGAATGTGCTTACGTGGATTGTATCTGTCGACGCAGTTGAGGAATCCCCCGTGTTCGCAAGCAGTTCCTTCACCCCAGCGATCGTTGACAACCACGGTTTCAGCGACAGGACTTTCGTTGTAGAGCCAAGCCAGGAAATTGGTCGAGTTCCAATAGGACGCAGGTGCTTCCCAATCCCCAGTCGACCAAATGATGTCAGGCTTGTACTTCTCTACCTGTTGAAACAAGAGGGAAGAGGATTTGCACTTCTTATTGGCGAGTCTGAATAAACGCGTGGGATTGTTTTGTAGAAAGGAATGGAATTCCGAATCTATGCTTCCGCCCATTTGTTGAAATTATGTCTGAATTATGTAGCTTACTTTTGTTGAAACTAAGGGGCTTATTGTTGCAGTGACACTTTTCTTGAAGCAAATTTAAAATCACAAAATGAATGAAATGTCCAGTGTTGATTGACAATGACGCCAGTACTTTTGAATTACTATCCAATATCTCAGGACTGATGAGGTTTTCCTCTGTCTTCTCAAATTTCAAGAAAACTGGATTGATTACTTTGAATGAGTGAACTTAAATCAAGTCACGCTAATGTGAACATATGCATATGTGTAGTTCGAACTAAGGCCTTTTTGTTTGAAGTAAGTCATATTTTCTGCTAAAAGTAAGTCATAATTTTTCCTTGTACTAAATTGCATGTTTAACTTGAACTAAGTAATTTTTATTTTATTTTGAAGCTAGTCATGTTTAAAAAAAATCTGGTTATATAATTTTTAGCTTGAAGTAAGTCATATTTTTAGCTTGAAATAAGTCATATTTTTAGTTTGAAATAAGTCATATTTTTAGGTTGAACTGAGTCCTATTTTTTCCAGCTTGAACTAAGTACTGTATGTTTACTTTTTACTGAGTAATTTTTTATTTTGAAAAAGTCATATTCTTAGTTTGATATTAGCCATGTTTTTTTTTTAGTTTGAATTGAGTAATATTTTTAGTTTGAATTGAGTAATATTTTTAGTTTGAATTTAGTTATATTTTTAGCTTGAAATAAGTCATATTTTTAGTTTGAAATAAGTCATATTTTCAGTTGGATATTAGCGTTTTTCAGTTTGAATCAAGTCATATTTTTAGTTTGAACTCAATCATACTCTACTTCTACTTTGAATTTGGACATATTTCAAGTTTGAATTAAGTCATATTCTTAGTGAGAGCTAGGTTATATTTTTGGTTGGAACTGAATAATATTTTTTAAAGCTGGAATTGAATCTTTCCAACTGTATTAAATAATGGGGTTAATGTAATGAATGAAGATTACTTCAGAAACCGAATATCGCCAGTTGAATTAATCATTTCTCTCCATCTATTATAATTCCCAACGTTTTCGAGATCTCACCAAGTCCTTCAATTCTGGCACTGATTTTGTCGCTGGGTAGAAAGAAGTTCTGAACCCGATCGCCTTGTCAATATTGTAGATCGGGTGGAACCATTCGTACAAAGAGTAGAAAACTCCAGCTTTCAAATTTTCCTTCTTCCTCATTGCGGTCATAAATTCTCCTGCGCGAGGAAAAATTGGCGGATTTAAATTTCAAATTTCACGAAGAAAAAAATCTGTAGATTTCAAGATGTGATTTACCCACGACGTCCTTCGTCGGACCGGAAGTCAGAGAATTCCAGTGATAGGAATACGGCGATGGCCACATGCAATAACCGTCTTGATGCTTTGCTGTGAGAATTGCGTATCTGTGGAAGTGAAAATGGATGAAAATGACGTAAAAGATTGAGAGAAAGTGCCCAACATTTCATTGGAAAAGATGCCGTAACTGAAGATTTGATGTGGGGAATGAAGATTTTAGAGAACTGCAAACATTTTACCCCGTGACTCCGTTCTGGTTATTAATGCTAGTTATTTTGTTGATTTTTAAACTTGAATCAGTTTGAAATGCCGCGTGAGTCTGCTTTGCTGTTGCCCTCCCGGTTTTTATCGCTTCACATTTGCGTCGCAAAAAAATTTCCCGTCTGTCATTTGTTTTCTCCACGACGTTTTTTTTTTGTGTGTGTGTGTGTCGTGGAACTTTACTAATTGAGCGTGGAATAATCGTTAGCCTCTTACTTCACTCCGGCGTGTTCGAAAAGTTCTGCCCATTTGTTGGGGTTGAAGAAAATCCCGGTGAGATCATCCGTGAATGACGCATAAGTATCTTTTGCCTTGAAGTTGTCTCTCATGAACTGGAGATACGATGGCTTCTTCTGACCTGTTGAAAATCCCAGTAAATTCGTGAAGTTGAACTTTTAATGAAGACGGTGTTTGAAGTTTGATCCTTGTTTGTTATTTTAGCTGTCTCCGCTTTCTTGTGACCTCACTAACGTCCGACTAACTTAATTTAATGCCGCCCTTCCGAATCAACCCAAGAGGTTGCACGGAACTTAAGGTAATCTAACTTAAACGTAACTTATCCTGCATAATCGCTAAGATAATTAATATTACGTAACCATGAACATCTGTAATCCAAATCGACCATAAATACAGCTACAGTTGAACCTCTCCAAGTCGAATTTCAAGGGACCTGCAGAAAAATTTGACTTAGGGAGGTTCAGAATTTTCAAGGTTGAAACTTGGAAAAATGTAAATGGTGATATTCTGGGGCTTAAATGGCTTCTTAAATGAGTTGAAAAGGCTGCTGAACTTGGAGACAGGGGTTCATTTGCCCACTGAAGTCTTTCACTTCCTTTAAAACCCTTACATTTCTGTTTCATTTTTGTTCTTGGGTGAAAAAATAATGGCCAAGAGGCCACAAAAAAAATTTGACTTATGGAGGTTTGCGGGAAAAGCTTTTGACTTAGTGAGGTTTTTAATCTATTGTTTCTAAGGGGATTCAGATGGGGATATGGAAAAAATTTGACTTAGGGGGGTATTTGACTCGGGGAGGTTTGAGTTATCAAGGTTCATGTGTAATCTGTAACCTTACCTCAACCCAATTAAACTAACCTAACCTAATGATGAATAAGCTGTACATGTCAAAATACATAAAATCTGAAAACTTTTAGTGAACTTACCAGGAGTCCAACTAAACTAATCTATCAAAATCAATTGATCTAACAAATAAGCTGATCTAAGGTATTAAATCAAACTGATCATTTGAGATGGTTGAAAAACTAAATTAATTTGACAAGTTTTGTAGACTCATCTACAAAATTGAGCTTAACTAACATTAGGTCAAACTGAACAAATGTAAGACCCAATTGAGCCAACATGACAGGGAACTAAACTAAGATAACACCTAAATGGTAGTAACATACTCTTAACTATCTCTTGAATAAACTGTCTTGATATATTCAACACCTGAAAATTAAAATTACTTGACCATAATTTATCTGACTAAGCGTTCATAACCTAAGCTGAAATCTACTGAACTATTAATTTACTGTATTTTATGGAGTAGGTCACCTACCTGAAGTAGCACAACTTACTATGCAGTATATTATTGAAGTACAGACAATGAATGCGAACTTTAAAAATGGAAAAGAATATTCTCGCATCAAGAATTTCCTCGGGGAAAATTATATTCTTCGCATTTTTTCCTATTCTGAAGGCCCTCTTCAGCTGCATCTCCACCAGATTCTCCAGAACTGAATTCTTGGTTGCTTATTTTCATTTTTTTTAAAATTCCCTGATATGTATTTTTGAAGATATGGAAATTCGTTTTGTGCATACCCAATTGAACCGAACACGTTACAGTGCAATAGCAGCCGAGTTGAAAATCTAATCGCAGAAGCTTGCTGTGACAAGACTGGACTTGCACAATGTTTTTTTTCGTGCATAATTTATTTCAAAATTCAGATTTGAACGGGAAGTCGAAATCATCGGTTATTGACGCTCCTCAAAATTTGTCAAGATGCAGATTTTGAGAACTTCTCGAAAGTAAAAATGATATCACGGCTGAATAGACATTTTTTCGTACCTCACCTCAAAGTTTTCAGAAGAGCATTTTGCTGTAGATTTTGGAGAAAAGTTGTGCATTTGGTAAAATACTGTAATGCATTTTTTGAATACATTACTGTGAAGCTGTTCTGTTTCGGGAAACGTAGCTTTTCTTACATTTCCCTGTCATTGAACTTCGTTCATTACAATATCAAAATTTCAAATCAACCTTGTAATTTTAGGATAAATCGAAGAAACGACAAAAATTGAAAATTGAGTTTTAACAACATTATAGTTGTACAATTTAACAACCTCTTCAAGGCAAATTTCAAGGATCTGTAAAATATTCGACTTCGGAAGTTTTTGAGTCGTATAGAAACAAACATTTTTTTGAGAGAAAGAGAGGACTATTGCAGGAAATTCTAAATGGTGATATTCTCGGCCTTCGATTACTTCCTAAATGAATTGACAGGGTGCTGAAATTGAAGGCAAGGGTTCATTTGCCGAACCAGTCTTTCACTTCCTTTCAATATAAAAAAAACATGAATTCACATTTTTATTGCTCTTCTTTTTCCTGTGTCCAAGTAATGATAGCCAAAATTTCCCCAGAAAATTCGAGTTACGGAGGTTTTTAATACATTGTTTCCATGAGGATTCAGACAGGTACTTTGAAAAAAAAAAAACGACCTAGAATGGCACAGTATTCGATTTCGGGAGGATCGCGAGGTTCAGCTGTAAGTAGACGAAAATTGCTAATCGTATACAGTACTGTATATGGCATTAGCTGGCATTAGCTGCGAAGAACTGAAAGTGCAGCTATGCAAAACACGAACCAGTTATTTTGTATTTATTTTTGCATTACAGTATTGTATTTTGCAGTACCTCTGAGTGCCCACCAGAACCATTCTGACCCGACGCCAGGAACTGAGTACAAGCCCCAGTGAACCAGAACTCCAATTTTCGCCTCGTCGTACCAACTCGGAAGCGGCCTGGCGTCCAAAGACTCCCAAGTTGGTTCGTATGAACCCTGGGTTCCACTTATGTTAATAACACCGACTAAAAATGCGCACAGCGAAACTTGCAAGCCTTTGAAAAACATAATTTTTCCTACAAAAACGAAATCTGAAGGAGAAAGGAAAGAATTTAGTGAAGTTTTGAACGCTCGCTCGAGAAATACCCGCGATTTATGACGGATTCGCTGGAATGGAGAAATCATCCCGCTCAAAATTTTACGAATGACAATTTGATATTTGTTTCAAATCGGTTTGGGATCAAATTATCGAAGCGCGGTAAATTCACTAAAAAATTCAATTTTTTATTGTGAACTGCGCGAAAGTTTTGGATGCGTAGTATTTCAAGTTTTGCTTTTCGCGATCATCCCACACAGTCAGCTGGAAGATGAACCACTTTTCTTAATTTCTCGGAGATGCTAAAGATTTGTGCAAAATTTCAGCTTGAAAAATATATAGGGTTACGGTTAACTAAATTTGTGCAGGAAAATTTGAATTAACGTCTGTATAAAGGAAAGTATTTTGGAGCTACAACGGGGTAAGAAAGCGACTGACTAACTGACTGATCGCAATTCACTCCATTCCTAGGGTCGAAGAAGTATTTTGTCTCGTCAGCAGGTTTGAATGGCTCCTCGGAATTTTTGCTTCAGTAGCTCCGTTTCCTTTCCCGAGAATTTTATACCCGGTACTTGTTTGCGAAAGTATTTTTTTGTGTCGATGACACGTACTTTTCGAGAGCATTTTATTTACCCGCAATAAAGTTTATCTGTTGAAAGTTGCAAACGGTAGCAGTAATTTTTGGCTGATGATGATGGGATTCTTGAAAAATAAGAAAATAAAAGAAAACCGATGAGGAAAGTGCGCTTGTCGCGTGTAACCTTGAAATTTTCGCAGTTTTGTTTTTTAAATCAATTGCGTTCTAAAATTGAAGGTTTTACTACCCTTCAAACGCAATCTAATGAATTTTTGCAGCTAGTAAATTTAGGAATTCAAATGAGGTAAGAATTCTGCATTATCAGCGACTATATTCGTACATTTCAATGCTCAGCCAAAAGCTGACGGATTTCTGAGTTTCTAGAGAAACCCTTTACAGTATTCGGAAAGCTTTAAACTGACTTACACTAGAAAGAAATTTGGTACTTTCATGTTATCTCTGTACCCATTTTTCTTTGTCTCGTGAATTCAGTATTAGTTAGGTTAAGTTAGGTCAGGTTATGTTAATTAAAAGATATTTGTAACTAACATAACCTGACCTAACCTAATCAGTTTCAGCAGAATGAGGAAAAATGAAATTCACAGTTTCTGGTGGGTGCACGGAAAGTAGGTACTGAGATAACAGGAAAGTACCAGAAAGGGTATGTGAACTGCTTGAGTTCACATGTAAAAAAAAATTATCTTCACCTGTTCCAGCAGTCAACATCGGAAAAATATTCTGCCTTGAGTCAAGTACATCGCTCATTGAAATACAGTACTGTATATGAATTTTTAATAGGTTTGCTTGTATACAAGGTGGCTCAGAAAATTTCGTACCAATTTTGAAAGAGCGGACTCTTACGAATGCGAGAAGTTTTGAAAACTTAGTTTACATTCTTTGTTTTTTGAAATGTGTATTTGGGCGTACTCAAGTACTTTACTATTCGCCAATTTTTTAAAAAGTAGAACTTAAAAACAACTTATCCTTCGTATAGAAAACGCGTAACTCTGTATTCTGTCGTAATACCCTACTTAAATTATATGATACAGGACTTGAATATATACAGCATGCTGTACAAAGGTTAAAATGTGAATTTTGGACCAATAAATCAAAATCAGTGTATCAAGTCAAATATAGTATTTGAAGTAATTGTTATTCGGTGATATTTTATATTTGTATCTCTTGCGTCAGTGGTGGGTATCATCATTCAATCGTAAGTCTTGGAAAAAGTGGAAGACGTTGTCTTTTCAAACTACTGTACTATACATGCAGTACTATAGCATATCACAAACTATCGAGTTCTAAAAATTAGATACTTTGCAGTCTATACAGGTATTACAGCTAGTGCGGTATTACGTTTTGACTTTTGAGAATGATTCTATTTTTGGTATGATACAAATGGTACCTACGAAAATATTTGCATTTCTTAGACAAAAATAATTATGGGTTTCATCTCAAATTTCACATGTCAATGATGTTGGTGAAAGTGTGAGGCGCGTAAGATGTAGGGAATATTTCAGCTACCATGCTGCAACGAAGTATTTCTTCAGTGCATTAGAGTGCAGAAATTATTTCAAGTTTTGAATCCTTGCTGGTATCAGTTCACATCATGCATAGAAGCTATTGATCAAATACTTCAGCCAATGCATAGATCGGGACAGTAAAACTTATTGATATTCTTAAAAAAAAAAAAAAAAAAAGCGTACGTGGAGAAAGGCATGACAGAAATCTTGCTCCTCGAACGTACCGCAAGTTATTTTGGCAAAAACTTCGTAGGAAAATTTGGAAGCACAACTTTTTTAGTTCTACACAGTGATCAGGCTGACGAAAGCTACCTGGTTTTTCTGTCACATGTAATAAATACTGTATTATGAAATGTTTTCATCTGCTTGCAGAACTACGAAAAGTCTAGTACTCCAGCGTATGATTGTTTCCCATCACTGTGCCAACTGGAGTCGATTTTGAGCTGTGCAGTTCGTTCACAGCACTATCTTTAGATGTCGCCAGAGTCATTTTTTGAGCGTGATCATATATTGCCAGCCTTTTGCAAAGCCGAACAAAACTCGGAGTAGCCGAAAGAAGTCCTTGCGCTATGCAAAACTGAGGGATTACTGTACTGTACTGTACATACTCGAAGTGGTAGCATAATCGTGTGCGAAAATAGGTTGGAAAGATCGGTGATTCCATCTCTGGGAGCTTTCCCACTTGGGTGGAGGCAAGGGCAAAACTATGTCCATATAGATGTCGCTAAGAACGGCACACGGAACGTTCTTGGTGGACACACTCCAATCATTCAACAACCCTGTTCTGTTGATCTTGTGGTACGCTATCGTCTGTCTTGCCATCAGTCCGTTTTTTTCTTGATTCAAATTCATTACTGACTCTATGTGAATATCAACATGAATTGACGCTTGCTCTGTTTTACTGTAAATCTGCTGAGACTGAATTTGGGGGGCAGTTAGGTAAAGCTGGGTAGGTCAGGCTATGTTAGTTCAAATATGTATTAATTGTTATTAAAACATTTGTAATGAACATGTAGAATTCATAGTTGAAATATTTTCAACTAACATAACCTGACCCAACCCATCTTTTCCTAACTGCCCTCCAAAGTCAGTTCTTGCAGAAAACTCAAGTCAGGTTGTGTTCCTTGAAATATTTTCAATGAACACATTTGGAAATGTATGGTTGAAGTATTTCAAACATAACCGTCCCCCAAATTCAGTCTCAGCAGAATCAGAAATAACAGTGCCAGCGTCAATTCACATTTCAATTCAAATGCCCAGTTGGATTTGTACCTGCATAGAGAATAAAATTGGACCAGTGGCAAGGCTGAGGATAGGGTACCCCACCCGCAGTACAGCAGGGCTGTTGGAGAATTGGAGTGAAAGGGAGTACCCACGGTTTTTTGTAGATGGAGCTAGCAGTCTGGCTCCCCGACGTGGGAGGGAAAGCTCCAATCTCTGCAGTGCTGAGTGCGGAACGGTATCGCAGTGTACCACGCCATCTTAGCTGGGTTAATGACTTGAGAAGGGACGTACCCTAAGAATATATGTAAGATACCGTATAACACCGGTTGATACCGGTGACTAGGCATCCTCCATTTTGCCGATCATACCCTGCAAATGCCGGATCTTTTTAGATTTACATCTTAAGTATGTATGGCTCAAGTGACGCTGGTCCAACGCAGACCTTAGAACGAGCTAGATTACATTCTGACCATGTCTGCGGTTGAATCGCACTAGTATTATTTGAAGTATTTCCGATCGACAAGGTTTGTAGGAAATATCAGTGCTCGCAGATCTTTTTTATTCTGGCTTCGAAAGTGTTGCTTCGCAGCCCTTGGGATTGTTGAAACAGTTGAATTGTGAAGTGAAGTGAAGTTTGCTGTCTTGAAATGTGACGTGTCTTACGACTTGAGGTGAACGCGTCCCTCTTGTTGTCTTCAAGCTACGAGATGACTGCTACCGTATCAATTTTCAGGTGAAGAGTAAGATCAGAAGTCTACGCGGCTAAGTAATTCATATGATGGATTCTGGTGAAGAAAACGCTCAGGCTGTCGCGCTTGACGCCTCAGAATCCTCTGAAATGTCTGAATTATCCGATGTCCTCCAAGTGATGATATCGAAGTTGGCTGAGGCTAAAGCGAACGGATGCTTGCCTCCCGAGATCTTAAAAAGCTTAGCATCGATAGTATCAGACGATGAGACTAGCAATGGGTTGGAAAAGGCAGCGTCAAGTAGCACGCATACCAAGGAAGTGGTGATTACCGGGAAGAAAGAAGAATCTTCGGCAGATCTCAACGACTTTGTAGTTATAGATGAAGTAGAAGACGACGCTGAGAATACAGCACGTGGTGAGTGCGGATCAGTCTAAGGTGATTCTGTTAACTCGAGAAAGATGCTTGCTTAGATGAACGTGACGACGAGGATCAAGATGTAGAGAAGGGCGTGTGGTCGTGGAAAAGAACTTTCCGAGCTGTGGATCGCTCGCTTGAACTTGAGCTTCCGGGTGTGAACAGATTCATGCGTCTCCCTTTTGGACAGGACCGACATCCGAAAGCCCATGAGCCAAAATACAAACAGTTGTTCGAAGAAATGCGAAAAAACTGTCATGGATATTTCACGAATAAGTCAGGTCCCATGAAAGCTGCGATTAACTGGTACAATCGTACCGTAAGAGAACCAAACCTCCGACTTTCGGTTTTAAACGACCGCATGAGAACTTTCAATGTTAAACGGAGTCGACTGGTCCAAGAAAGCGATTTGGCTCTGGGTCCAGCACTTTTCTCCTTACTTCATCCTTTTGTATGGCACGAAGAAGGCCAATGTTCCCTCGGTATCCGCAAGAATCTTCCAGCGGAAGTTGTCCAGGTAATTCTTGTGAATCGAAGATTCTCATCGACTGAAGCTGTCCTACGTTCGTAGTCTTCTTCGTTTTTGTTTCGGCGGGTTTTCCGTGAATCATTCGGTCTGAAGAAACAACAAGTTGCTGTTTGAAATTGTTATCATATTTTATAATCCATGCGATACGAACAGGAATGGGATCGTCGTGGTGACGAATTGAAAGCCTTGGAAACTATATCGCTGCATATTCGACGAGGAGCGCAAACGCAAGCACTCATATTTGAAGAATTGTTGAGAATTTTGTCGGATGCTGAGGACAACGTACGAGTTGGAGAGTTGAGAAAGAAGCTTCAACCTGCCTGTGACGATCTTGCCGATTTGATGTACTACATGTGCAACCGTGCCACTGCCCTCTTCGGACTTACGTCAAAATCTTCAAGAAGAATCGTAGTTGACGCTATGGGTATAGATCAGGCTGAGGTTACGAGTATTCTGTACGGTAGACTGGGGTATCCATTGTTTACTGTTGACGAAGCCAAAATATTGATGGATCTCTCGCCGCATTCCAGACGAAACCGTAATTTTACTGGCAGAAAAGGTTATGAGAGGTCCGAAGGAAGGCGGAGAACAAGATCTCGTTCGCCACTGTTTTATCGAAGGAACCAGCGACAATACTGAATCGACACTTCTCTGGAAATGCTGTTCTTACTATGTCTTGTTTTTGTGTGGCATACATTCGAAATTTCAAAGGGGATTTTCTAGACCGATTCATATGTCTCTTTGTTTCCACAGGAATGATATTGTAAAATTTGAAATTGAAACGTTATGTTGATGTGATCGTGGTTGCAAGGTGCATGACACTGTATTTCGAATGATCTTAGTAATAGCGTTTTAAAAACGGTTTATTGCATCATTCCGTCTTTCTGAAAAAATAAGGATTTTCTGATGTTTGCGACCTGCTTAATATTTCTTCTAGAAAACTGTTTCGAGCATTGGATTAGTGATCATGTCGTCCGACGGTGACATACCATTGCAAAATTCAGATTGCAAAACGCTTATGCAAGGTTTGCTGAAGCAGTTCAAAGCAATTCAGAATGCGGGAAGTCTATCGAACTCGCCAGCGGAAAAATTCGTCAAGAGTTTTGAAAAGCTGATCGGTGCGGCTGGTTTGATGTCTGGTGATGCTGATTTGGAGGATTTCACATCTGACGATGTGGACGATGGTGATTCATTTTTGCCATTTCTGCCGGAGTTCATTTCCTTGGACTCATGTATGTTCGGCGAATTTCCTGCCTTTGAAGGGGAAATTGGTTTTCCATCAGTTCTTCCCAATTGAGAAGGCTTGTAATTTATACAGTAAAGTTCAGCTAAAAAAATTTTGTTGCAACGAATTTTTTGCTATTCTGAATTTTATCCTTGTCGTAACATTTTCTCCATGGGCGCACTGTTCTAAAAAATCTCATTTTGACAACCTCTTTTCAGGCTCTAATCTTTGTAAAACAACTTTTTGGCCCTGATTCTGTGCATTCCATAGTGATAACTTAATAAATGGCAGAAAGTGGAAAACTGGTGCAGCATTCCAACTTCACCAAAGAAGCAAAACTTTCTGTATGGAAAATTTCGTGTTCAAAAAAGGCACAACATGACATATTTCTTGAATTTCTCCATTTCAGAATGAGTCATTCAAGTGAACAGTATGTACATACGAATAAGAATTTTTAATGACAGATTTTTCATCAAGTCATGATCTCATGAATCACCTGATGAATGCCCAGGGTTTTTGTGTTGAAGAGATTTTTCTAACATTTAATGATTCTGAGCACGCATGGAAATGCTTGAATCTGGAATAAGTTTGCCAGGCTTTCTTATCTGTAAGCCTAGTTTCGTGAGTTCGTGTCGATTCATTTTAAATCTGTTCTGATAGAAATTTTGTGGTCGTTGATACAGTATTATTTTCCGCTTGGCTTAATGTCGGTTAGGTTTTGGGGAGAAACAGCGCATGTCTTTTGCTTTTAAGAAACCTTCGCCATTATCTCAAGGCGGGTTTCTGAAATACTTTTTCTTCGACGCTTGAACTGTTCTGTTCAAGTTATATCTTAATGATTCGCAGATGGCAGCCTGAAACGAAATCCGAGAGCATTCGACATAAAATGGCGTTCTACTGAGGAATCGGAGCTTCTGATGCATGCGCAAGCATTGGGTGTGCCGTACGTGAAGCTGAAAGGAGAATCTGAAGCCATAACCCTCGATGAGGACGGTGTCGAAATTTCTGCTGAGACCAAAGCACCTGTGATTCTGGATGAACCCAAGCTGACATCGGCGTTTCGCTGGTGCGAAGTTGCAGTCCGTGGTGGTGGCAAAAGTGTGAACATGCTCGGCCCGTTTGACGAAATGGAAGTTGCATCGAAAAATGCGAATGTGTTGCCGGATTTGACAGCGTTCCTGCCAAGAGATTACAGGTTGGGCAGCGACGCTAAAGCTTATGCTCTTCTGACGCCCGAGAAGTATTTGTTTCATCGGGCCTCTGTCAAAGTGAGTACTACCTGTTATTTCGTATGAAAATTCTGCTTTTGTTGGCTTCGTTGGCCGTAGCAATCATATCCAGTTGGAAAACTGGGCTATGTTCCAATAGTTTCGAACTCCGCTTTGAAGTTCACTATACTAAAAGTTGCATTCATTAATGTCAGGAGAAAGTGTTCTGTAGTTTTTAGGTTATGCGTTCTGTAAATGTACGTTGTCTGTGGCTGTATTGTACTGTACTGTACTGTATTCGTCAATTCTCACCTGTTTTTTTTGCTAAAAGCTTTGATTTGAAGGATCTGTTGTTCTGAAAGTGTAGGAGTGACATCTGTATGAACATAATTCACTGACTTCCCCGTAATCGGTTGATCGTTGCATGAGGCTGCCACGTCTCACAAAATATTACCTTACTCTTTCCCAACATACAGTATTTTACTGTCGTTCAAGGGTCTCTTGTGCAGTATGAGGGGTGCGTCAGGTAGTTGAGAAAATGAGGTTCGTTTCCAAGGAGTACTGAACTGACGAAGTTGCGAGACGTCTTTACATCGACGCGATTTAAAAAACACTTTCGTTTGTCGACTTTTTAACATTTCATCATATCAAAAACTGAAACTGTACGGAAGTTTTGCCCTACTTTTGGGTTCTGAATTTTTACTGCATTGAGCGGTGCTTGCATTGAATAAATGAGACATTTGGTAATATAGGTGTCCCTGTATTTGCTCGAGTACCACGCGCCCTCTAGGAAAGCGATAGGGTTTTTAAAAAATTCTAAAATCAAAGTAGTTTCCCTATGTAAGACGCGCACACAATTTTAGTGACTAAAACTGTAATACAGGTGGACTCTCTTCAACGAAGTGCTAGGGACTAGAAATGAATCGTTGTGGAGGGATTTTCTTCGTAAATCGCATAGAATAGGGAGAAAGCTCTTCGGAAATCAGAACCAAAAGTAAATTCGTCGTACAGATGAAATCTTTGTAGACAAGATTGTTGTTGATAGAGTGTACCTGTATTTTGAAAATAAGAATACCCAAATTTGAAAATCAGACGTTCAGACAATGGTTTCCCATGCAAAAATTTTCCATTAGAATCAAATATAATGCATATCTAAATATTCTGAAGAATTTTTAAAAATGTATACCGGTACCCGCTTGTGCCGCGCACCCCCTTTTTGCCTCTTGATTTTGAGAACAGATGAGCTGTCAAGTATCAACATGATATATCAGGCTTCGTTTTGTGGGCTAACGTACACTCGGTACTTTTATTTAACTGGTTACGTTTAACCCCCTTTTATTTGTAATGAGGAGTGAGATTTATACCAGAGACGGTTTAGTTGGAACAATTTTTTGCAGCCAGGTTGGTCACGTCCTCTCTGGTTAGTCTTGCATTACTGTATAGCATGACGGTTGTGTAAGTCTATTCTGTAACACTACGTATTAATGTGGCTTCGTAGCTCGCCTTGCATGATTTATATTGGTTCCTCGGTTAATTTGCTTGGAAGTCTTCTAACCGAGTAATGTTAAGTTATGTGAAACGACGAATTCTTTCCAGGTCCTATAAATTTCCTTTCGTGAAATCTGGAATAATTGAGAACACGTTTAGCATGAAAAAGTCGGAATGCTCTCGGAAACAAGGAAAACGATGCGCAGCAAAAATCAGGAATGTGAAAGAAGCTTCGATTAAATTTACAAATGACGGTGGTACCACGTAACCTACAAAAATTGTGATTACTTTGAACCCATTACGATTGTCTGTTATAAGCAGCATGGTCAATTATCCGAAGCAAATATTTGTAGCGAAAAATACTGTATAAGGTATTTACCGTACTAAGCCTTCATGATCTGGCGAAGAACTGTGTTGGATTTGATTCAAATATGATCGCCGACCAGTGCAAATACAGTTCATTCAAATTTATTTATGATACACTCCTTGTAAAATTTTCCGTCAGGCATGGAATGAACGTGAAAAATATTACAAGAGCCTGGAGATTCTTGCGGAACAATTCCTTCGCCTTTCCACACTAACTGCAACCTCAGTGGATGCTCTGGCCATTGCAATGGACAAAATTGAATCTGTGCCCAATGAAGTTTCGAGTATCTTGAAAAGCCTCGATTCTATCACTGGAGTACTAGCTAATCGGTCAGCTGCTCTGAAGTGTATCACCACTCGGAAATCCCGGGAGTTGCTGCTGAAAGATGCCGATGCACCGGAAGATTTCAAGAAATTACTGATGCAGACTGACTGCAACTCGAAGGACCTGTTCCCAAATTTTGAAGAAAGTGTTCGGACGCATTATAAAAAGCCCTATTCGGAGTTGGAAAATGGCCTGTTCGCACCTAAAAATTTGAAACCGGTTCCAGCACCACTCATCAAGTCTTCTTCGGTGACTAACACCGTTTCTAAAGCCCTGGCTGTGGCGCAGAAACGACCAGCATCACCTGTCAAAACTCCTGCGAAGAAACCTACTCCAGCGAAGAAACCTCCTCAATTTTCAAAACCTACTCAATTTACTCCACTTATGCGGAAACATCCTTTGATGCCTTTCCCAAATAACGGGGGTTGGTCTCAACCCCGCCCTTCGAATCCGCCGAGGAGTAACTGGCATCAACCTGAGCGTGGATTTCAAAATCAACAAAGAATGTCAACTCCACAGGTTCCATCTGGCCCGAGAGGCAACGCACCAAGCAACTCGAGCGTGAGTAGTGTCTCCTGAAAATACACTGAAATCTCGTTACGTCAAACACAGTTACAAAGCTTACAACACATTTTTCAGTACAACGAAATATTTTCCAAGCCCCTTCAGAAATCCTATTTGGTACGTTTTACTGTATTAAAATCTTGTTGCAACAAACGCACCAATTCCAGTACTGTATAAAGATATTTCATGACGAACATGTGATTTCTCAAAGAAAAATCCCAAATGAAGGCTGGCATGAAAAAATGAACCCAGCAAAACTCAAAAAAGGTTTGTGTGCTTGAGAAAACCTACTGATGATTGAAGATTCTAAGCTTCTTAAAAACATGCACCCTTACTAATCAATACCGGAATTGCTTCAGAAAACTTGGTCAACAAAAAGTGATTCACCTGTTATTCAGAGTAAATGTTAGTGATTGACATTTAAATTTCTTTTTGAAGATAAGATTTTGGAACACTGAAAAACATATGAAAAGGCCACAAAAAGAGGATGCAGAATACAGTATACGTAGGTTTGATTTAAAAAAATCTTCCAACCAGTCAAAAATTTCAAAAACTTCGTTATTACAAATTATTTATTGAACAGACTTTATCTGAAGTCCCCTTGTTTTAAAGAATTTTTGCGTAGTTACTTTCTGCGGTATTCTTGGCTCAGGCTTCAGCTTTTGAACTAGTTGAAATTTTCTTCTCCCCTGTCAGGTCTTCTGATGAGCTTTCTTTGATGCTTGCTTTCAAGATTGTTGGGAAGGTGTCGCATGTAAAGTTATACCACTCAGTCAAACGTCGAGGGACAGCAGAAATTGGAGATATGGAGGTCTCAAGTGAATGAAATGATCACTTTTGTTGGGAAAGAAATAATTATTGAAGGAAATTGTAATTGGTGAGACATTATTCTAGGCCTTCCATTGCATCTTGAGTGCGTTGACAGGATGCTTAACTTGGGGACTGGAGTTCATTTGCTCAATTAATCTTGCACTTCCTTTCAAAACGCGAAGAATTTCCTTTTTTGCTTTTATCCTTCCTGTTTCAATGAAACAATATCTAAAATGCCTCCAGAAAATTGCAGTTATGAAGATTTGAGGCTGGTGCTAGGTCCTGAGTTATAGGGATGGTTTTGATGCATTGTTTCCTAGGGAAGTCAGTCAATGACTTGCAAAAATTTCACAAAGGGAGGTATTGACTTGTTGAGATAATTGATTTGGCAGTAACCCATCAAAAAGGTTGAAAAGGACAAGTGAATTCAGTACAGTATTCCGATTCAAGTCACCATGCGATTAATTTTTAAAATGGGATTTCCTTTGTCGGGGTTGATCTTGACTGTTGTGGTTGTTTCCTTTAGAATTGAAAATATCATTTTCGACGCGTATGAGAGCTGAGATGTTCGGAATTGTATTATTGAATGAAATTGCGATGATGACAACGATGACGAATCGGAAACGGCAGTGTGAAACACGAAGTTTCCCCGTTCTGGGGTGAATTTTGTGGACACCTGGTGTTTGTTGTCGACGATTGAGGCATTTGTCTGAGCAGCACTTGAAATGGGAACATCCATTGCGGATTTAAAGGTAATGAGTAGCGTTGATGGGTTGTGAGTGAAAGAATTGCGACTGTGAACTTTTGGTTGCCCCTCAGGATGGTGTTTCACTAAGGGTATTATGCAGCAAAGTAATGTACCCTGTGCCCCCCAAAAACCCCTCCAGAAAAAATAAAGAATCGCTGCACAGACGGAACTGCCAGAATCTCCTACTTCGAGCGCCCCTCTCAGGGAGTAGAAGGGACAACATGTGGCTAGGAGAGGCCGCGCGAGGCGTGGAGGGGAAGTGCGCATGTGTTTCTGGGAAATTACCGGAAATTGTATGAGACAAAAAGCTCCCCTGTGTTCCAAAAGAGGAAATTGTTGGCGAGCATTTGTGTAGTGCTGTAAAACTTCAGTCCTCACAGAAAACTGGGAAAGGAAGCCATAATTGGCTTTTTCAAGAACACTCACGCCCTGACTATTCGCCAGAATGTACGACAGTCTTTTTCGATGTTTTCAAGAGATTTATGGGGAGGGGTAATTCGAGAGAAAACGTAGGTGCTAGGTCCTGGGAAAGGGGCCAGGAAAATCAGGGGAAAGAGTTGAGCTTGAGTCAGAAGATGCGAAGTTTCCTCTTGCTATCCGGAGTTTAGGACAATATTATAAAAATGTTGTTCCAACGAACTTATCAATCTCAGTACTATACTGTACTGTGTAATGACTCAATGTCTTGATTGTGTGTATGGACCAAGGACTTTTTTTATACTAAGTTGGCATAATATGGGAAGCCCAACTTGTGCTAAATTGGAGACGCTTCAAAAAATGTAAATACAATACTGATTTTTTTTGTTAAGAAAATTTAGCGTTGCAGAAAATATGAAGTTGAAGTAAAATTTATTTAGCTTCACTTATTATTTAGAAATTGTCGATTTTTTTGTTGACAGAAAATCATATTTGGAAGTACAGTACTGTTTTTTTAAAGGAAAATTGTTACTGAATAAATGCTCTTACGCTTGCATATTCAGTTCGCTAGAACTCATGCTTCAGTAAGATTAGTATATTTTTAGAAAATATAAGAGAGGGAACTTCTGCAATTCAATTTTTTGAATTTTCTTTGTGGCAAGATTTTCATAGCAAACTATTTCTACCTTTGATTGGATCAAATCTGTAAGGTTTTACAGACTGGAGTAAATTTTATCAAGCCTTACTTCTTGATTTATAATTGTTAGAGCAGAGTTTTAGGATATCATGAATTTTGATTAGTTAAATTGAAACACATCAATTGGTTGGTGCGCTAACCGACCAGGGATATCTCCCCTCTAGCGCTGACCTTTCTTTTCTCACAAAAAACGTGACAAGGAAAAATATACACAGGATCAAATGCAGACAATGAAGTTTTGCACACGCACACACAGTTTTTGATTTCAAAATACACAGATTTTTCAGTACAAGGGTTCCAGAGGTGGAGAAAGATTTAGTTCTCAACAAATCTTCTGTACACTGGTTTTTTCAAACTCAGAACTTCAATTGCCAAATAAATGCAGGAAAACACAAATAGAATAAAATAATTGCATTTGCAGAATTTCGGAATGAATGCAAGAGTACGTTTTAAAGTTTCAAGATTTGATTCGATAATGCTGAAGAAAAGATGTAAGAACGTTCCAGAAATGGATTCTAGTTTATGTACAATCAACAAAAAATGAAAGAGTTTGTAAAACCTGCAGAATTGAATTTCCGAATGTTTCAAATAATTTTGACGCACACCAAGTGACTTGCTGGCATTTTAGAATTTGACTGCGTCCTGTTGCGCAAAATTGGGGGGGGGGGGTTATATGATTCTTTTCCCGCCCCTTTTGCGGGGCTTTCTTGACAGAAAAAATACTCAGGTTGTGGGACTTATGGTTTGAAAATATCAGGTGGTGGCAGCTGCTTGGAACAACTTAATTTTGCTGTTTTTTGTAGTATTTGTACATGGTTTTCCCGGCACTGGGTGTTTGTTTTTATTATTCTGCCGAATTTTTTGGCAGTAGAACAGTATCTTCAGGGGATTGGCTTTCTGGAGAGCTGCAAGTTTTGGACAGTTTAGAGTCGTTTTCGACTTGAAAGACAAATTGTTTCTCATGAAAGGCGATATGTATCCGCCCGTTTTACCAGCAGCTGGTAGTGTTCTGAATTTTGTTCCCCAGTTCAAGTTTCGCAGGAAGGGAGCAATTCCCTTTCTTTCTAGAAGCTTGTCGATTTTTACAATCGGTTCGTATTACCCCAGTTTCGGGGAACGGTTTTTTCTTTTGTAGCTCTTGTTTCTTTTCGGCGCATCCCGAGATGCGCCGATTAAGTTTCGAGTCGACGTCTTGGTTTTTCTTTGGCAGACGGCGGGCGTTCTTTATCGACGGAAAATTCCGCACGAAATCTTTTACCAGACGTGGATTTATCTTTTCGTTATCTTAACTGCTCTGTGAACGCACTGTAACATTTGAGAGAGCTTTTTTTCGTAACACCGACGGGTTTCCGTTATTTCTTTTTCCAGCCCTGGAATTTCAGTCCAATGGTTCCTCAAACTGTGGGACCAAGAACCAGTCGCCCATCTCTCAATTCTTGGATTTCGAATCAATCTGCCGATGATTGGCAGGAGGTAGATGGGGAATCTGCGAATGAAGCTGTTGGAGGTCCACGTTCACAATGGTCTCGCACTGAACAAGGAAATGCCGCCAGCAGAGGATTACTTGGTTCCTACAATGAAACCCCATTTCAAAGTGGAGGAGGACTACGTGGTTCTTACGATAATGAACAACTGCAAAGCAGTGGGGATTGGGTCGACCAAGGCGATTCAAATGTTGACTTTGCCTCCAATGACCAATTTTCTTCAAACTTCAATACGGTGCGTTTAATTTAATCGATCCGAAATATGATTTGAACGAAACGCTGATGTTTATTTCTATTATATCCGATAACATCAGTTGTGAATTCAGTGAACAATGTCCGAGTTTCTCTAGTGCAGTTCTAAATTGCAGGATAGTGTATTATGTCTCTCTTTCTGATGAATGTCCAAATAATTTCTGTGTATTGATGATATATGAATGATTTTCCTACTGGGTCTATATCAGTGTAGATGTCACGTTTGCATGATTTAAAATTTTAACTGAGTCGTGGCAAGTTCCATCTGCTTTCAAATGTTATGGTCAAGTGTGAGCATTGTCTCACCAATGAAGTTCTATTGAATCTAAGTACCGTATACTTTCACTGTGCAGAAATTTTTGTTGTTGGCGGTCTTCAAGCAGGTTGTCATAAACCGTGGAATTTGTTCTTTGCTTTTCGACTGTGTCACCGATTACCTGAAACAAGGAAATGTTGACCTCTCCTGCGCAGTAAACTTTTGGAGTTGCTGCTGAATGATTCAGAAAATTTTGATGGTAAAATTGGAACATTTCATAGAATGGCGACAGTTTACGGAGGGAATTCGAACTTCAATTAAAAGTATCAACTACTGTACGTTGAATGTCTTTCAATTCCTATTTTATCTACTCATTGAAATTATTATCTCCTTGGAAATTGACAAAATATTGAGAAATTTTCAACTTCGATGATTCATGGCAGCTTTTAAACATTAAAACCTTATTACAAAGAATTTCGCTATAACGAATTAATTCTTACTATCAATTGTTTTGTTCCTGTCTAAAAGTCACAATGTTATTTTGATTTTATTTCAACTAATTTTCGTTCATAACGAAGCTGTTTTTAAGGTCCCGAAAAATTCATTGGAACGAAATTCTACTTCATGTCGAAAAATAGCAGTGCTAAAAAGCGGAATTGGTGCGCGAAATTGATCTGAATTTTCTGTTAATTTATCGCTTTAAATTATTTCTGATGCAGGGGTGGAACAAGGCTGAATCTGGGAAACGTCCAATTCTCGCTAACAATCCAGTTAGGCCAGCAATGCCGTCATGGTCTGCTGTCAACACACCAGGAAAAAATTCGAGCCTCCTCGGTCAATTTTCCGGGGGCCAAGGTCAAGGGTTTCTTGAAAACTCTGGAATGTCTCAGGCTCCAGGTTCGTCTGTCAATCGTTCCAACTTTGGCGGTTATCAGCAACCGAATGCACCATTTGGTGGCTTCAACAACCGCGACAATGTAGACGCGAATCCTCAAACGGCTCCAAACACCGGGACCAACTTTTCTCTTCTTGGAAGCAACAATTTCTCTTCTTTCCGGAATAACGGGTCTCAGGGAGGCTTCGGTGGAAACTCGATAACAACCGGTTACTTTGGATTCAACGGAAACACCGGTTTTAGTTCCTCGGGTAACGCTGGGGGAAGATCCGGGGGTTTCGGTTCTTGGCCAAAGGCTGCATCTTCAAATCAATTCCTGGTTGACTGACGACCCTTTTTGAGACGCGTGAAATTTGTTCTAGGGGCGTTTTTCCTCGATCCGTTGGAATTATTTAACGTGTGTATGTTCGGTTGATTCCATGTTTGTTGCAAGTTCGGTTTTTGTGTACAGTACTATTACTCACGGATTTTTGAAATGTGCAAGATTTTCTGCTCACGATGTTTTGGGAAGTTGCGGTTCTTGGTGTTTCCCCGAAGATGTTACATATTCGGAGAATAGGTCCCATGATGATTTTCAGACCCAGTCTCTGAAAGAAATTTCCCTCCTTGTTTCAAAAGTGGTAGACCAAGATTTTCAGGCCCAATTTGAGTTAACCAAGATTCTTTTCTTGATCAGTATTGAACGGGATTCGTATTTCACCAATTAAAAAAACTTGGGACCGTTTTATAGTGGGTGGGCGGAATTTTCGATGACCTTCCACACTGCTGAACGGATAATTTATTTTGCCTTAAATTATTTCAGTTTTAGGTGGCATAAACCCGAATTGAGTTCCTCCGAATTTCCGGCTCTTCGCATTTCGTAATGTGAAGGTCTGACATAAATGCGAGTTCGTATTGTAATCGACTGTTGCATTACAAAAGGTGTTACGGTGTCCGCGCGCAGTCCAATTCCCATTTTCAATGCAGAGAAAGGAAACCGATTTTTCGAAAGCATTGTGTGCTTATGGAAGACGGCAAAACATGCTCCATTTCATTCTTATATGCAGTTCATGGGTTCCAGACAATTTTAGTTATTCCAGATGATCACCAACCAATCTTGGATGAGGCAGAAATTTTCATAACTAATGATCCAGGAGAAATGAGCTAGGTTATCACTCTGAATTCAAAGAACGATGAAATAACGAAGGGTTTATGCTTTCGTGGCTGACTTTTGTTCGATTGATGATCAAAAATCTGATAGCGGGAACATTTCCAGTCAACCCCCTCCAAGGATCTGATCCAAAAAAAATAAGCCGATACGAATTGGACTACGAGTGGAAATCAGGTTCCCTTATTATGAAACTTATCCTGAGATTTAGCCTCATAGCGTTTTTTTTTTCGTCGAAAAAAACATACTTGTATGATTTTTGGGGAAACACGGTAGCTTTTTTCTTGAAATATTTCGTGTCACGTTAACAGTCTGTAATTTCAGGTTGAACCGGCTCTACGAGTTTGTTTCGGACGTTGTCATGTGGTGAACGTTTCTGAGTCTTCGCTAGAAATCGAAAGGGAGGCTGGTAATGTCAGACGTCGAAGTCATTGAGATTGATTTAGTTGAGCACAACACGCAAGCTCGGAAGATGAACGAGCTAATAGGGCTTCTCGGCCGGCTGGAGCAATTCAAGAACATCAATTCTACGGCCCCGCTTCAGTTGGACGAGAGTGACAACGAAACTCAGAACTTCAATCAGATGAATCGTGTTGAGGTTCACGATGGGAAAAATTCATCGGGCGGTCCACAAAAGAGCAGAAATAATTATCGTCAAAGGAATTCAAACGCCCAGATGCGATCCAAAAATTTTTCGACGCCCCCAAATCGATCGTCGTATCCGCCATGGAGTTCTGGGGTGAGAGAATCACCTCAGAGAATTCAAGAAATGGATGATATACCGCCTTGGATTTCCGATATGAACGAAGCACCGGCGAGGAGTTTTCGGATGAACGAAGCTCCGTTGGGGGATTTCCCGATGAACGAAGCTTCGACAAGGCGTTTTTCGATGAACGAAGCTCCGTCGAGAAATTTTGCACTGAACGATACACCGTCAAACATTTTTGAAATGAACGAAGCACCGTCGAGAAATTTTGCATCAAATGAAGCACCGCGGAGGAATTTCGCGATGAACAGTGCACATCGGAGAAATTTCCCGATGAACGAAGCACCTCCGAGGAATATCCCGATGAACAAAGCACCGAGGAATTTCCCGATGAACAAAGAACCTTCGAGGAATTTCGCAATAAACGAAGCCCAGCCGAGGGGTTTTGGGATGGGCGAAAGACCGCCGAGGAATTTTGCGACGATCGGTGCTCCGCCGAGGAATTTTGCGACGATCGGTGCTCCGCCGAGGAATTTACCGACACCTGAAGCACCAGTTTTGCGATCGAGATTTCCGATGAATGAAGTCCCGAGTCCTCCTGCGTTGTTTCCGTCGGTGGCTCGAAGTACACCTGTTGCCCCTCGTCTCGACGTACTGCCGGTTCCTAGTTCTCAACCAGGTAGGTTCCTGATTACTTTTTGGCGTGCGTTTATGGAACCTGGACATGAAAAGTTGTCACCAAGTTAGAGACTATTGAATATTACCATTTTATTCGGGGTAGTCCCCATATTTACACAAGTACTGTACAGTGGGCCCCCGACTTACGACGGGCCCATGTTACGTCAGTTTCAACTTATGACACTTTTTTTCTATTAAAAAAACCCCCGACTTACGTCGGGGTTTCATGATACGACTAAACTTACTTGTTGTTTTACTGTTCAGCGATAATGTTGGCTTAAAAAAAAACAAACTCGGACTATCAAAGTATGCTCAAAATAGCTTTCTAAGGAAATCTATTCTGTGTTTTTGGAACAGTATAGTACTGTAGAGTATTTTATATTTTGAATCCATTATGCGCCCATGGCCCATCCCTCCTTTGTTTCTATTAATGCAATTTCTGACAAAAAGTTGAAATATAAAGGTAATGTTGGTTTAATATTTTTTTTCTGGAACAAATTAACTTTTTTATAATGTAACCTTAAGGGAAATAGGGTTTCAACTTACGACGGCCCCATGTTATGACGTCAATCCTGGAACGGATTGATGACGTAAGATGGGGGCCCACTGTACTACGCGCAGCAGGGGTTTCAAGTCAGCAATTTTGATGGAATTGTATTCCCGCGTGAGACCCATTTCTAGTGACTAAAACTGAAATGCGGTATTTGAAATTAAGAACACCGAACTTCGAACATAGGCATGAATTCAATAAAACTAAATTTAAATTGAATCCATTACGCAAAGTTTTTCTGGTGAAATTAGTCAGAAATTTCTCGTCAGAACCCAAAATATTGCACACCTAAACTTCTGAATTTTTTTTCTCATTTTATACCCCCTTGAGACGCGCACCCTCTTTTTCCTCTCAATTTACTAATATAGGTGCGCGTGCTTAAGTATGAAAATATTTCAACTTTGATTGATTTCATTGACCATGATAAAACGTTACTTGATTTTCATTTGAACGCCCAGTTTGCAACTCTTCGATTCTCTTCCAATTACGTGGGTGTCCACTGAAGTTTAAGCTGTCGTGCCAATTCAGGTTATAATAAGAGTTCAACTTTCTCTGAATCGCGCCGGGAGAAGGAACTTGACGAAGTCGAAAAAATGTTACCTTGAAAAACTGGGAACATTCAATAAGAGTTTCTCCTATATCACTCTTCCACGGACGCTGCAATTTCTGCAACTTTCAATTTTTTGGCCAATCAAGGGCCAAAATTGGCCAAGTTACGGCCTGTAGAATTTTAGGATGTTAATTTCCAGTAATTCACCCACTCAGTCACTCCCAGTAAAACTGCACTCCCTCTTTTATGGTTGCACATGAGTGCCCTCAAGAACGGAGAAGTCAACTGCAGGATTTGACAAATGCAGATTTTGAAGCCTGTTCAACAAGTTGAGTTGAATTCAAAAAGTAGGTTTATATCTTGAAGCATCTACATTATTAATGGAATATAACCTCGCAAATTATTCCATAGGACGAGGAGTTGAATTTAGAAGGATTTAACCGGTGGGTTTTTGAGTTGAGATTGAAGGGAATGTTCAACATTTCCTGTTTTGAAGAGACAAGATCAAGTTTTACATGATGTTACATGTCAAGTTCAATTTTTACTGTATTTAAAAGACAAGAGACCAGTTTTATCAGTGGTATTGGTAAAACCTACTGATACTGTGCAACGCTCTCTTCAATCTCAATTCCGAACTCATAAAGCCCAATTGTTGAATCCTTTTACACTGAATTCCCTGCTTTCATGAAGTACGGTAATTCAAAAGAAATCAAGCTCCATTAATACAGTATGTGCTTCAAGATATGAACCTGCTAAATTGGCCTCAAAACCTGCTTTTGCCAAATCCCTCAGTTCCCTATTCTTGAAGTCAATCACGCGCAACCATAAAAGAGAAAGTGCGATTATTCTGTAAGTGACTAATAGCAGGTTGGTAAAGACTTCGGCTCCGGCGAGCTTGACCTCCAAGAGATATAAACATCATGAAAATTAAAATTGTTGCGCGTGTTCTAGAAATGTTAGCGAAGTGGCCATATCTCGAGACATTGTCCGGATGTCGACGATATGAAGCAAACATCTGTGGCAAACCATTCTGCAGAAAAAGAAATCCTTTCGTGGGAGGCGTTCGTTATCCGTGGCACCGCTTGATTATAATTTACAATACTTTCGTCCATAGCTTCCAAGACCTGGGGTGATGCTAGGAAGTCCCAGCTGTTGAAGCGTGCAGCCTGGTACGACGTGGAAGGAGTTCACGCATTGGACTCTTGCGGCGATCCCGTGCCGCCGGGTAGGAAAGTCCTGTCAGCGGTTCACAGCGGTCGAGTGGATGTTATCCCACGCTTGAAACTCGCCGAATCTTGGTACCAGTGTGCCCTGCATGGAGCTGGGCGAAGTTTTCATTCCCGGGGACCATTCCCGGAATTGATTCCTCCGATCATACCGCAAGATGGACTGGACGTTTTCATGGCGGATAATCCGGCAGATTTCAAGTTTTACGAGCCCTCTTTGCCGAGTATGAGCGAATTGCAGATCAATGCTGCCGACAAACCGTTGTTTGACCCAAGATCTGTTGAGGTGAGTTGGGAATACAGTTATTTTATTTATATTTTTTATGAAAAAATGATACGATTTCTGTGATGCGAACCATAATTCACTCAAAATTTAAATGCGCGATAATTATGCTGCCAGTTTTGTAGTTGGATGGTTGAATGGCATTTTTATTATTCCAGAAGTGTTGAATCGAAACTACAGTACCTTGAAGTCAGTTTTTTCGATTCAAAGAATTCATAGTACTCTTGAAAACGAGGAACTGTGCTTTAATCTAATTCAGGTCGTAATGCTTGGATGCTTTTTTCTCTCGAATTTTCAATTTTTTGAAACTCAAGTAGTTCGAAGCGCGAAAAACCAATTTTTCTTCGAATTATTTTCGGGTTTTTAAATGCAACGATCAGATGCCGAAACCGATGGTTGGTTTTGCTAGATGAATGATATGACAGGTTTGGTATTGAATTTATACTGGTCGCCAATTGCCTGAAAATACAGTAATGGCAGTTCCACTGAGTTGAGTTATTTCTTTAGAACAGTTGAAACCGTTTTAAAAATTACGTGGTTGTTCATGTTAACGCTGATTTCGGGGTATTTCCCACAGGACGTCCTATTCTTATTTGCCTTTTTATGATTTTCTGTTTTTTTTTTTCAGAATTGGGAAAGTAGACCGGCTACGTTGAAGCTCAACGAAAAGCTGGCTGCGCAAATGCGCGAAATTGCCGCAATTCAAGCGGTTGCTGTCGACTGTCTGAAAAATCAAATGAAAAACCTGGAGGATAGTATCAAATCGTTTCAACAAATCCCGAAGACTGGTTATATGCAGCAGAAAGCACACGCGAAGGCTCTTGATGAGCTGGATGGTCTCCAGGTATTCATAGTGTTTTTTTTCCTTCAACGTTTTAAATTTGCTGCAAATGCACGTAACGCTTGGAGAATTGAGAATCGGCATCAGTTGTCCGTTTTGAAGAAAAACCCGGATGTATTCATAAACAAGTTTTTCAGAGTCGAATTTAATTTTGAATACACATTCCCACCGTCTTATTCGTCTATTCGTCGGGTAATTTACCGATGCCTCGGAATTTTCAGAATTGAAAAACGAATGAATAAATCGTCACCAAGGTTCTCACTCGACATTTTACTTTGTGTTCCGATTGGGTTTCGTGAGAAATCATGAATTGAAATTATATTAGTGAGATTTCCGAAACAAATTTGTGATATTTTTGAGAATTGAGGTTTAGAAATTGTGAGGTACTCTGCGTCTGTAATTGGAAGACTCGAAATATTCCATTTGGGGCTCCGTCATTAGAATCGCACATGCAGTTTATCAAGTCAACAAGGCTGATACCCAGTACTACCACATCCAATGAATCTCAATGTTACGAATTTTTTTCTTGGACCCAGCGGTGTCTATAATTAAAGAGTCAATGTTGAAAACATTTTGAATTCAAAATTTTTATTCAATTAAGAAAAAGTATGTTTGAAAGGATATTCCTGTATGTCAGGAAATGTTCAACAGTTAATGATTACTGTACACGCTCTTCTTACACATTAAAAAAAATTCTAAGAAAGGGAAGGTCTGATGGAATAGTGTTGTATTTTACGTTTTGAATTTTCTCTATTATTTGCACAAAATGAATCACAAATTATAGTCCTATAATTCTTCACATATCTTCTGTGAAAGCACTTGAAACTTTGAAGCATTTATTACCTGTTCCCCACTAAGTGTCAGGTTTACGTGCTCAAGGAACCATGACTGACGAGGAATTTTTCGTTGGTCCTTGCGGGTTCGTTATAATGAGCTTTTATTGTTTTTCGTTCTGTTGCTGCTTGCACTGTTCATGGAATTTCCTCGTTTTCATTTAATTAGCTCACGCTGGAAGATCTCGACGTAATGACAACCATGGTCTGCAACCGTGCTCTGGTTTTCTTCAACACCACGTCAGTTGCGAGCAGAAAATATTTCTTGGACAGTTGCTCAGTTCCTCCGGCTTCGCATCGCGCATTACTGCATGACAAGCACACCAAAAGCTTGTTCACGGACGCATCTAAGTGGGTTTCCATGTCCGAATCACTCAGCCTCGTGCCCCAATCGATGATGATCCCTCTTCATCATGTCGGCGTGAAATTAACAAATGGAACGATCACGGACCAGATCGTAGAGCCCAGAATGCGAGCGACCACGAAAATCAGCCCGTTGCCGTTTGTTGCAAAAACTGACGGAGAAAAACTGTCTGTCGGTCAAAGCTCAGGTGAACGTGGGACGAAAACTACTTTGAAATCTGCGCTGAAGCCGCAAGCGCACGCCGAATCTGAACGCCAAAGTGAAGTACGTTCTAGAAATCAACCCTCAACGCAGGAAAAGCCTGAAAGATGTCTCATCGCATCGGATGCTTCATCTCGAAAAAACGTAAGTGGTCCTGAAGGATGGGATTTCCCTGGCAGTCGCAACTTGCCTTCTAGAGGCAACGCTAACAACTCGAAAACGCAGGATGTTGAATCTGACGTACTCGCACAATCGACTGGTTTATCTGTCGAAGATGTTAGCTTTCTGCGGAGCGTTTTTAACGTTAAGGATGCGGGCGAGAAATCGCCCACGAAACGCAAGAATAATGAGGAATCGTCTGAAGACGTTCTTTACTACCGCGACATTTCGCCTATTGCATCAACTTCGAAAGATGATCGTCCTCGGAACGATGATTATCGTCGGAAGGATGATATGTACTTGAACAAAAATCGCGGGAATAATGATGGTGACTCTCATAAGCGTGATGTCTCGTCTTCCCGGAAGAAGTCGACTGTGGGCGACACTCGGAATTCAGAACGTAACGTTGGTACTCATGGTCAGTCAATGACGCGGATTGGAAATCGTGGAATGTCAGGATCGTCGGATTCTCCGACCAAAGCAGCATCGAAGCACGAATTGTTCAAAAACCCGGATAATCCTGCGGTTACGCAAAGAAATGATGTTCTCGCGAAGGTCCTTCAACATTCTCCGCCACGACGCAACAAATCGCCATCTGGGTGAGACTAATACTGAACACTTTACATTATGATTTTTTTTTTGTGGCATGCTCGTTGCTGGCATCAATATTGTTTGCCTTCAGTCCGAAATGGAAAATGTTCTATCATTGATAATGAGCATCGGCGCTTTTTTTTACCGCAACTGAAAACTCACTGCTAGATTTTGTGGAAACCGGTACAGTAATAAGATTTCGCCAAGTGGAAGGTCACTCAGCAAATTTAAAGTTACAGAAATTCCACTAGACTTCAACATGAAAAAAGTATTTTCTTTCAGACAGAAATCATTGTCTTCGGCAAATTGCAACCCCAAATAAGTTTTACCTTTTCTATTTACTGAAAAAACTATGATCTGAAATCTTGAATTCCACTAGACAAAGAAAATGATATCCCAACCATGAATATGCTGTACATTCAAAATTCCCAGCTGTCTTGACGAATTTTCTGAAAAACTGCGAAACGATTGAAAAGCTCGGACCATGACTAGGAAGGTTTCTCATGCTACCGTGTCATGAAGAGATGCATTAAAAGTCTGAAGAAAAAACTAAGAAGCTTAAGATATTATTGGAAAAATTATAAAAAAAATTTCAACATTTTCAACATCCTTGGATTGGGACAACGAGGACTGGGACAAAAATAATTTTTTTATTCCGTATGTAGAATGACTGAAAAATAAAATTTTAGGTAACAGTAATTCCGTTCGTAACTCAAGACTTGATGCCATCAACATGACAGATTCCCTGAGATTGGGTGCTAATCAGAGATAATTTTGTTTTCCAGAGCTCGGAAGTCGCCTTCCAGGGGACGCGAGAAGTCGCCGTTTGATGATTTTGAATCGACCATCCGTCGAACGTACGGAAATAGAGGAACTGCGACGCGAAAAGAGGTCGAATATGATCGGAGCCGAAGGTCAAGTCCGCCAGCGAAGCAGAAGTCACAGCAGAATCGGTATGATAGGGATGAGGATTCTCCCGAAGAAGTTTGTCGCATCATTCTTCCAGGGTGGGTGTATTAAATCTTAATTATTGTTGACGACGCGTTCAGCAAAATTTTTGATATTGGTTTATACTGTATTTTGCTGGTACTTGTTCCCCCGTCAAATTGCTGCACAGATTCGCTTTTTCTCGAAGGTAAATGAGAACTTACGAGGGATGCATGATTTCCACGAGTAGACACTGGACGGTGAACGGTCAAGTGCACCCATTGGCTCTCTTTTTAAGATTATTATTTTCAAGCGTCGACGTTTTGCGCATCCATGCGGAACGGGTTTCAAAACTTGTTGCACTGATTCCTTGGTGATACAGTAATAGTAAAAGATATTCACATTGTCAGTGAAATCACTCATAGATACGGTAGTTCTATGAATAAAATATGTGCGAACGTTTCGAGAATTTTTTAATTTGTAGAATTTTAAAATTAATCTATGCTACCCTATTGACCCAGAAAATGCTTGGAACCGTTCATCCACATTTTTTTTAGTGTAATAAGATTTTTTAAAGAGGAAGGGAATACAATTTGTGAACGTGATGCTGTGAAAATTTTAAAACCTTACTTGAAACTTGTATTTCCAAAATCTGCTTCATCTTCAGCAGTTCGCTGCTTATGAATTATTGTAGGATTCACGTCATTTTCTTTTTCATTTTCACAGGCGTAAAGACGGATCGAATAATTCTACCAGGAAACGCTCCAGATCACCGTATAGCAAGTAAGTTTAGATTTTTTTTTAAACGAGAACGAATTTGAATATGTGATGGTTTTCAGCCCGAGTCAACCGAAAAGTCGCCGTTCCAGGTCTCCATCGCCTAGGCGAACCTCGGAAAATAGTAATAACGAGGAACTGTCGAAACTCTTCGGTCTAATGGGCAGCATGATACAGAGTGTGCGAGAAAAGATGAAAGAGCCTGTACCAAACGACCTCTCTAAGCAAATGGCGTTTTTGTTGTCGTCCATGCAAGATAATCGCTGAATTCGCCTCGGTTTTTTCTTTTTTGGCTACGTGCCGATCGGATTTTTTGTTCGGTGTATCGTTCGGGACAATGATCATTTGGGTTGATTGCGATTGACTGTGTTGCATGCTTCTGTTTGGGTGTTGTGCGTCGCTACATGAATTGTTTGATGACACTGCAAATCAGTGAAATTGTGTTGGGACTACAGTGGTTTCTCGGTGAATGGACTTTCTCCGTTCCATTGGGAATTTCGTAATCCAAACAGTCGAACAACTGCGTACTATAAACTTATGTGGAATACGAAAACAAGGATGCTATTCTCAATGAATTGAAAATAGCGGAACAGCTTTCGTGTGCAGTCCATGAAAAAATGACACTCGAAGTCGTACTTGTCGTATTCCTATTTTTAATGGGCAATCTTTTTTTCCTTAGACGAATCTTAACCGAGTATCTCAGTACTTCGTAGATGTTGAATATGAATCATAGTGAAGAAAGGAAGAAACATTGAAGGCGGATCAATGCATTATCAAGAATATTTGAAAATTTTGATTCACTTCGGAAGATTTGCTGGTACCCAAATATTCCAGAGCAACTTTTGAGGGATAATCCTTTATAATGCAATCTATAACCCACATCGGAGTCTGCTTTCCGAGGCGATAAATTGACGCGGGACTGAGTAAATTGTGAGGAAAGTCCATTTTCCGATGCATCTCTTTCATTACAGTTTTCGAAAAATCATTTGTTGCCCTTTTTCCAGGAATTTTGTATCTTGTCAAGTTGTGTAATAGTGATTCGATATGAATGTGATCCAAGCGAAGACGGAATCTTTCGATGAAGCAGTGCAAAGGAATGTCAGGGACGCTCTGAATGAAGACGTTGGAATCTGCGACTGGACTTCGCTTTTGGCCCCAGCTAACCAGAGAGCTGTTGCTCGGGTGATTTCCCGAGACGAAGAAACCGTGATTTGCGGTGTACGATGGTTCGACAACGTTGTTCGAAGTGTGGACGACACGGCTGGGGTTCATTGGATGGTGGAGGAAGGAAATGTTGCCAAAAGTGGGGATGTGGTGTGCGAAGTTACGGGCGACTCGAGGAAACTGCTCACGGCAGAAAGGGCGGCCCTGAATTTCTTGCAGCTTCTGTCTGGCATTGCGACGAACGTGAGGCGACACGTCGAAGTTGTCAAGGGACGCTGTCAAATTTTGGATACGAGAAAAACCTTGCCTGGTCTGAGGTAAGCTACCTAGAAAATGGCTTCATGAGAAAATACCGTGGAGGAGAAAATCCCGCTCCCCGTAAACCCCGCAGGTATTAAAATTACTTAGATTCGAAAATCTCGCTTGGTACTAAAATACTGCGGGAACGAAAATCCCGTATCTTGAATTCATGTAACAGAAATATCAGCCTTCTACGATTACAGTAAGCCATGGTGTGTACAATATCACCACTGCCACTGTCAAACTGTTTTCGACGTCTGAAGTAACCCGAAGTTCCGAAGGAATTTGTGTTCAGTATTATGGACGGTGGATGGCTTGATAATTTAATATTCAAAAATTTCAAAAAACAATTTTTCTTGTTGTATCCTCGTGGATTATTTCTGAATTAGCCCCCTAAATATGGTACTTCTTTTGCCTTCGAAATCAATGAAATACGAATATTATAGGAGTTGAAGCCAATTGGAACCAGTTTTTAACTTGAGGTATTCCAGATCTGTGAAAATCAGTGGGAAGTACATAATTCATATTCAAAGCAAATGCAGGAATTCAAGCTCCAAATGAAGGCTAAATATCTCTGACTTTCTCCTGACCTTTTTCTTCGGTAAGGTAATCCTGATCTTTCAAAGTTGTTGAAAGGAAAACCCGGACACACTTCTACAATTCTGCAATTCACGGGATTTTTGCACCCTGCGAGATTTTCTGCCTCCGGAATTTTCGAGTCGCGGAATTTCCTCTCCCACGGCATTTTCTCCTGTAACCCCAGAAAATGTAATTTCCTCGAACACTAGAAAAACGTTGTAAGTGAAAATTGTCAAGAATTCGAATACAGTTGAAGGACGTGAGCCGAAATCTAATACTGTACTGGATATGTACTGTGTAGGATTTCAGCTTGTGACCGTGGACTGAAATTGGCAATGAATACTTGGCTAATTGAATTCGAGACTATTTTCATTTCGAACATTTTTTATCCATAAGCAATTAATAAATTTCAGGTGCGATTCTATTTCGCCGTAAAATATGATTTATCAAATCTCATATTCGCTCAATCATTTTTTAAAGCTAATCCCCCCCCCCCCCCAAGCGTCTTACATTCGAGTGAAAAAGGCTTTGTTGACGAGATTTTAAAATAATTGTTCGAAGCCACTGTAGCTTCGCTGATTCACACACAGAAGGAACCCAGGAAACAGAAGGCTTAGGTCAACTCCGTCTGAAGTTAAGATTAGATTTTAATCCTCTTGTAATCTCTCAAAATAATATGCATTGTGATGAACAAATGAGGAAATTGTGTTATGGTGATGACGGATTTTCCACTGGTTTCTAACTTGTTGGACACTTGTAATTCTGCATTCAAATCCGATTAAGATGCTACAATTCTAATAAAGCGGGAAATAATGCTGAAAAGGTGTATGCAGGACTAATTTGTGAGCGATAAATGCTTGCTGTCCTTGTCCAACGTGCAGATTTCGGATCTGCGCAGATTTAGCGAGAAGCCATCACTTATGTGGAGACCAGCTTTAAAAAAACTGCCGAACTCGAGTTCGGGAGTCATTTGCGTGATTGTTACATGTTTAAACCGCAGTGCGTTTTCCAGGTTAGCACAGAAATACGCAGTGAAGGTTGGTGGAGGATCAAATCAGCGTCTCGGTTTGTATGACGGAATTCTTATCAAGGAGAATCACATCATGGCGGCGGGTAGTGTGACGCGTGTTATTCAAAATGCGCGGGAGCTTAATTCGGGCGTTAATATTCAAATAGAAGTAGAAACTATCGACCAATTGAAGGAAGCGTTGGAAGCGGGTGTAAAGTCTATTTTGTTGGACAATTTCGATACGAGTTCCATGCGAGAGGCTGTGAAAGTGAACTGTGGTCGCGCGTTGCTCGAAGTGTCTGGCGGAGTTGATTTTGAAAGCCTAAGTGAAATCGCAGACACAGGCGTTGACCGCGTTTCGATTGGAAAACTAACTAAGTGTGTGGAGGCTGCTGACTTTTCGTGGCGGTTCCAGTCCGTACATTAGTCTCCATTTTCAAGTGGTACGGGGCTGAACTCATGGATTTTGTGGTTATTTGTTCCTGCAACCCTTTGTCGTTGAGGTTTTGATATTGCACCTGTTGGGCTGTTGCACACCCACTTCCAAAATGTTCTATATTTGGCAGGTGTTGCTTTGATTGCAAACCTGATCAAACACATTTAACTCTAGAGGCATAGATACAGTTCAACCAAATGAAATGAACTGGATATTATACTTCGAAGAATGGCTTTTGACAAAAATGACTGCTAAGTGAGTTGATGGTATGAAGAATCAAGTATGAAATTCAGGTTGTGATGTTCCTTCCATGTTCTTTAATGGAAATCCAATTTTAAAGATGGAAACTTAATTGTTAAACTTTTTGAGACTGCTAATAAATATGATTGAGCAATCACAAAAATCTGATGAACAAGAAATTATTTTAACAAGACTTGTAATTGTGTATTTTATTCAAGAACTCAAGCAACTTTTTCTGTACAAATAAGCTTATACAATGCCCAATTCTACAAGTAGCTTTTACCCAAGATTACAGTGTTGCAAATTTTTGCCCAGAATGTTCAAAATGTCTGAGCACTTCTGCCAATGAGAGAAAACTGACAAGTCTCCCATGTGAAGAATTGTGTGCAAAAACAATGAATTCCTAAGACTATTCTAAGAAAAGTTGGGAAGCAGAAAATATGCAGAGGAATTTTCTTCTCCAGCTTCAGCAAAGATTTCTCAATTTTTGAGAACCTTGATCAACTCATGTTTGGATAAGTGTCCTTCAAAAACAATTTCATGACTTCAGTTTTCTTGGATATTATTGAATATTGGAAACATATTGCAAGGTATTTTAAAGAATGACAAGAATTCAAGCCTCAATGGCTGAAAAGCATTTATTGAAATAACACAATTTTCAACATATCAGCATAACCATTTGGTGCGTTTTGATTAGCTTTTAGTGCATTGAATTCAATTAGCTGACATGAAAAGCAAGTGGATATCAGCAGAAAAAATTGCACCATGCATAGTGGATGGAATTCAAGTGGCACAATTGTAATCCCCATTCAACAGCTTTTTCACTGATTATTTCAGCTTTCATATCATTCAGTCTGAAAAATGTTGATGTATTGCACTTGAATTCAACCTTCATTTTAGTCTAAACTTTTATTTTTGCCAGTTGCATTACAGTGGGTCATTGCAAAACAAAACTAATCCATTTCTGGATGTACTGTAGTTTGATATGCAGTATTTGTTGTAGTGGGAAACAATATATCCCTAAAACAATAATCCAAATTTGTTTCTTCAAGATATCAAATTAGTTCTTGAGAAATCCATTGTATGTGATGAAATTGTGAATGAAGGCATGTCCAATCATTTGCACTCATTCTTTGCTTTCTGGAAAGCCAGCTGACGCACAGTTTCTTCATACATTTTTGTAAGGATCAGGCCTAGATTTGATCTTCACATGCCAATAAGCAGATCCCCCATGCAAGCTGAAAATTTTATGTTGTATCATCTGGTTTTGTGATTGTTTTATCTTACTAAGCAATTTTGGAATGCTGATAAGTGCTTGAGGAAATTTGGAAGTATACTGGGGCTCAATGAAAGCCTAATTTTGATTTCAAGTGTCCTGCAGTGAAGAGAAAATGTCCTGAAGGATGGAATTTAGGTCATGTATTTTTATTTTCCAAATTATTTTCCAAGAATTTTCATCCAGATTTTTTGATATGTGGGTTTACAATTATACAGGGACTCATTCTACAAGGTGTATGGTTTCACCCAGTAAGCCATTAATGTGCCATTGCCATCAGGGTGAAGAATACCTGTGTTGACTTTGTTCTTAAATAAATTTCCCAAATTTGTTGGTTACCAGAGATATTGTGCTGCAACCAATTCACAGCAACCACCCATCAGGGATGACAACTCTCAAAATGTAAAAATGCTCATTGATAAAATCTGGAAATCACCAGTGACCAAGGTGAATTATTTCTTCTGTAACCTCATTCTTGACAATTTTAAATTTTGCCTTGAGACATTACCTTATCTGAATAGCATTTCTTGCTTTGAAAAATTGAAAATTGTGCTCCATTTTTCATTTTCAGCTTGATATCTGCAGGTATGAAGTGACAACAGTGATCAAGATATTCAAATCAGAACAAGATGAAGACACTACCAAATTGCTTCATTCCTGTCAACAAATTGACTCATCACTAAGACTATACTGTCCCTTTGAAGGTGCATTCAAAACCTCAGAAATTGGGATGTTCAACACTACAGAGCCTGTTCACTGTTGGAAGATTCTCGGTCATAACTTGTAAGCTTGTATAAAATTGTAATTCCTCAATTGTCCAATTTAGAACAAGAGAAGAAACTGAAAGCTTATTTGAGCTGTTGCCCTTTGATAGTTGTTGCACCAAGTATATGTTTGCTGTGTGAGTTGTCTTGGTCCGAAGTTCTTGGTGTGAAAATTATTGGGGAAGAAGCTTTGTTGTTCAATTTCTGGTAGAAGAGATGTGCACAATAACCCAAGTGAATACCATTTTATGTCAAAGTAAATTATTGGCATGGTAGGGTAAGTCCATAATTTTTTATTTGAATGATTGTTCATTGATTGAAATTCTGTGTTGCGCTGCATGTTTTTTCTTCAGACATTTCTGTGGGTGCTCCTTGTTGCAGCCCAACTTGAGTGTGATGTCATTGAAAGCAAGTGTTTGGCTGGTCACTCAAGTTTTCCTTTTTTTCTGTTTAGGTTGAACTGTCAAAATAATAATATCCATAAATATGTCTGAAAGTGTGAAAAATGATGGTGATGGCGGTGATGTCAACCCACAAGATTACTCAGCTTTGCTGGAGAGTGGATTCAAAATGCTGGTGGATCAGTTTGCACTTCAACAGGAAAGAGATCAAGATCTGATTCTTTCACCTGAAATTTTGAATAAGCTGTCCAATATTGTGCAAGAAAATTCCAAGCGGATGATGAAACCATCAGATAGGCGTGAGTATCTGCATTATGATTTTTCAATCAATTTGTTTTTGCAGGTTGTGAAGAAAGGGATGGAAGTATCTCAAAACATTCACTCCAGTTCCACTAGTACTGTGTCTCCTCAACAGAGAAGTTTGGTTCAACATTAGGCATACCTACTGACCCAGTTCTGGAAACTAAAAGTCATGTCTATCTGAAACTCCAATAGATCAGCCATCATAACATGTCTGTTAATGACACTCAACTCTGTTCTGTATCTGGAACATCTATTGGTGAGGTATTTTTTGACAAATGCTACAGGCATACTATAGCATGTGTTAGTTGTGAATAAAACATAGATGGAATCCAATGAATTATAGCATACCTTGTTCAGCCACTAAAATTTTCATTCTATGAAGGTGCTTATATATCTTCTCATGAGTATAAATATGTGGTTTGTATAAATATATATAATCATAGTAAATACTATGTTTATATATATAATTTTGGAAAACAGTTTACCTGTGTGTGGTGAGCACTCAATTTTGAACTACAATATTAGGGAGAATGGTTTGAATACTACTTCATGTGAATGTGGTACTCTTCCACAAGTATTCATACTCAATTTCCTTCAGATATTGGTGGGAAGATGACTACAAACTAACCATTGGACTAGTTCACAGTTGATGCTGGAAGCCCAATGTCTTGGGAAGCAATGCTTGCATGTTTTCAGATTTTGATAAATACAGTATGTCATGGATTAGACCATTAATTGTTGTTTCTAATGTTCTTAAAGCACTATCTTCTGTCTTGGGGAAAAAATGAAGACAGAATGAATGAGTCTCAGGCAAACCAAGGGTAAGGCATGCTTGGAAGAATTTTGACATCCTAACCTGGGACCAAGATTAATTTTCTCCATATATCTCAAAGCCATCTAAGCAATCTTGAGAGGATGCAAATGAGAGGGTCTCTAAGCAAGTGGTTTTCATTGATTGAGGTTATTTTTTAAAAGATTGTTTTCATCTCTATTCATCAATTTCAACATTCTATGGCTATGTGATGGAAATGTCAGTTCTATGGTCACAACACATCTCTGCAGATCAAAAAAGTATGGTGGGGCCTCAATTGGCAAATGTCCAAAAGAAAAAAACAACTTGAATGCCAAACTCTGGTTATGTTGCTATTTTGTCTCAGACAACAAACTGGACTTCAGAAACAAAATTCATCAGGAAACAATTTAACCAATTGAAGTTATATTTTGCATGATGTATTCTGGACCCAAATGAGATAAAAAAAGATTTGATTCCACCTCCTGGTTCTAATATTGCTAAGGTTGTTATTTCCACTAGAAAGTGTGATTAGCCTGTTTGTTTTTTACATTGTCAGTTTTTCAGTTGAATTTCTTCATTTTCTCTCTGTAGTTTGTTTTGCTGGAATCAATGGAATGTTATCCCATACATTTCTATGGGAAATCCTATTCAAGGCCACAAATGCCACAAGGAACAGATAGACTACTGGAATGGTTTAGGTTTATTCCTTGAAACCCCAATGTTCAATAATCTCAAGCATTTACTTGAAAAAGCATTGAAAAATCCTTGCTACCAGCAATTTTAGTTTTTGACAGGTTGGTCAAAGCCCAGAATTGTTTGTGGAATCTGAGAAACTGTTCTGAAATCTCATTCTTGTTCTTGAAATAGATGAATGAATGTCAAAATAGTGTTTTCTGGAAGCCTGGAATTACATGAGCATAAATATTATGAGCAGCTTGTGGAACCTGTTCTTGAAATAGATAAATGAATGTCAAAATAGGGTTTTCTGAAAGCCTGGAATTACTAGAGCATGAATATTATGAGCAGCTTGCACAACCTGATGGATTTCTTGCAGAATTCTATACCCACAACTAGTAGCGTGTTTTTCCCCAGATTTTGGACAATCAACTCTGAAACAGAGATCACATTTTCAAGGATAATTCCTTGGGGCTTTCTCTAATAGCCTGCAAGAATTAAAAAATCTGTCTCAAACCAAAGAGTTTTAGCCTGCCAAAGTTATCTTTTGCTTGTTCTTTTTTGTGTTCATTGTTAACATTGAAGTTGCCTATCTGTGTAATTCAGAATTTCAGCTATTATCTATTTTGATGGAAAGGCTTGATGTAGAAGTTGATTGTATTTTTAAATAGTTTATTTGAAATTTTAGAATTTCTGGCTGTGCTGGCTTTATTACACCAATTTTGCTTTGTTCATTTTGTGGAGGTTTTTTTCTGGAAATGATCAACAAAGACTAGAAGCAGGCAGACATTCAATAAGCTCCAAACCAAAATTGGCTAAAATGGGGTGCTGGACAGTGGACACCCATCTTGCATGGGCACTAAATTCAATCTAGAAGTCTAGGAAATTTTGAGTGTATTTACCTCATCTCTCTATGAGTAAAAATAGAACCAATAGATGTGGGAGATTATCCCTTATTTTTGTAAAGTTTTTCATAGTTTGACTTGGGTCTGTTTTGCAGGTGAGGTAAAACCTTTTGCTTATGACATAAGCCAATTGAGAGAAGGAAACAATTGTTAACAATAGTAAAGTTGAGATGAGCTTCCGTATTTCTGACTGTTCTCTTCAACAGCTGAAACCAAACTGATTTTGCACTCAAAAATGTGGCTTGTAAACACTCCTGGCAGAATCATGTGCTAAGAAGACAATAATGTGCAGAAAAACTAAAAAACAAACCGTGGTAGCTAACAATGTGTTCCACATCTGTTCTGCCAGAAAACAGAAATCCGCTGTGAATGTCACTTTACCCAGAGGGTTTTTTTTAGCATGGGGCATCCAAGCCCCAACTTTCAACCCACTGTATTTTTCTTGAGGTAGAAAAAAATCAACGCATCTCTGATATTCCCCATGTAACCTGACATTTTTGCTCCAATGTTTTTCAGGAAAGAATGTTTCTTTACAGCAGGGTTTTTCTGATTTTTTGAGAATTCTGTTACTTGTCATTTCCAGGATTTCAATGCTGCTGTTGTACATGAGAATGCATGCAAGTATTTATTCGTGTATTACAATTTTTATCCACAGATAGAAAATGGCAAGAACAGAAACCCTGGTTGCACCCTGCAAGGCACTTATACTTTCCCCAAAGCTCTGCAGTTCTGTAAGACTTTGAAAATTTGTCCCTGCCAAAGGGAGCAAAGAAAAATGGAAATGAGAACTTTCAAAACCCATGAAAGCTTTCTGCACTCTTGAACAGCATCCACCTTGTTTTCCTTGGCCTAACTGCAGAGATATTAATTCTTGAAGTTTCTCCAGAAAATATGCATGCTTTCTGACGCATTTAGTTCTGGATGAGTTTTATAAATCATGAAAATGGAGTTGTGAGACCTGTGCTCTTTCAGCTCACATGTCTAGCTTGTAGGGTATTCTGTTTTGAATCTGTTGCCTATTGGGAGTTTTTGGTATAAACTTGTCTTATTAGTACTTCTGTGAGGAATTTTCAGGGTGTTTTGGGCAGTTTCTGTTCAACACAGGCTTTCAGAAATCAACTGTGCCACATCTGAAGATGATTCCAATCATTATTGGTTGATAATCATGGGAAATTTTGCTCCTGCAGGTTTTTGTCAGCCAAAAAAGTTCAAAATGTTGAGAAGCAATGTTTTATGCACAGGTGTCATTTGCTATGCACATATTTTGTGCTCCTTTGAATTTTTGACAAGTCCACTTTTTTATGTTGGAGCAGTCATACCCAACTCAGAAGAAAACAGTAGAGAATTGTGGGCCACAAAGGAAAAAAGGCACAAGAAATGTTATACAGTACACAACATAATTCATACATTTTTTGGATGGTTGAAACCATTCTAATCATCTATCATCAAGTTTAAGGCATCCAGGAATTTCAATAAATATCTTTTCTTCCTCAATAAACTTGGTGCTGTATTTTTAATGATATCTTTCAACTTTTACCTGCATTACTACATGACTGCATTTTTGTTGATTCAATTGTAGAAATTAATCTGCATTATTTTTCAAAAACATTCAACTGAATTCCAAAAAAAAAACAGAAAACAAAGCAACTGAAAACTTGGAGGGATTTTAGATGGTGAAACATAATTAGGCTGAAAAAATTAAGGCTGGTGTTTCAGAGAGTGTTGAACTAATTTGGAGAAAATATGGTCTTGACTGTTTTTACACAATGCATAACATTTCTTATGACTTTGAAAATGGGTCTATATACTCTTTATGCAAAGAAGCATTGATTCAACCTCAGAACACATAAAATGATCATGGCCTTTTTAGGATGATCATAACCAGGATATGTGTTTGGCATCAAGTTTAGGTAATAGTGGGAGATTTTTCATGAAATTTGTTTAAGTCAGAGCCAGTTAAATTTACATTTTGATCTAGGACAAATCAAAACTGACAATTTGAGGCAGGTCCAATTTGAGACACTAACTTTTGGAAACAGGGACAATTTGAGACAAACTTTTGGAGGCAGGGACAATTCAATGCAGATACATTTTGAGGACAAGATAATTTGAGACAGAAGCATTTTCAAAATGACTCTCCTGTGTTTTCCCTTGTATATAATATTGCAGGTGTGAAAAAGAACAAAACTTGCACTGCTTGGTCAAAAGGTAGTGTGAATGAAAATCACATATGCATTGTATCAGAGGTTTTTTTTGTTTAAAAAAACTTTGCTTGCTTTCCTTCCTCTCTTGATCCATAATACATTTTATTACACCTAGAAACACAATAAATCTATAGCACTCAGATATTATATGGAATATGCATAACTAATCATATTTCAAATATTCAAATTCAAATGCATGTCATTCAAAAAGGTCTACAAATGGAATCAAGCTCAAGAAAATTAAGTCTGATATAAACAAATGTTGTGTACAGAGTTTGGGAGGAGATGGGAATCTGAGGAAAACCAGAAAATGATTGTGAAAAAATATTGTGTGTGCAGAGCTGCTTTGGGAGAGCCTCAATTTTTTCTTCTCTCCAAATGTCCATTTCTCCAATTGTCCCTGTCACAAATTGGCTCAGTTTCATATTGTCCCTGTGTTACAACATGGCCCTGTCTCAAATTTTTTTTCTCAATTTGTCCACATGCCTTTACATTTGCATTTTTACATGATGGTCTACTTTTGTTCATGCTATTCCAAAAATTGAGCTGCTGTATGTCTTTCCCCTATCAAGAAATGCAATTAAATTAAAAACACCACAGAAAATGCTGGGGTAGGATTTAAATTCCAAGATTACAAAAACTCTGCCATTTAATCTGAAAAGCAGAACTACTAACAGCACAAATCAATGCATACTGTTACATTGGTCTTTCTTGTTGGAAGGAGCCATTAGAAAATGTGTGAAACCCTAATAATATTCCTTATCAAAATTGTTGACTGATGATTTTTCAAAAACTTGCAATGTTCACTTCTGGTGGTTTAAAGTTTTGGGTGGCAATTTTCCATGATGGCTTTGCGGGCCAGCTGGAAAGCCTCCGCAGGCCATATCTTGGGCACCCCTGTGTTAAAGCATGTATCCAAAAGCTGAAGCAATTGTTTGTTCAACTTTTTGACTAACAAACTCAAGTGTGACATTTTTCAATGATAGTGCTTTTGCTCTAAGATGTTGCTCTCCAAGTCAAATTTCAAGGGACCAGGAAAAAAATTGACGTACAAAAGTTTTGACTTCTGTAAGTTTTGAGTTGTTGAGGTTTGAATTACAAAACCAGGAATATTTGTTATTAGTATGTTTGTGATGTCATATGCTGAGTCTTGAATTACTTAAGCATACAAAAGCAGTGACAGATCATTAGGTCAAGTCAGAAGATGACACCAAACATTCATGAAAATTTGCATGTTCAGTTCTTATGTGAAGAAATACTCTACCATAGTGCTGAGGGGTAATGTTTCGGGGCCATGTTCAAACAAAAGCTGAAGCCCAGAGCTTCTAATTTTGACAGAAAGAGGTCCCACTTTCATCTCATTCTTCTTCAAGTCCTGGATTACTGTAACTGTAGGTTCTTCAATACTCAATTGTTCCAAGTGATGAGTAATTATAATTTCATCAAGAGGCTCAGAATAGGGGGAGTGAATTCTACTATTCCAGGATGATTGTGGAATCCAGATTTAATTGGCTACATGATTGATCAATGGAGTTGTGACATGTTTACCCTTGCATTTTTAAGACCATTGCATGAAAGCATACAGATGAGTCTCGCAGGTACAGGTGTTGTAACTAAATTGATCAATCCTAAGTGATCCACCTCTGGGTACCAAAATTATCCTGGAATAGTGCAATTTACTCAGCTAGGTTGATGGAAGACAGCTTGACAATGAAGATAATCACTGTTCGACTCTCCTAGACATCTTGGACTCTGAAATTTTATGACGATTTTCACATATTTTGTCTTCTGCATGTAATTGGAGAGTAATTTGAGGGAACACTTGGGGTCTGGCTGGACGGTTTTGACAAAAATATTGAAGATATACATTCAAGGCAAACTTCGTGTTGATGATTTGAAACTACAGTACAGTGTACTTGAATATTCTTAGAGAAAAGCAACAGTAGAGGCGTCAAAGCTGAGTATCAGCAATCTGATATCGGAGGGTATCTTGAGAATTATGTGGTTACTGGCGTATTTAATTTTTAAGGTGACATCGAGGGCAACATGGTTTGGAATCGCATTCGCACAGCTAAACTCATTGACAGAGCGGTGAACAAATTACTGCCTGGTGTCACGTCGCATGAAGTGGAGTTCGACCCCTCCACGAAAGCGAAGGGTGTTCTGGAAGCAGTTCCGGCGCAGGAAAGAGCGCGTCTATTCGTGCGTTCGCAAGCTTTAGAGTATAAGGAAGATCGGGGCCTAAGCGGGCCATTTGAAGATAATCATGAGGATCCCGTGGAGAATGCCTGCAAAATTGAGTGGTTCTCGCTCCCGAAGGGGTTCCAGCTTGATATGGGCAAAGCTGAACCATACCCTGGACTCAAAATCGAGCTGGGGGACCCCGTCAAGTGCGGCTGTGACCGTGCTACTCTTTCGGTGAGATTTTCGTTATTTATTTCCTCGCGAACTTTTCAAATCTCAGTATGAGGCCGACCGAGTTTTATGCACCTTGCTTTGAAAAAATTTAATTCTCGGAAAAACTGAATTCAAATAGGGTTGCTTCGGTTAATCCGTTTCAAAAATAAATTCCATTGTTGGAGTATATCCACAGGCTTCATCGTATCCTTATTGCGGATGGGTTTCAAATCCCCGCTAAGTATTTTTTTTAGTTGTACCTTAAAAATACGAAATCACGAATCGTTCCCAGATGTGTCAGAAATTTGCTTCTTGCAAGAAGTGCAAAAGGTTTCGTCTTACCTTTGTTTCATTAAAAGGGACGAATTCGTCAGGGAAAGATTCCTCGATATTCCTTCGATTCCTTTTGTCGTTGCCGATTTTAATGCTTTGATTTTTCATGCGGAAAAGCTTGTTTGGTTGAGCACGGTTTTGCGTTGTCTAATTAAAATGTGCGAAACTTTACCTGTTCCCGTTTTTCATTCCGCTAGAATAGAATTATATAATCTCGAATGTTTTTCTTTGTTTTGAAAATTTTTTTTCTTTTTCTCGATTTTTCAGGCGTGGAACAAGCGTCAAATGTTCTTTAAGATCATCGAGAACGTCACGGTGGATTTATTGCGGCTGACTGAATTTCTGGGTGTCCTCTCTGAAGAACTCAAAGCCGAGCTTCGGGCCGACTCTTCGGACTTGAAATTTAGCCTGAAAGACGCCGTCCAAGACATCAGCGATGTCTCTGATATGCTCTCCAATCGGAGCGAGGCACTCTTTTACATCACTTGTCAACATTCCCGGGAGTGCGTTCTGCAGGCGTCTGGCATGAAGGGGTTTCCGAAGAACTATCTTCGTCTGTCGCATGCCTCGAAAATTTTATTCGAACCCGGGGTAACTGATTTGATGAACAAGTTGATTCGGACGGGCAAGAAGCACATCCCGAAGCGAGAAGGAGGCTATGCTCCCCGTGGTGGCGGTGTCGCCCGTGGAGGGTATCGGGGAAATTTTGCGGGTGACCAGGGAAATGGAAATGTCAGTGGGGGCTATGGTGGCTATGGCTTCTATAAATGAATTCTAGCTTGAAAAAAAAAAAAAAAAACTCCGCTCTGGAATCCCTGAAGGAGTCCTCAACTATGTTTTTTTTTTCTTTTTGAGAATGAAAGCTGCGAGTTGATTTTGTTCGAGACAAAGAATGCGACATTTCTTCAAACGCTGATTTTTTCATCTCTCTTGTTCATTCGAGTCCGGTACCCTCGTTATCTTATTTCTTTGTAAATATGAATGAATGTTCTATGCGTCATGTTCGGACATGTATGGTATGGGGCAGAGCGCGTTTTTTTTCTGTTGACGTTTGGAAAACTATCTCGAAATGATTTCCTGAAATGATCTTTTTTGTGTTTTTTTTTTTTGTGTGCAGGCGCCTTTGTCGCGACGGACCGTTATCTGATTTTCTTGAATCGGTTTACAGTAATCTTCAAGATTTTTTTTGAAAGCTAGTTTCGGATCTTTTTTTTTTCTTCGTTTGAAGAACGCGCCATGCATCAGGATGTTGTGCTTCGTTTATCCTCATACGTGTTCGAGATAGATGTTTCCAGGAAAACGGCAGACTTCACACATGCTCATTTCTTATGCGTTTTACTATTTATCGATGGGGAATGTTCACATTTTCCTTACGTACCCGATTATTTATCCAGTCCAGGAAAACGAGGGTAATAGTTCTTTTTCGACTTGAATAAGATTCTGTTCACTGGCAAGAGCTGGCGATTTCCGAGTGATGGCGGGAACCGAGGATAAGCATGCAACCGAAGAAGAAAAAAGCGTTGAGGTAGCTACTCTTATTTTTTTTTTAAATCATTAGTCGGTTGAAGACCTAGGTTTTCTTCAGAATTTGGAAAATGAAGATCCACTTGGAAGCGACAAACCGGAGAAGCAAGTAGAAGATGAATCCGTTCGGTCCTTGGTGAATGAAGTTATTTACAGCGGTGCGCAGAAAGCCATTAATGTGCAGTCATTAGACGAGAACTTCTTGCTGTCGGAAGATGCTATAGAAAGCGTACGCAAGCTTCTGGCCGAAGACTACAGAAGAAAGAAGGCCCAGAAGGAAGCTGCAAGTGCGCGTAAGTTTCTTGCTTGGCAAGCGTTCAGTCGATATTCTGAAGGTGAGCACATTTAAGCTTTGGGAATTCGTTCAAATCATGCCCTGGAACTCAACCGATTTATAAAACCTCTTTTTTTTATTCATTAATTTTTTGATGATGTGGAAGGTTTCTCAGTTGAGCGTTCAAAGTTGACGTGCAACATTTGTCCGAACAACAAAAGGGAAAACATTGATCTTCCCGAACATCCCAACAGCATGTACCCTGTTGGGACTACTGTTTTGTAAGCCTAAATTCAGCGTTTGGTTATATTTTGTGGGGAAATTTTCAGCATTTTCCCCGGAGGAACAGTATTACGTAGTGCTGCTTTGCAGTATCGTGTAACACTTCGTATAACAAATCTTTAATGGAACAAATGTTCGTGGTGCGATTTTTCGCCCTTGTATTACAGAAACAAGGTCCAGTAAAGTACAGTATACAGTACTAATAAGGTTTTGAAGAATCAAAAAGTCCCTAAAAATTTATTCTCACTCCAATTGGTTAGAAAGTAAGGATTAAGGATTTAATGAACTGCGTTTAGGAGAGTTACGTTCAGGGCGTCCTCAAAAATTGTGTTAATAGAAATAAAATGAGAATTTTCTTATTTTCACAATTTTTGCCTTCTTGCAATGTTTTAAATGATAGCGCTAGCACAAATCACGTTCATTCCACAATGTACCGCTGTATTTGAACTTTTTATGTATATGTACGCTGTCACGCAGTTCCAGCCCGTGACTGAAGCCCGCCATCCGATTTTGGTGGCAATTGATTGGAATAATTTCATGTGCCGGGAATATTGCAGAAAATTTTAAATTGTGGCCTTTATGGCATGAAAGCATGCATGTGGTTTCTCTCTAAAAGAATTGTTTAGTTATAGTTGTTAATGTAATTTACACAAATACAGTAGATTTGTTATACTGTATAGGTGGTACCTCGCAATTCGACGGATTAGATTCGAATTGCGGGGCACCACATATGCAAAGAAAATCGTTGTAGAGGAAGTCTACCTGCACTTCATTTGTTTCACCCTTCAAATTTTGTGCGACGTTATTCTAGTTCTTGTATGATGTGGACGAGATGTAGAGTTTTCGGCCAGTCTTTTTTCATATTTGCCCTCAATTAATGTAAATGTATTGTTTCCTTTTTTTATTCTTGCAGAGGATTCCAAGAATAGTTCGTCGAATGAAAGAATTTGGAATCGCGCTCGAAGTGCGAAAATGGTTGAGCGGGCTGTCGAGAAACGCCTGCCTGGTGTTCAGCAAAAAACAATTATTGATGGGGAAATTACTCATTGTGGCATCGTAGTTTCTGTGCCTAGAGTTGAGGACGCGAAAAGATATATGAAAGCTCAAGCGCTTTCGTATGATGCGTCACGTCCACTTAATGGCCCTTTCCCGGACGATAAAATGGATGATCCTGTAGAACTAGCGTGTCACTTGAACTGGTTTTCCCTGCCCAAGGGCTACCAACTGGACTTCGGCAAAGCGGAAACACAGCCCTTTGAATTCAGGCTTGGTGATCCGGTAAAGTGTGGTTGCAGTAATAAGACCATCGTGGTAAGCTGCTGGAATTTGTTTTATCCCTTAAACGGTAGTTTCTCTAAGTTGAATTATTCTTGTGGGTCCATTGAAGTTCAACTTTGAGAGGCTCCATTTCTGTGAATTTAGGAAATATTTTTACGTGTGAGCACTTGGTCCTCCTCTTTCAATACAGGCCTGGAAGACGCGGGAATTGTTCATGAGAATTTTTGAGCAATTGGCGCTGGACATTTCAAGATTAAGTGAAATACAGGCTTTACTCACAGAAGAAATCGAAGCCGAAATGAAGATAGGTGCCGAGGATTTGAAGTCTCGACTGACTGCGGCTGTCAAAGACATTGGAGATGTATCTTCAATGATGTGCAATCGCGCTGAAGGTCTATTCTATTTGACCTGTCAGCAAAGCCGAGAAGCAGGTTTGAAATTGTCTGGCCTCAAAGGGTTTAGCAAGAATTATTTGCGTCTCGCGCACGGCAGTAAGGTGCTATTTGAACCTGGGATAACAGACAAGATGAACATCTTGGTGCACCAGGGGGAAAAGAAGATCCCCGAAAATACACGGCGTGGTTTTTGAATAGATGGAATCTTGGGATCCCTGTGAAAGAGGGATTTTTCCATCATCGTTGCATTTTGTTGATTTCTGAAGGAATATTTCATCTGGTCTTTCCAGGCTTGTTGATATGTGCTGCGCACAGAACTTTTGCAGAAGGGAAATAATTTTTTCGCTGAAAATTTGCTCTGCTGATTCGTGAAGGCTTTATTCTGAATTTGTTGGAATGGAAGAAAAGGGTAAAATTCAGCGGTATTTTAATAATATGAGATAAGATGCAAATTTGCTGAGCCGGGAGAGAAATTAAGTCCTCTGAAACGAGATTTGGGTTTTCCAATTATATCCATCCTGGTGATTTGAATAATCAGCATTAAGGCACCTTCTACCCAATGTTCTTCAGAAACATTTTTCGGAATGAAAGTCGCAGTAGGGAGATGGTTTTTGTGAGGGAAGATCATCATGTGATGTGTGAAGTTTTCGTTTTAAATTTGTTCGAATGAAAAAAGCAGGAGAAAGCATTGCGTGCGTTTTATTTTGAACGCTTGAACAAAGGTAATCCCGGATTTACAAGCGAGTCGTGATCCGGGTTGAAAATTAATTCCATCGTCTGATTATGATTTGTTGAAACATTTCTTGTTGAATTCTTTCGGATTTTCAATTGTTCCCCGAAACGGAGTCCCGACAAAGCTTTTTCTCCGCGAAATTTACATCACTTGATTGTGTAAACCTTTTTCAATTTGTTTAATAGACGGAAAGCGGCAAAGCAAGTATTCTAGACGCATTTCTAGAAAGCGTTTGTTAAAAAAATATATATTCTTCCATTTTTTGGTCCATGGGAAGGAGTGATTTCAACATCATCCACGCACATTCATTATCCTGATCAATAATTTCATGAGAAAATGTCTGGCGTTTGTCAAGGTTTACTTTCCTTGGAAAGAAGATGAATTTGATTGGGAAAATTTTGTTGATCCTGATTCTTGGTTTTGTTCTTCATTTGAAAGCGCGTTCTTATTTCGGCCATAAATTTCATTCTTGTTTTCCATGCGGTCAAAATTTTCGGTTGAGAAAATTTAGAAAAGCCAAGCTAATCTAATCCAACTCGTCGATGAATCTTCTTCGGCTAGAATTCTTTTCATCAGTGCCTGTGATTCATTTCGGTTTTAAAATGCTAATTCCTTGGAGAGAGTTCGTGACTCGATGCTTTCGATTTTCGCAGGGAAAAGTCTGACGATGTGTAAATATTACTGAGTTGAACCTGTGAAAGAAATGTCTGATGCCGGCGATCTCATGGCTTCCGATAAAGTTGATAAAAATTCGGAGGCTGCTGGCGAGCAAAATGAATCTGAAGACCCTAAAGACGTAGTCATGAAGGAAGATGCTGTCGACCCCAACTCTGTCGCGGACAACGTTGATTTGCCGCCGAAAGAATCAGAAGCTGTTGATGCTGAACCGGATGAAGAAAAAGTTGCCCCAAAGTCTGAGAACGCTGAAGAAAAGTCAGCTGGTGAGGGAGAATCTCCTTCACACGATGCAAATGCAGACGAAGAAATGGCCTTCGAGGTTCTTGATGAAGCCGTGGAACCTGGAACTCCTGCCCAAGATCAAGAAGAAAGTGCAGAATTGGAAAGTCCCGAGAAAACTGAAAAGGAAACTGCGAAATCGGAAAGTCCTGAGAAAAATGACGAAGAACCCGCAGAAGCGTCTCAACCCGAAGACGATGTGACTAATTTATCTATTGTGGATGAAGTCGGTGGAGACGATGAGCGGACTGAAGGGGAAAACAAGCAAGAGGAACCCGAAAAAACTGGTGCAGATGCTTCGAAATCTGAAACGGAGTCTAACATTAAAGAAGATAATAAGAAGGCCCCGTCTTCTGCGTCTGCGGAAGCATTGAGTTCATTCGTGGGTCTATTGAGCAAATTGCAGAAGATTCCGCCGAGTCCCAAGTCAATTTTGAAGAAACCTGCTGCTTCTGCTGGAACGCCGAATTCTTCCAATGCAGAACCCAAGAAAAAAGCCAGACCTGCTCCGAAATCCATAAAGCTGGCTCGTGAGAAGATGGCCCAAAGTGCTACTACCAACGATGGGAATGCACCCGCAGGAAAGGAACACACTTCGGATGAAATTGCAACTGGAGTTGTTCCGAAGAGTCCTTCCAACAGTCAGTATATTGATTACAATTCTTATTTTAAAAATCATGAAATTCGGTCAACCCTCGATTTAATGCTACCCCCACACAGCAGCAAATTTCTCGGGAACGAATCTCCCTACATTGAGTTCTTGAGGAAAACCCCAATATCGTGCAAACTCACTTGAATCCGCCAGAAATGTCTTGACATGTATGCAAAAAATGGGACAAAATTACAGAAATTCAGGCTTCTCCTGGGATAGGTTATTTCTGAGCAGCATATGCCAATGCTCGAGACAATGTTGAAAATTATGAATTTACGTGCATTTTGGTGGCTTTATTAGAATGTCCTCCGCAGGTGAGGAAATCTCCACAATTTGGATAGCCTCTTCAAAGAATATCATTTTACTGGATTGATGATTTTTGTGCTTTTATTGAAAGGTTGTTCGAGAACTTTAGGGAACAGCTCTGCTCTTTTACTTAACAAAATGTGTTGGAAAATCGTATATATTCTGCATTAATGAATAAATTGAAATACAGTTTAAATGATGTACAGTATTTCGATTTTAAATTATTTCTTGTGGCATTCTCTACAGACTCAACGGCCTGAAAATTCTGCAAACGAGCTTATTTCCGTATAAAAGAAGCCCCCAACAAAACCTTCCTCTCATACAATACCCCTGATTTAGCGCCAGTGTGCCAGAACGAATGATGTCCCTAAATCGAGGTTTGGCTGTAAATGCAAAATGAAAATTACAGTATTCAATATTATTGAGAATACAGTATTGAAGAGGAGCCTATTCCCTGTGAAATTAATGCTGGCAGACCCGTTCATCCCAGCAATTTGTGATTGAATTGGATGCCCAATCAACTTCTAGTTTGCTATTGTAAGCGGAGTCCGCTATCCGAAGCAGATATAATGGTTGTCTTAGTTCTTCTCGTGAAAAATCAATTTTTATAGACGTTTATTCTCCTGGATATCACTATTCAGAAAGCCTACAGTATACATTTTTTTTCTGCAGCTGCGGTTATCCCAAGGAATGGCAAAGGATTTTGGAATTTGTTGCGATCTGCGGAGCTCTTGAATCGCGCTTTGGATTACGGAGTTGAAGGAGTGGTGTTGGCGGAACCGTACGATGTGGTTAGGAGGCCCAACGACCCGAAGTCAACCAAGCCGGTCATCAAATGCCGGGGCAAACTTTCTTGCTCCAAGTCGGTTCGCATCGCGAGGACCTGGCTCAACTCAGCCAAGGGATCAGAAGGACGAATGGTTGGGCTCTTCGGACCTTTCAATAGATACGGACGGGATATACGGATGGAGAACAACTTCGAGAAGAAGGTTTATGGTTGTCCGAAACAATGCAATGTGGGCTTGGGTAGACACGAGGAGCCGGGAGGACCTTACATTTCTATCGGTTACCCAGAGATGCACGGATTCCCTGAAGAAAGCATTGAAGTGAGTGAGTTTTTCCGTGAGGAAAATTCCGTTATGACGAGCACTGCGGGACTCAATGGACAATTTTAGTTTCCATTTACTATATTTACTCAAATAAATATCCCTTGAGTGAGATACTCTAGTTTTTCAACTGAATTTTTGGAAAAATTTCAATCCCCGTATGAAAAAGTGTATTCATTTTCAGTTGCCGAAATTTATATATTGAAAACTACATGGGATAAAAGGCAAAATGCAAGCTCACTTGATAGTTGAATTCGATGGATATTTGTCTTGTGCCAATCATGGAACCATCAAGGTAGGAACTTGAAAAAAATTCAAGTGAGGAAAAAAACAATTAAAAAAGGCACGTCAAAATTATTAACCAACTATGACGCGCACCCCATTTTCTTACTCCAGTATTGGGTAAGAAGGTGTGCGTGGTACTTGCGTGAATGTGGTGATAAATTTGAAACTCATAAACTAATACTGTGCTGTAATACCAAAGATTTATGCTTATAATTCATCAATAGGTCGCTAAAATACCCACTTTCTTCAGGTACATATTGTTATGAGCAAACCAGTTTTCCTTTTTTTTTTAGATGCTGAAACGAAACTACAGCATTTTTTGCGCTGAAGTGATTTATGAGTAACTTACTGGATTCCGAATTCAACGTGACGTCATTCATGTGACATCTATTCAATAAGCAAGAAAATTATTGAGTCGGGGACATTGCTTGTTGAAGGATTTCTGTCTCACGGGTTCTCGTCACTTATAGGTTTACAAACAACGTCCTCCTGTTGCGCGGGTTTTGGAACAAACTGGAGCCGAACTTGAGCGACTCTCGGACTTGATGGCCGTCTGTCTGGAGACGTTTTTTTCGTCGTTGCAACAGATCGCTGACAAATCGCCGGAATTTGCGACGCAATTGCACACCGTCGCACCACAGATCGTCGATCTACGTGACATCAGTGCGCTTTTGTCGAACCGTGCTGTCGCAAACATGGATATTCTGTGTAAATCAGCCAAGCTGCACATCATCGAAGGCGAGCACAATGCATTTTTTTAAATCATCGGCGTCGGAAAGGCTTCCGAAGACGAAGGGTGTAAAAAAATGGCTTTGAAACTGTGTGCCAGAAGATATCTACTCCGAACGTGGGGATATTGTTATCATGGCTTTGATCAACTGCCCTTTAATGTCATTGCAAGTGCGGTCCAAGATCGAGAATACTCTTGAAATATTCTAATTCAAATTACTATGTTTCATCGCTTTCGTTTTTCTGCTGACAATTTTTACGAAAAGAAAAAAGCCCTTGTAAATTTAGTGTTTAAGTCTGTCCAGCTTGAAATGTTGAATTTCAATTCGTTGAGCACGGGTGATGGGAATCTTTGTTTTCCAGGTTCCGGAATGGATGATATGACTGCGCGAAAATATTTGATGGCTCCCCCGTCCCGAATTTTGTTCCCGAAGCCGACTGGACCGAATGCTCCGCGAGTCGTTCCCAAGAGGAAATGGCAAGCACCACATGAGCAAGGTTTCAAAAGGCGGCGGGACGGCGGTCCACCGGGCAACGTTGAGCCATTCCGAAATGCTGACAGGTTTGTTGAAAATGCGAGAGTCGGAATGCAGTGAAAAATCCGGTTTATGGCCTTCCCATGATTCAGTTAACTTGAAAGGAATTTTCAGAAGTTATATATAAATCTTTTTATTCAATTCGAATTATTTAATATTAAACACTTCGATTCTTTGATTCGCGAAGTTTTATTGGAGCCACTGTATTAATCATTAAGCTGATTCAGCAATTTTCCATACTCGTACCTTCCGAGGTTTTCGAATTTTGGCGATAATGCACTATGAAAAAATTGTGGTTTGTAACATTTTTATCCGTTATCTTTCTGAGGTATAGTGCATTTGGATATAAAGTACTGTATTTTTGTACACTGTACAGTACTTCTATTCAACTTCACCTAGGGGACCAGAAAAAAAAATAGTTGTAGAGAACCACCATGACTCGGAAAGAGAAGCCTATGGAACGTCAAAAATGCTTCATACAGAGAATCGTTGTGGACAAGATCGTTTTAGAGAAAGTCTTCCTGTAGTATTAAAGCATTGCGGGCCGCAACATTTTTATCTGTTGCAAAAACAGCATATTGTATTTTGATTTATTTCTGTAGACTTTTATTTATGTTCATTCAAGTTCAAGTGAATACTGTACAACACTAATGAAGAAAGTTTTGGAGTCGACTTAAACTTAGCTCCATCAGTCTTATTTCCCCTAAATTCCCCACAGTTGTCTCAGTATCTGTTTAAAAAAAACATAACTCCAGCATTTTGCATCATACTACATCGAACATGTGTATTTGATAGAAACGCAATCACGGTACAGTTTTCGTCTCTTGAAAACTTGCTCGAGTCCATTAAAATTTCGAGTATGCTTCTAGTTTTGTTTTAACATTGTTAGCTCATTCAAGTATTCGAGATTCGATGGCGCTGGGACAACCCTCTTGAAATGCAAATCTTATGAGTTTGTGGTTGAGTGAATAAATTCCTCCACGAAAAATAAAATTTCATGTGACAGCGTTTCCTCATTTTTCCCGTTGAATTTTTTTAGGAGCAGCTACTCGAATGAACACCAGGGGCATGACAATAGGAGGTATCGCGAAAACTTCAATCGGAATCGTCAAGATGCGTCGCAAAACTTCGATCAACCTCGTCAAGATTCTCCTCGAAACTTCAATCGTCAGCATCAAGATTCTTTCCAAAATTTCGATCGTCAGCGTGGAGAATCTTATGATCGACAACGTGGAGATGGTGCTCCGAATTTTGGCAACATGCAAGATGCACGTTCCGCTCTTCTATCGACGCCTGAGGCCCCGACTCAATTGAAGCAAAAGGAACTTCTTGCGCAAGTCGAAAACCTGATCCGTTCCGCGGAGCGAAAATTGAACAGTTATGATCCATCGCCGATGGATAACAGACGAGTTTGAAAATTGTCTATTCGAAGAAAAAAAAAAAAAACGTTTATCGGATACTTTTTCGTTTACGTATTTCTTTCATGATGTTCGTGGTGTGCTTGAGCAGTGAACCAATGGTAAATTTAATTGTTACTTCTTCCGTTTCGTCTTGTGAGGTTATGACCGGATTAGCACATATTAAAGGATTCTGTTCGTTCGTTTGACTTCTGACGACTCCTGACTGTTGATTTCAGCATTTAATATTTCAATTCTGAAATGTGTCGTTTTACAGGTTGTGTGAATTTGATGTCTCAATTTCTTCGCATCGATGGATGGCGTATTTTCGTCGCCTCATATCCGCGCAGTGATCATTAATTCTCCTGAACGAAAAGCGAAACGTTAACGAGAATCAGTGATTTGATCGAAGGATTGAAATCATTTTGGCGAGACGACGGAACGAAGGGAACGATTTGTGATTGGGAAGTTCCATTGTTCGTGGAATAATATGACAGTTTGAACAAATGTGGGAAGATGTGGCAATAGCGCATGTGCTTGGCTGGACTCCTGTAGCAGGTTCGTGTATTTTTCAGTTTAACCTCGCACGTCACTGTACTGTGTACCTAGTGTGACGTAAACCTCGCCGTTCAACAAAAAGCTGCGGTGAAGATTTTTCCAATTCTTGGAAAGTGATTCGAGAAATCCTTGTACATTACTTTAAACGGAATACGGTCTGATGAGCAATGTGTCATCTAAAGACCGTGACAGATGTACAGTACATTAACGTACTTATTTCAATACAGTGAAAATCCCGTTACGACGAATGGCGGTCATTACGATTTTATAATTTAAAGTGAATTATTCATGGGTCCCAAAACTTTTCTCATAAGAGCCAATTTACAAAATCTCAGTTCAAGAACTTGATTTTCACTGCTAAGTATAACTAATTTAATCTGAATGTAACTCATTTTTGCACTGATATCTGTTTGAGCAAATTATTTTAAAATGGGCCAATGTGTAATTTGTGTAGCATCACCAGTTAAACGCAAAGCAACGCTTTCGGCAACGAAAATGTAATGCGGTAATCTATTTCAGAAAATACGGTATAAGCATGATTTTCTTAATCAGAATTTCCTTAACGTCATTTCGAAGTTCAGCAGAGGCCCAAATTAAAGAAGTTTCCCTTTGATTTCGTCCGATGTTCATATGTCGTGAAGTCCTAAATATTGTGTTTCAGAAGCTTTTAAAGGCATTAAGCATCCGTTTCTCACAAATTGAATCAGTGTGTTCATAACTACGGGTTTCAATATAACGGATTTTTCCCAGGTGCCTGGGAGTTTTTGTGAAGACCTTTTCCTGTATATTGAGTGCAAAGACACAAGAGTTGAAAATAGTACGTGGTTGAAAGAAATTACGAGAAGCATAACCCCGAAGAAATCATATGCGACGGATTTTTGTCGTGTAGTAGCACGTAAAATTGTTCCTATTCTTATAAATTTAGGATTAGCTTTGAAAAGATCAAAATATGGGAAGAAGGAATGCTGCTTATTCAAAAATAGAGTAATTTTCATTTTCACATCCATTTCCACATCACGCTGTAATTCCAAGAATACCGAACGAGTAAGACTAAGAATTTTCGAGTTAGAAGTATTTAACCCCGTCATATTTGAAAGCGTAGCCCTTGTTGGCAGAAATCACGACTCGACAAGGCTTGAGCTTTGCCCTGGAGAAATCCACTTGCCAATTTGACGGATCCGTTAGATTAGATGGCCCATTTCTCGTTTGTTCACCACGAGCAATGAAAATCACCGCCGGAGGAGCCGTGCTATTTCTGCACAGGTTTATGATGAGCTTGTAAGCCGAAATCGGGAGCTTAGGCTCTGTGTTTTGCGCCGTCGTGGCTACGGCGAGCAAAATGGCTGCCATCATCAACCCGGCGGGGATCTTCGCCATGATTTGTCGTTTCAGTCGCCCGCATTTTACTTTCCGAACTTCGCTGAACTTTCTTCCTCAGTTACACTTAGCCTTGAAAGTTAATGTAAAATTGTACTGAGTAATGAGTAATCTGATTAAAAATATATATATTTGTCACGTAAATTTGAAGGTTTCTTGTGTTGACGTGTCCAAGTACTGCGTGATAGTTATCGGAGAACGTGTATGTAAAGTTGGTGAAAGTCGTGCTTTTCAGACAGAAGTGGAATACAGCTTTTCAAATGACCTCGGGAATTTGCAGCAGCTTAAGAGATGTGATCATGACGAAGTTACGAATTCATTTCAAACTTGTTCGGTCGTGAATTTTTTTTTTTTTTTTTAAATAACACGTCGTTGCATAAATATCCTGAATATAATTTCATCGATCCTTAGTGCCTTGAAAAATGATCAATTTGAATTTTTAAGGAACTAATGAGAAATCTCGGATCGTATTCTTCCTATAAATATATTGAGTATTCAAATGTGCACATACTGTAATTATGTGAATATTTTCACCGAATTGCAGAATTTTAAGGTTAGTGAAAGTTATTTTTTTTTGTGCTAGTGGAATTCACATGGTCATGTTTCAGATGACCTCGTGGATTTACTGTTGTACATGACAAATTCACGAAATCATTCCGTAATTAATTGGCCGTGTACATTTTTGTTTTGGAAGCCAAGCGTAGTTGCATAAATATCCTGAATTCTAGTTTCATATATTCTTAGTGCTTTAAGAAGAAATTGATTTAAAGTTTAAGAAAAAGAAAAGAAAACTTAGATCTTTGTATCCTTCCTGAAATTTATTGAGCGTTCAAATGTTCACACAACTGCAGTAAATATGCCGACAGAATTTCAGAATTGTGAAGTTAATGAGTTACGCGTTTCAGACAGAATTATATTATTTTTTGTCAGGTTTCAGATTAACCCGGGATTTTCCTGCTGTATAATTTATGTACTCATGACAAATCGACCAAATCATTTCAGAATCGTTCGGTGGTTTACATTTTTGCTTCGAAACCAAATGTATTTGCATGACTATCCTGAATACTAATTTCATCGATTCCTAGTGCCGTAAAAAGTGGTTAATCTGAGGTTTTAAGGAAAAGTAATCTCAGATCCTTGTATTCGTCCCCAAGTACGGAATATTGAGCATTCAAATGTGCACATGATTATGTAAATATGTTCACATAATTGCTCAAAACTCTTTTTGTACTTCGTGATTACAATATCCAATGACAGCGAGCGCATTTATTCATAAGATCGTGCAGTATTCACAAAATCAAGAGAAATTCATGAATAAACTAACATGGCTTCAAAGTGGAGAGCTTTTCCTGCGACATTAGTTCAAGAAGAAATTGCTGGAACCTTGTGGAGACCGTAATTTCCCCAAAAGTGCCATTCTTGGTACCTAGCGAGGTCACATCTGCTGACGATGCCTCTGACCTGGAAATCGTGGTCGAGCACAACAATATGCCTCAAGCCTGCTCCTGTAATCAATCTGTAGACCTTCGAAATGGGATGGTCCTGAAAAAGACGTTTAGTTTTGTGTCAAAAGGAAAAATGTCGACGGAATTGAATATTTTTTCTCACGGGAGTAACGAAGAAAGGGTGCTTCATCATGAAGTGCTCACAATCTATGGTCATGCCCAGTTCCGATCCTGTCAAATCCCAGTCCTGTTCAATGTATCAATAATAATTTTTGTTTGTGATTTTCATCGATCTAGTGAGCTTGATATCTTATTCTCACTTTTTCACTGTAAGCGTTGGGGTAAGCATCTTGATACCTCCGCACAGTCAGCTCTGAAGTCCCATTGTTTTCAATGAACGCCTTGTGATACAAAATCAAATTCAGTGTGAAGGCGTCGATGAGACCTGCGAACTTTCCGAAAGTCTCACTTTCCACCTGTCGAGAAATATCTTTTGACATGATTACTGTATTTATTCGAGTAAGACGCGCACTTTTTTTTTTAAACTCGATGGAACTCGATGTTAGGCAAAATCTTCCGTGTAAGACACACGCACCTTAGTTTTCAGTTCCCAGAAATCATATTTTAAAAACTAATGTACATGGGGCGAAAATCTGAATACTGTACAGTGCGACCCCGAGATGCGGACTTGTTTTTTGGTCGGAGCGTCCGTATGTCGGATTACTTTTTTCCCCCCATTGATCGGAACACATTTAATTTGTTCTCCTGTTCGTCAAAAATTGAGAATGAAGTCCCAAAAATTGAACACATTTTTTTCATCAACTTCAAGATGTAGAACATATTTTTGCCGAAGAAAACCACACAGAATCTCATTTTTGGCATCAGAAAGAGCTCGAGAAACGAAGAACACGATCATGTTTTGCTAATCTGTGCACAAATGATGGAAATAAAAATAAAAAAAAATTGAGACTTTTTGATCAATTCGAATCCTTTCAAAATGAAATTCATCTTTAATTTTTATGAATTATTCAAATAGCTCCATTTGTTCGATTTACAGTATGAAAATTTAGAAACGTAAATGTCTTCATTTCCAGAAGCGTAACGTTTCTCGAGACGTTTTCCAGATGTTGGGAGATTTCTTTATCCTTAGTGTCCCTAAGTCTAATAGTCCTTATGTCGGGGTCCCATTGTACAAGTTTACTCGGAAATTGACTTTTCTCTCATACAAAACAAAGAATAATTGAAGAAAACTTCAGAAGCAATTTTGAAGTGGGCGGGGGGAGGGGGAAGTTGTAATTAAAACAAAACTTTACTGACGAATGTTTTCCAAAGTTGGAGTGCACCTCAAATTCTCACCCCCTTTTTTTTTCGAAGTGCGCATAGTAATTGAGGGAATGAGCGTATTTAAAAATCGTGAAAATGCATAAAAGTAACTGACATCGAGATATCCGTCCACAATCGGAAAGACTTTGTGCCGAGTATTTGTCAAAGCAGTGTAAACATTGGCCACCCTTTCTTTCCTGTGCAAACACAGCACTGGAGTGCTCATTACTTCCTTGGCCAGAATGCCATCGCAGAAAACTGGCGGCTCTTCGGGCAACAACGGAAGTCCTTGATGTTTCAGGTGTTCGGTGTAAATGTTCTGGCGGGCAGAAGGAAGAAAAAATTGTCATATTTTTTTTTCACCCCAGTTTGAGAAACGAGAGGAATTGACGACCTACGATGGTGAACTTATCTCCGACCCATTTTGAAACGAACAAAATGATCATGATGGGGAACCCGAGGATCAGAGTGTCAGTGGACTCCACGAAGACCGCGGTTAGGGCCAAATAGTATCTCACGATGCCATTCAGCACTGCTACTGATCCCCAGAATGCCATTTTCTCTGGCCTGCACCAGTCCTAACGAGATCAAATGAGTCCCAGGTTTACGAAAGACACGTGGAATGAAAATTTCGAATTTTGAAATTTTTCAGGGCTGAAAAATTGAAGCGCGAAAATGTGTCTTCAAATGGTGAGTTTAAACGTTTTGAAGATTTGTTGAAAATTTGAAGGAGATGTAGGAAATGGCTCATTTTTGCTTCTCCTTGTCTTTGAAGTAAATTGATAGAAATTTGCATTGCGAAATTTTTGGGGGTGGAAAATTGACTCACAGCGAAATTGCATCACATACCAATTTTTTAGTTGAAAACATGTCGAATGCCATCGAATCAGAATTTGAACTTTTTTGAAGTTATGCTGTTGAATTCAAACTTTTTTGGATTCTTTTGAAAATTTGAAGGAAATGGGAAAACGATGGCTTACTTGAGCTTATTCATGCCTTCAAAATTTATGAAATTCAATAATTCAAAAGCTCAAAATTGTCTATGACTTCGATGTCAAAGCAGTGGAAGTTAATTTCGCTACCAATGCTAATGTGTAAAACACGAATTTTTATTGTTCCTTCTTCCTTGTGGTATTTCGATGAGTTTCTCGAACAAATTGTATCATTTACAATGTATTCTTGAGAGAAAAACGCGCCTTGGCTTTTTAGCTGAACTTTTGGAGAAAAATAATCCCTGCGTAAGACGCGTACCTCGATTTTTAGTTGCCAAAATTCCTTTTCGAAAAAAAGTTGTTGGGTAAAAAACTAAATTTGAGCATACTTAATAGGGTGGATTTTTTTCTTCTGCAAATAATAGAATCATTGAAGAAGATTACTCTGAAAAATAAAACTTTTGAAAGCGGAGAGAAAATATTCAATTTTTGAAAGTTTTTCCTTGAAAATATGTACCAGAATGTGACGCACGCCTCAATTTAACCCCCTTTTTTCGTATATGAAGGGTGTAAATACAATAAATAATTTTGAGCAGTGACTAAATCCCTTAGACCAGTGAAACCCTCACATCCTTGAAATGTGGGTAAATTATTTCGCCCAGCAGTCTGCCAAAGGAAGCCCCGGCCACGAGGTTCGGAACAAAGAGTCCAGCCGGAACAGCGAGTCCCAGACACCAGCAACTCAAACAGATCCAGATGAGTGAAAAAGGGCCGATTACTCTGACCGGATATGTTCCTTCAAAGTACAGTAACACCCTCCTCTGTTTCACCAGTTGTATCTTGATTTATTTGTCTTTAAAAAAAAGGCGTATACAGGTGGACTCTCTCTCTCTCTCTCTCTCTCTTTACAGCGAAATTCAAGGGACCAGGATTTTTTTTACAGATAACTTCTATGCAGTGTTCCTAAGCTTTTTGGGAACACGGACTGGCAAATTTCCATAATAATTATAGTAGATTAAAAAATTAATCTAAAAAACCACGTTTTCAA